CATCAAAAACGTAACTTTTATATTTTGCAGCGTATATATCAACATTAATTTTATTTATGATCACAGGTTAATTCGTGGTTATATCAGTTTTATTACTTGGCTATCAAAATGAGGAACACATATATACATAGAGTCATAAAATATATGGAATAGGGCAAGTAATATCTATATACAAAATGCTATATCTTATTTTATTTTAAACATTGCATTCTATAAATATGACTTTTTATACAATTTCCTATTATAGATTTTTTAATATGTTATACCTTTTGCAACAATTTCCCAATAAATTGAATAATAATTTGATGCAAAAAACGTGTTCATAATATGTAAATGATGTGATAAAAATAAAAATTCAATTGCACGTGAATTCTCGCACGGACACATTTACCTGCTGTACAATCATTAATCTAAGATTAAATGTAGCGCCACTGACATATTATTTCAGGAAAAAAAAAATCAAATTTCTCACAATTTCCTATTCAATATTAATAACGAATAATTTTTGATTTGAAAATAATTTTAATTTTAATCCACCAAAAAGAAACGTAGAATTTTTATAATAAATCGAAAACAATTGAATTAATAATAATTATAAAAATTTGCATTATTGCCTAATAATCCAATCAATAATTACTTGATTAAAATAATGTCTTCCTATAGGAAATAATTTATTTCTTTTAATCAAATGGCTTTCGAAATTAATTTTTACGTACTATATATTTGAAAAAGAAATGTTTATTTGATTTGAGAAAAAAATTTATCAGCATCAAGTAAATTATTTATTAGATAATTAGATATATAAAGAATTTAAAAAAAAATTCCTTTTTCAATTTATTTATTATTATAAAAATTTAATTAACGATAAATAAATAATAGGTCTTTTAATTTTTTTTTTCACGTAAATCGATTTAAAACAAAATTTTACATAATTACTTCCACGCTTCTTTTTTTCATCGATATTTTTCAAAAATAAATTTTTTCTATATCATGTGGCGTACGTGATTAGAAAATCGATTGATAATCGATTTTCCAATGAGTAAATTATGTAAATGTATGATGAAGCTAATTCAGTGTCGCATGTAGTAATGTCGAGTTAATATTTAATTATGTTGAAGAATGTATGAAATTTCGAGAATGAAAATGTTACTAATAAAGATATTTTGAGAAAATAAGAATTTGATTTTTGTTATTTTTCTTCAAATATAATAAATAACATTAGATAAGAAGAAAAGAAGATAAAGACAGAAAAAAGGACCCCTATTTTCATATTGGATATAATAATATCAATATGCCCAGAGTGGAATATATCGATTATAATATGTAAAACGAAAATTTCTGTTATTAAACAATCAGAAATGAGAGATTATTATAAAATGGAAAATATATTTGATGAATTTCCTAATAGCAATTGAATACGGAAATTGAAATCTGAAAGACTGAGATAGGTAATAATTATATCACATATCTAAGTAAGGAGAAGCAATGTGTCCTCCTGAAGCTTGATTCCACTTTGGGGCACAGGTTCACTAATGGCGTTATTCCATTGACCTAGTTTCATTTTCATAAATGAATTTTCCACTAACTGCTATTAAACCGCAAATATAGACTGAATATTTCATTTGAACTGCTGTTTTTATCCTTTACCAATAATTTGACTTGCGTTGAAAAAATATTGCAGAACGTCCAATTAAAAAAAAAAAAAAAAAAAACAACAAACAAAAAAAATCCATTATTTTATACTACCAAATTCATCGTTATTCCTTAATTTAATAATATTTTAAATATAAAATATTTAATCAAATAATTTCAATTTGAAAAAAAAAATATTTATTTTCATCTCAATTTACAATTTTTTTGTATATTTTAATAATTTTAAAAAAGCAAAAAAAAAAGTAATATGATGATTCTTTTCAAATAATTATTTTGTTGGAAAAAAAAAATTATTTTTGAGAGATTATTAGTAGAAGTTTTTGTAAAATCTTATATTCATTGTTTTAAATCCGTCAAGAAACTTACAACTTTTGCCCATTAAAATATTCGTGTTTTGTTTCGAAATAAAGAAGTGGGGCTTAAAGGAACAAAATGTGGGACATTGAAGCGCATTATACGGTTTGAATGCATCTTCATTCAAGAATTTTCTTTTTTTTTTCTTTTATTTTTAAGAGTGGTAAATTCTAATGAAAAGAGAATACACAAATTTTTGTTATATAACACTTGTAATAATTAAAAACAAAAAAAAAAATCTTATTTTTTGACTCAAGAAGTTGAAAATTTTTTTTTTTTGAAATACAAACATAAAACTAATTATAAATAAATTAAAATTCACTAAGTTTATTATTTATTAAAATATATGTTATTAATTCATCAAAATATTCAAAATCATCAATTTTATTTATATATCGTTAATTAAATATTTCAAATAAATTCAATAAATATTTTAACGATGATTCTCATTTTGATACTTGAAATATTTTGTTGCACTCGTACATTGTATATTTATTGCAAATGTTAAAAACATTCTTTAAAACTCACGTAAAATCTACATGACATTACAAACAAATTTATTGAACGATTTTATTTCAAATATTCTATAAATTCTTTTTTTTCAATGGATAATAAAAAATTAAAAACTATCGTAAATAAATTTTTGAAATTTTAAATATGACTTTTTATTCTTTTTAAAAAATTTTACTTCTTTTTTTATTATGCCTACTTTTATTCTTCAAGTTTTTTTGAAACAAAAAACGAATAATTTTATTAGAATTTAATTTATCAAATTTTTAATTCTTTTGCGTGTTTTAATATTGCAGTTAATTAGTAACTATTTGATTAAATTAAGGATAACGATAAATTTATTAAATTGTCGAATGTTCCAATTTTACGGTAAATTAAAAAATTCAAACAATTTTAAAAACCTGCGGAAAATTTTTTTCTTTCTTTCTTTTTATGAAATATTTTTATTCCTAACAAAGATATATATACATATAGCTCAATACAATTATACGATTTTTATCCTTTTTCGCCCTCGGAGAATAAATGAAATTATGAAAACCCTGTTTGAACCTAAACGAAGTCCCTCTGATTGTTAATTGACTTAGGGGGAACTTTAACGAACTGCTACTTTTGACAATAAACTTTCAATTAAAGGTCACAAAATGATGAAGAAACTTTTGTCATTTCTTTTTTTTTGTGATAATGAACGTGATCGCTTTATATGACTTGTTGCAAAAATAAATAAGAAAAATCCTAAAAGTTATATATAGAAGATTATTTATATTCCTGGCGGAAAAATAATCATCATATATGTATATAAAATATTAATAATGTAGAAAAAAAAATTGTTTAAAAAATTCTTAATTTAATTTTAAAAAATTATTTATTTTATTTTTTTGCAAAAATTTTGCGGATGTAAACCTTATATGGAAATTAATAAAACAAATATAGTGATATTTTTTTTTCTTCCCTTATTTTATACACTTTTTTTTCAAGGGTAAAAAATTAACGAGGAATTCCCTTGTTAGTTTGAAGGACATTTAGAAAAATAATAAATTTCATATTGTCGAGGATTTTCAGCCTCTTGACCTAAAAGATCATCTTAAATAATAAAAGTGAAGATACTTTTTGTTCAGGGACACACACACACACTAGAAATTGAATCATGAGTTTAAAGGATTTTATATCATGGACGGTGTAGGCAAATTTAATATGCCAATGAGTTAGGCAACGAAGCAAAAAGACGGACACATAATCACATATTAAACTTGACCTGCAGCTTAACAAGATTTCACATCCAATGCTTTCCCGTAAAATCGAATCGAAATAAAACCCTCACGAAACATGGAACTTTAAATTTTTTAAAACCAAAGTCTATTTCAAAAAATAGTTTTTAATAAATTTTATAACTTACAAAAAAAAACAATGCATTATTAAAAAATTAGGTAAAATATATTTTATAAAATTTAAATTAAGAAATAAGTTAGAAAATTAATTTTAAACTAGAATATTGAGTTACTAATTTTTTTTTGTTAACAAAAATGGAAAAACTTTATTTTACGCAAAATTATAATAAATAAAATTTTTTTAAAAATTTCTAAATATCAAAAATTAATTAAATAGTAAAAAGAAGGAAGGTTTTAATTTAACTAAAAAAAAATTTATACAATAGCCACGGTCTACGATAAGAAATTTCATTAAATTTTTTTTTCGTAAATGGGAACAAAATATGTTTTCAAAATAATGAGAAAGATTACACGGTATTTTAGTAATACTCTTAAAGGACATAGAAGAAATTGATCCTGTTGAGTTGCGGCAAGATAAACATCACATTACTCAGATGAAAGAGTTTGCTCTGTTTGTGAATAAAGTAAAAAAAAGAAGAAGAATCATAAGATTATATATATATATATAGAGAGAGGAAGTAAACTTAAACCTCAAAATTGCTTCTCCTCAAAAGGAATAAAAAATTCGAGCTAAACTTTGGCACCATTTTAAGCGTTTTTCTTTTACTATACATAGATATAAATGTAGAGAATAAATTACTTGCGCCTCCTAATGAAGTCAAACGTCTACAAGACAAATATTTGTCTAAAGGAAACTGTTCTCACAAAAGGACTTTTTTCTTTGTATATATTGCCTTTGCTTGAACTTTAACTCTATTGAAAAACATTCTCTTTTTCTCTTTTGAAATCAGACAATTTTAGAAACTAAAACGTCAAAAGGATAAGAAATTACATATTTTATACATTTATATGTAAAATATAAATGAATGGATGAAAATCAAATTTAAAAAAAAAATATATATGTTTAGTAACTTTAAGGAATAAAATTCCTTTCTCGATTAGAAATTCAAATAAGCAATTTAATTTCAGGAATTTGTTTTACAAATTCTTTTTTAAAGTAACCAGATTAAATTATATATTAATTAGAAATTAATATAAGTTATAAATATTTCAGTATTCTCACTATGTAGCGAAAAATAAAAAAAAAAAAACACTCACCGATCGCTAATTTTTATGACAATACACTGACGCCAATTTTCAAGCGACAGCTTCCTCCTGATTATCCTGGATCTCATTGTCTTTTTGGTCTCGCGTGATCCTCATAATCAACTTTCTTTAGGGGTAGATTAGTTGTGACTAACAAAAAGTCCTCGTAGTCATCCTCTTTTCCACCCTTTATATAAATAATAAAAATTATATAGAATTAAAAAAAATTACTATTTAGATTTTAAAATAGATAAATAGAATAAATAGATAGATAAATAAATAGATAAATAGATAAATTATTCATTATATAATTTAATTTATTAAAGCCAAGTGCTATTTTTTAATGAATTAATTAAAACATTTTTTTCTGTTTTTCTCTCATGAAATATAATAAAATGATTTATACAATATGACATTAATTTGTGTAAAATAAAAATACTTAACGATCAGGAATTTTAATGGCGTGAAATGATGAAATAAACGTCCCTCTCATTCTTCTTAAGTAAACGAATTCTTTTTCCAGTTCTGTAAAAAAAAGATAAAAAATTTTATTAATAAACATATTGTTTCTATTTCATAGCAATATCTCGAAAATTTACTTACTTGAAATATAATACTCACTGTAAAAAATGTAAAAAAAATTAATAACATTTACAAAAAATACCCGAAAAATTTTCAATATAGCAGATAAACAAAAAAAATTTATAATATTTAAATTCAATTAATAAAATATTCACTTATGATAAATATAATATAATAAATACATATACATATTTATATATTAAGACTATGAACAAAAAAATTACACATTCCTGAAAAAAATGATTAATATAATTAAAAAGAAATATTATTTCTCACCACGATGATTCGACTGAAAATAATTATCAATTAAAGAAAACATTCACAAAACACTTAGATAACATACACAAAACACTTAGAAAACATACACAAAACATTTACATAACATTAAAATATAAGACAACATAGTGACAAAAAGAATAAAAGAATGAAATGAAGCAAATTTTCACTGGTACTCCAGTTACTTGCTTTTTTACTTACATTTTTTTACCCGATTTCCCTACCTATTGCTGTATTTAAAACGAACATAAATGCCTATTTTTTCCGAATTTCCTACCTACATTTATATTCTAAACGAAACTAATACCGCCCAGGTGCAAATTACCTACACTAGGGTTAACGTCCCGGGACGCAACCGTCACCTGAGCGATCTTTTCTGAAAAGAAAACATTTAATTAGTTCATTATTAAAAAAATTATCAAAACCTTTTAATTTTTAATTCCACATGCATTAACTTTTAAGAATTAAATAAAAAATTTACTTTGCAAAATTAAAAAATTTTTAATAAGATTAATTAAATTATTTAAAGTTAATAAAATTTTGTAAATTTAATTTAAATTACTTTTTTAAATAGAAAATTACTTTAATTCAATAAGGAAAATTACAAAACATTAAAAATATTGAAAACACAGTAAATAAATAACATACATATATAAACAATGAAAAAAACCACTGACAATAATATTAATTTAAATAGTATTAAGGTAGTAATCCATAAAACATGTAATATTTTAAGATGTAGGGAGTGTTACAAATTTTAAAGGGGCTCAATTTCCGAAAATATCACATGCTTTTTTTTAGATTACTCCTAAAAATTACTAAAAAAATAATCATTTTCATCAGTGGTGTCACCATGTTGTCAAGATTCCTTCCCTGTTTTTTTTTTTAATTTTAATATTTTATTTGCATCATTGTAATATATCTATTTTTTTAAAAAAGTTAAGAAAATTCCATAATTAATAAATTATCTAAAAAAGTTCATTTTCAATTTATGAATTGATATTAAATTAAATTGAATTAATTAAATTTATAAAAAAAAACTTTTAAACAGGGAAGGGGTTAAATAAAAATGACTCACCGATCGGCGAATCATCCCTCGTCGGGACAATAACGTCATTGCCACTCTCGAGCGCTTCAGGGCCAGCTCCCGAGGATCCCTCTTTCTTGCACGCACTTCTGCGTGAGGCCGGGAGCTCAAAAAAAAATATTATAAAAAAATAAGAAAAAAGAAAGAAAAATTTTATAAAAAAAAAATGTTGCAGGGGCCACTTTTCTTCTTCCACATCCTTCCCAGTCTCTTCTGATATTTGGAAAATTGGAATGGAGCTGAAAAAATAAAAAAAAAATTGTTATTCTAAATTATACAATTATTTTCTCAAAACACTATTAAATGGTGAATTTAACAAGATTAATTAAACCCAGTTACAAATTTTTGGGTGATTTTTATATAAATTATAATTTTTAATTTTTATATAAAATTAACTGTATTTAAAAAAAAGACTTACCTATATGAGGGGATTTCTGCATAGTTTTAGAGATACGATGACAGCATATCCTTTTTATAAAAGGACTTCCTTCTTTTAGACCTGAAAAAAATATAATAATTCATGTTGTAAAATAAAATATTAAAAATCCTCAATATTATAAATTATTTTTAAATATATTGATATTTATAAATATTAAAATTTGATCAGTTATAAATAATTTTATAAATCTTATAAAGACTCACCTATAAAGGGGAATTTCTGCGTTGTGTAAAATTACGATGACAGCATATCCTCTTTTTCAATGAGACAAATTCTTCCTTTGCTGGACCAAATGCCTGAAAAAATATATAGTAATTAATTATGTTATATGTGTAAAAAGAAATATTTAAAATTTTAAATTTTATATTTTTTAAATGATACATTTGAAATTGTATTATCATTAATAATTAGAACAAATTTGAACTACTTTTTTTATTGCAAGTATTAATATTTTGTAATGATACTGGAACTTGTTCACAATTTTCAATTCTATTTTAAACAATAGTTATTGTTGTTATTTCTAAATATTTAATTAAATTAATTTTGTTAATAACATTTAAAAAAATTTTTAAATACAAAAATTAAGGGAAAAAATTTATGAAAAACATACATTGAACTGCGACTCAGCAATGCAAGATCTCCTCCAGGAGCAGCTCCGCAACAAACACCCATCCTTCATGATTGAACACCTGTAAATCGAGAAAAATTATATTATTAGAGTTGATTTTATGAAAATTAAACATTTTCTTAATTTCAGTTTTTTTTGTTAATTTAAATTAATTAATATTTGTGTTATTAATTAGGAATAACTTTAATGTAATTTTCATCGGAAATTGATTGAATTATAAACTTTGTAAACGATTAATATTTAATAAGTAAAATAATAATTTTCTTTATCAAAATTAAAAAAAAAAAACTTACACTAAAAAATATTTACAAAAAAAAGAGACAATAGATACTCACCATATTTGAAGATTTAGTAGAAGTTGTCATTTGTCATCTCATCTATGTATAAGAATTTCATCCAATTCTAAATTCTGTAAAGAGAAATAATAAACAACTTTGTAAATAAAAATTCCGAAAACTTTAATTTTTAAAAATAAATATTGGATTATTGTATTAAATTTGAAAGGAACATTCAATTATGACATATGCATAAATAGAAAATTAAAACAATAAAATAATTTATTATTATATTTACAAATATAAAATCAATAAGAATGTTAAAAAATTATGTATAATGCTTAAAACAAATATTCACCTGTGTTAAGAAGAATTGGCGCCAAAAGGACATATTTTTTCTGAGATGACTTCCTTTTTTTAGCCCTGTAAAGAAATAAAAAAAAAAGTTAAATAAATACACGATATGAATTTTAATGTTAATTAAATTTTTCTTTTAAATTTTGTTCCGAAAATACGGTGGACAAATATCCGAGCAGATGTTGAATTGAAATGTGAAATTATTTGTATAGACATTTTTAGGTTAAATATCAAAGCGTCATTAAACTTTACAAAACATTAAAAATTCTTATATTTACCAAGAAAAATTAGTTAAAATCTTGAATATTTAGATCAAACTGACTTTAATTACTATAAAATATTTGTAAATTGACTTCAGATTATAAGATATTTTTTATTTTTCAGAAAATAATTTAAGAATTTCAACCGCACTATCTACAATGTCCAGTCACTATAGTGGAGCAGTGATACCAACATAAAAGGCAAAAATTACCAACCAACTAAACTCCTACCAACATAATTAGAATTTTGTTTAACAATTATTTTTTAATTGTATTAACCCATTTTAATATTTTCAATTTTTTTCAATAATAATTAAATTATTCATCCAATAATTATTAATAAATTTATTTCTACTAATTTGTTTTATTTCAATTTTAAAAACAAAATTCAAATATGCTAGAATGTCATCTAGCGGCGGTAATTAGAAGTCACAATATATGCAACAAATTCTAATGTCAAAATTTTGAGGTTATATTTTTTGACGAAAAATTTTTACCTAAATTTTTTATTTTTCTTTGCAGCTGCCATGAAACTTTTATATATTTTCGATAATTTATATAAAACAGAACTTATTTATCACAAAATATCAATAACTAACTTTATGATTCTAATATTATGAAAAGATTAAAATTTGACAAACGAAAAATGGTTCTTCTACTTTCTGACACCATCTTGGCAATGAACTGCAATTGCAATGCCAACCCAAGATAATAAAAAAATGAACTATTTCGACTTGTCCACATCTACCAACATGAGAATAATTCTCTTTTGATAGAAACATAATTTTTTTTTATTGGTTAGATTTTTCCGAAATTTTAATATTATTTATTAAATAAATATTTTATATTATATTAAAATTTGAAATATACATTCACCTGTATTTTTTAGTTTAACATCTCGATGCTAAACTTTTTGGGTTATGTTTTCGCATTATAAAAATTTTTTACAAAAATACTATTTTTATTTTTTCCTGCCACGAAAATTTTATGCATTTTCGATAATTTATATAAAACAGAACTTAATTATCACAAAATATCAATAACTAACTTTATGATTCTTATATTATGAAAAGATTAAAATTTGACAAACAAGAAATGGTTCTTCTACTTTTTGACGCCATCTTGACAATGAATCGCATTGCCAACCTATGATAATAAAAAAATGAACTTTTTGAATTTGTCCACATCTACCAACATGAAAATAATTCTCTTTTAATAGAAACAAATTTTTTTTATTTTTTATTGATTAGATTATTCCGAAATTTTAATCTTATTTATTAAACAATTGTTTTATTTAATTAAAATTTTAAATATAGATTTACCTGTATATTTTAGGTTTAACATTTCAATACTAAACTTTTTGGGTTATGTTTTCGCATTATAAAAATTTTATGCAAATTTACTATTTTTATTTTTTCCTGCCACGAAACTTTTATGCATTTTCGATAATTTATATAAAAGAAAACTTATTTATCACAAAATATCTATAACTGACGTAATGATTCTAATATGGAAAAATTAAAAATTGACAAGCGAAAAATGGTTCTTCTACTTGCTGACGCTATCTTGCAATGAATTGCAATACCAACCCAAGATAATAAAAAATGAACTTTTTCACTACTACCAACATAAAAAATATTTACTTACAACCGTGTAAGGTGGGTTGCATTTTTATATTATGCGCCTCATTCAACTGTATTAAAACATTTATTGAAAGAGTTTTTGCACTATTTTGTACAATTATTCAATTATACTGTTTTTTAAAGTAAAATCACAATTCTAAATTATTTAAACGAATTTCGATGCAATAGCAAGAAGTTTTGTATAATCTGCACCTTTTGAGAAAGTTTTTTCTTTTAAAATTGTCCTTAAAACATGAGGTATAGGAACATGAATTCGTGTTCCTAATGGTGTTCCACTATCATCAATTAGAACAATATTGTTACTGTCAAACTTTGCTACCTTCTTTTTTTGCTGAGCTTTCAGTCCAACAAGAATTCCTTTTTTCTTTTCACCGCAAATGGCGACCATTACTTTATCTCCTTTAAATGACATATTATGTTTCAAATTAAATCAATTAAACATAATTTCAATTTAAATTATGCTCGAGAATAAAATATTAAATTTGAAAATATTTTCTTAAAAACTGATTGAACTAAATATTAAATATGAAATTATAATATACAATTTATGACATATTTGTTATTATTTTATAATGAAAAAATTTTGATATATTATTTACCAATGAATCCTGTGCCTTTTTTGTTGTAAACGTGAATACATCGTGGTGGTTTACCAATTTTCATAGCTTTCTTTCCAATTTCACTATTGTCTACGACCCTTAGTCGAGAAAGTTTAATTATTTTATTTTGAATAGCAGAAGTGTGGAAAGATCTAAATAAATTTGTTGTCGCAAAGTTTAGTACCATTTTTCTGAAAAAAAGTAATGTAATTTATTTTTTTGTTTTCCAAAAAATATTATTACAAAGTTTATATAATATCTACATAATAATTATAAATGTTTCTATGCTAGAAACTGTAAACAATTTTTTTGTTAGAGTAAATTGATAAATATTAAAATTCTCACCTTACAAAAGAGAAATTTATATAAATAAGACAATATCAATTATTATTAACAGTATTTACAAGTTTCAATCATCTATATTAACTGAATATATGTATACTTTAGTGTGCAACAATTAAATGTTTAAATAATTTCAAGTTAATAACTTTCGGTAACTTTGAAGGTTATGTTAACATGCCGTCGAAACTAACCTAATGTGAAATTTACAGAAATACGACAACTGTGAATAACACTTAATATTCTCTCTGCTTGGCGCTTATATTTAAATATTGTGACAAAAATAAATTAATATTTAATAATAATATTCTATGAATAATGAAGTCAATGATGTTAAAAATTCAAGAACTCAAAAATGAAATTTTAGAATTGAATGAACAGTCAATAAAAGATACAAAACAAATTGAACAACTTAATTTCGAGATAAACCAGTCAAAATCGATTAAAAATGAAGTGAATTATTCTATAAACGATTTTACTCGAAGACATGTAAATTTACACTTTGAATTAAAAAATATTCACGAATCTTATCATAAATTACCTGAACGAACAATGCAGGAACATATTAATTGTAAGGTGTTTAAACGAAAGGAAGAACTTTTACAAGAAAAACGAAATATTGAATCACAACTGGGTAACATTAAATGTATACGAGAAGAAAAATTAAAAGGATTAAACTCACAAACAATGATTCAACAAGTTTGTATTATATACAAAAATGACATAATTTAATTTATAAGAATATTTAATATTTTTATTAATAATTTTTTCAGAAACAAAAAAAGGCTCCTATTTCAAATTTCGCGGAGTTTTATTTATAACACTGATGCCAACCTTCTGGGGTAAAAGTTTAAAAATTATCTGCATTTTTTATTTAAAAAAACAAATACAAATTAATCAGAGGACATAAAAGAATTGTTAAAAAGAACAATATTGAAAATATTTTAATTAAAATATACAATAAAATATATGTTTTAAAAACTATATACATACTTACATGTTAATGATGAAATATAACCTCAAAATACAGTGAAAATTTATTTAAACTTCTCCTTAAATTCTTTTTATAAATACATATAAAAATTCCACATTTTTTTCCAAACTCATTAAAAGAAATTGAATTATAATTATATTAATAAATTGAATTGATAAAAAGTAACTTGAAAATTAAAGGAAAAAATTCAATTTTTTTTGTGATTTTTGACAGCCTTATGCGCGGGGGAGGAGCGCAAGAAAAAAATTGGGTCGATGTGAAAAAGATGGCGACCGTTGTGTGGTGTGTGTGATAATTAAAAAGGCTTTTTTTTCGTTGAAACACACATTCAAGAATTCGAGGAGAAATATTGTGTGTTGATGCAAAATGTAATTAAATTGTGCAAGATGGGATTTTTATTATTACAAGTGATTGTTTCTGTTTTGTAATAAAATTTGACATATAAGTGTCGTTTGTTTACCACGTCGGTCTTGTGTAACATATCCATCACAACGGGAAGCCGCGAGTACGAAAAAGGGACGAAAAGCTCCCCCTCATCCCCCTTTTTCATTCAAGTTTTTTGAAAAGAGACTGGAGAACAAGTGTAACCGGACTTTAGCCCGGTGAAAAGAGACTGGTAGAAATGCTGAAACAATTGCAAATGGGGATGAGAGCTTTTCTTTTGATAGCCTCCCGTGTGTGGACATGCATCTGTTTTCTACTCAAGAAGCAGGTTAGATCCGTAAGTAGGTGCTTCGCGCCTCAATTTTTTTTTTCAATTTTTTCCCCACCGGTACCAAATATTTACACACGTGGAACCTATTAATTTCTCACAATCATCTCAATGTCAAGTGGATCATTTATAACTAAAAGTAGATTTATTATATTGGTTTCAGATTTCAATACTGTTATATACATATAGTTTTAATACTTCATCACTTTTGGATGCGCGCGCGAACTTTGTTTTTTAATTCATTTTCTATTTTTTGTTTTTTTTCGCAATTTCGCGGAATAAGGATGATTCGAAGCCAACAATCTTTTGTTATTTCATTTGTTACGTAAAGACAATTTTCTTTTATTCCCTATTATTAGAAATTATTAATTTTGTAATCTTGATAAAAAAAAGGATTCTTTTATCTAAGAAAATAATGTTGTTTGTATATTTAAAATTTTGAGTTTTATTTTAATTTTTAAAGATGATTATGAAATTGTAAACAAAAATTGACAATGATTAATATCTCTTGGCAAAATAACAAAAATATGTAATATGCATTTTTTTCAGATTTCTCAAATGCAACCAGTGAAATATGAGATCTTCCCATTGTCTCCATTATCCAGGCATAGACTTAGTGAGAATTTGTTTTTATTAAAAAAATATTTATGATAATTTCAATGGGATAATTAATTTTTATTATTAAATTTGTAGGTATAGTGAAAAGGAAAGTTTTGGTTCTTGACTTGGATGAGACACTTATTCATTCTCATCACGATGGAGTAGCAAGACCAACAGTGAGACCTGGCACACCACCTGATTTTGTTCTTAAAGTAAAAATTGATCGACATCCGGTTCGATTTTTTGTACACAAAAGACCACATGTTGACTTCTTCTTGGATATTGTCAGCCAGTGGTAAATTAAAAAAATTCTAATGTATTTAGAAATAGAATTATAGTTTATATAAAAAAAAAATTGTAATTTTCAGGTATGAATTGGTAGTATTTACAGCTTCCATGGAAATTTATGGAGCCGCTGTTGCTGATAAATTAGACAACAATAGAGGTATTTTAAGGCGCCGATATTATAGACAGCATTGCACGCCAGAAATGGGTTTCTACACTAAGGATTTAGCTGCAATTTGTTCAGACTTAGCTTCAGTTTTTATACTTGATAATAGTCCAGGAGCATACAGAGCATATCCAAGTGAGTTTATTGAATAAAGAAACATAAATAGAATAAAAATTAATTAATGAGAGAAAAAAAAGCAAATAAATACAAAAGAAATTATTTCTAATAATGAAATTTCTATTTTTAGATAACGCGATTCCTATAAAATCGTGGTTCAGTGATGCTAGCGATACGGCGCTTCTTAGTTTACTTCCTGTTCTGGACGCCCTTCGTTTCACGCAAGACGTGCGATCTGTACTATCGAGAAATCTACATTTACATCATACGTGGTAGCATATTCATCATCCTTTGTTTTAATACAAAAAAAATAGAGGTAAACCGCTAACAATTTAGTGTGTCTAGGACAGATTCATTTGTTGTTATTAAAACTAGATATATTAGAATGCTATCCAATAATAAGACGGAGCCCTCTGTTTTACACTTATTTTTTCAATAACCGTTATAAACGGATATTCTATTTAAATGAAAACATAAAGAAAAAAAGCAGTAAACCTAAGGGACCGTTAGCCAATATTTACGTCAGCACAAAATTACATAACTTTGATTTTTTTTTTAATTTAGTTAATTTTTGTTTTTTTTTCTGATTTATTCAAATTTTAAATTAGCCAAAGAACAGAATTTCGACCAATTTTCACGATTTGTCCGTATTTATATTTTGTTTGCAGTAAACAGTACTTTTCATTAAAAAAAAGCCTATCACTGCGAAAAATACGGAACTTAACTAATTATCGTGAGTCGAAAATAATGTCAATAGTAGGGAAAAAAAAAAAATAAAAAATTTTTTTTTAAGAGTGTGCGTCAAAAAAATAACTTTCAGCAAAGGATGTTGAGTTTAATTGCAGATGTAAATGTAAAAAATAATTTTTTTTTCTTTATAAAATTGTGTAATCTTTTTTTTTTTTTTACTTTTCTTTATTTAACAACAATTTGTAAATAATTGGCAAATTTGACAAATTCGTTTGTAAATTGATTTGTCCATTAAATTTAATAAGTAATATCATTTTTCAATTTCTATAATAATTGATAAATAGTTTTGATAAAATTGATAATTAACAGAGTTTTGTTAAATTGATGATGCATTTTTGCATAAATGTGAGAAAAAACTATTGTTGCAAAAGAAAATTTCAATAATTTTGACTTGTCATGAATTTTGAATGAATTATGGAGAATTTAGTAATTTATATAAACAGTTTATTTAAAAAATTAATATTAATTGATTTATTTTCTTTTTCAATCTAGCGTGTCTTTTTTTTCACGTTCATATTTCAAGTAACTCTGAAAACAATTTTGACGCACTCTCTAGTTTCAATTAACAACAAATTAAATTTTTCCTCCCCGCTAATATCGTCCGACATTAGTTGATAAAAAAAAAAAAACTCCGTTGTTATGTATACTATTGACTTTTTAAGATGGCTAAGAAAAAAAAAGTGCTAAAATAAGCCTGCGCGAATACAAAATAAAATTTCGTGCATTTTTTTTACGATCTCTCGAAGCAATGCACTCGAATTTTTTCATAAATGCGAAATCTCAAGTAATCGAAATAATTCGGTTTAATGGATTTTTTTTCCATTGTTTATTCAGTAAAAGTTTCGCTTTAGAACTTAAATCGTGTTTTGACAATTCTTTAAACAGAAGTTTCATGAGCAAAAATAATTCATTAATAATTATAATTTATAATTAATTAAAAACTTAATTAATTTCAATTATAATATTTTATCTTTTTTTTTTTTTAGTAATCAAGATTCTACTGCCAATTTTTTTACTAACTGATCTCGACAATAAAAAATAGTCGAATATAATTGAATTAGATGTTTTAAAGATTTTGTTTTACAGTCTTCCATCATTTTAATTGAATGATTTCTGAGATAAATAATTAAAACTTTTTCACAGTTTTTTTGTGCAATTTAATATTTAACGATTTAAATAAGATTTTTTTTAGTACTAGAATAAAAAGAATTATTTCTTAGTTTCAACTGATTATGAGTGATAAATAAAAAGAAGAAATTTATTAATAGAAAATTCAATGTTTTGAATTTTCATTATAAAAATAAAAATTCAGTGAAACAATTTTTAATGTAACTCATTGAAAGTAGTGAGTTAATTTTCTAACAATGAATCCTTATTAATTGTGTTGATATTCTTTTTTTTTTATTTTAATAATTCGTGATACTTCTGTTTAAGAGGTATTAAAACGCCGAAAGTGTTTGCTCAGGCCTAGTACTAAGTCATTTAAAATGGACTTTATTGCCTCACTGTATCAGTGAGGTGATTTGTCTCGCTTTATTATTATAATCTAACAAAGAGTATTAGTGACCCTTGCGAAACGACGGAATTCACTTTTGTCAAAGATTTATAGTAACAGAAAACCATTTTTTTTTTAAATAAAAATAATCAGGTGGTCAATTTAAAAAAAAAAAAAAACAACAGAAAGTGTTTGAAAGGAAAAAAGCAATTTCAATAAAAAAATCACCAAGTACATCGCTGTGTACTGTATTTGCTTGTCTAATGAGTTATGTGTGACAAAGAATTTTTGTGAGATTTGTACATATTAGAAATCAGTGAGTATTTGTAATGTGTCGAGAATGTTTGATGAGAATGATTGGGTCCTAAGTAGAATTATATTAAGTGGGCGCTATAAATATATATTATACATATATAGATATCGAAGTTAATTATGATCAATAAAAAAAAAATATGATAATAAAACATAAAAACGTTAAACTAAAGTAGCAAGATATCCGCAGGATTGAACTGTTGGAAATTTTTTTTTATTCTTTTTTTTTTTAAATATAAAACCACAATGATTAGAGTTGATATTTCCGAGATTTATAGCGTATGATTATTTCAAATGAGCTTTACTTTAGTTTTAATTTTTGATTTGAAAATTGTTTAAGGAGAGAGAACAAAGTAACTTGATATTATTGTGTATGTACAGAGAAAAAACAAGAAAAACTTTTTATTAGGTACGTAAGAAAAAGAAAACACTTAGTTTATTTTCTAAAATAAAAATAATAAAAAAAAAACACACGCAATTTACGGGTCTTGATTTTGTACTGCCACTGTTTTGTATGTACATTTGATTTTAATGTATATTGAAATTCTTATATATATATATATAATAATAATAATATTTCGGTGTTTAATTGGAAATATACAATTTATCTGAGTTTAATAATAATAACACCGAAATAAACATAGAATTTTCTTTGTGTTTCGCACTGGCAGTGTTTCTGATGTAATTAGAAAAACAAAACAAAACTGGAAGCCAAAATGTTTATTGTTTATTTTATTCTTTGGGTGGATCTTCTCGAATCATTTCCAAAGAACTGTCCGAGTTATTAGTACTGCTTCCGCTACCAGCATCGTCTTCACGTTCTGCAGATTTTTCTTGACTTTGATTTGCAGTATGCAATTGCCAAGCAGGAATTGAAGGCGGTGCACTTGGAAATTGTTTTCTGAAAAAAATTAAAAATAAGTATAAAAGGAAAATCTTCTGAATATATATATTTTTTTTTTTTGATAATAAGATACATTTTTTTGATATATTGACTAATATGGTTGTGATTTAAAGAAACATTGTCAGTGATTTTAAAATTTGAAATTTAAGTAATTAATATAAGCCAACGAGAAAGAATTGAAAAATCTTTGAATGATGTCTGAGCAACTCATTTTCAATTGCAATAGAAATAATACGATTGTCACTTTTACAAACATGCTGTAATACATCATCATATGAAATTGTACGATAATAAAAGAAAATGAAAAATTAAATTCGGAAAATTTAATTAATAATTAGTTTAGAGAAAAATGAAAATATTTTAAAAAACAAATCTTTATATTTACTTGGAGAGAAGTAACGATTTTAAACTAGCTAAATCCTGTTTTAATTCTTGCACCAGCTGAGGAATCGTTGGATCGACTGAATGACTTTTTGCCAAATTTTGAACATCGACCTCGACTTTTGAAAGAGATTCTTTAACTTCTCTCATGGAACGTTGAATTGTTTGATCTAATTCCTTCACCGAGTCTTTTGGAGGATCAGGTTTTTTACGTCCGAACAACAAAGGTGCAATGAATTTCTAAAAAAAAAGAAGAAGTTTTCAATTTCAAATAAATTATTAACAATTTGTAAATAAAAAAATTTGTACATTTTTACCTTATAAAACCAATAAACGCAATAAGTAGTGGCACCAATTAAAGCAGCTAAATTAAAAAATTCTTTCACTTTAAAAAATAAATTAGGTTGAAATGAATGATGATGATAATATGGATATAATTGTCCTGGAGGTTGTTGTATCGTCACAGCAGCGTATTCATTTTGATTTGTTGATTTTTGCGATAAATTTGCCAAATCACAAGCTCTTTGAATTTCCATATCAGTGAGACCTTTTCTTTTTAAAAAATCTTGCTTTTGACTTAATGGACTAGCTGTTACTTTTGGATTCTGCAGAAATTTTACTGCTGTATTTATCTATAAAAAAATGTTTAGTCATTTATTTTATATCATTATTTTATTTAATACACATATAAAGAAACAAATTTAGAAACTAATAATAAATAAAAATAAAATTTCTGTTTCTAAAAATAAACTTTCAAATTTTTGCCAAGTTCAAAGGTTATAGAACTTTGTAAAGGTTATGTTAATAATAATTAAAATAAATTATGTATATAATAAATTCATGAATGTACGTTAAAGAAATTATAAAACAAGGGCTTATTTATAATTAAAATTTAACTTGAATGATATTTAAAAAAAGTACTTACAAGTTGTTCTCTGAGAGGGGTTTCATTGTTTGTATTGTTATCTGCCATTGTTATATATTTTTAATTAATATTTCCCTTTGGTTATATGTTTCTTATCTTTTTTAGCCTTTGAACGTACATAATTATGCAATAGCCACTAGAATAAATTGATTTTAATCACATTTTCTTTGAAAGCATAAAAAAAGCAGTATAATTACCTGTCATGTCTTGAATATAGGTTATAAGCGCAAATACAACCGGAACTTCATATATCAAATTTTCCACAATTAATTTTTTAAAAATGTTTTTTTCTTGTAAAATATTATTTTATTTATTTAAACAAAGGACAACTATATAAATAAATTGCGTATATGTAAATTTTTAAAACATTAACATCTTTGTTTAGTAATTTCCTGTTATGACGAAAATAAAAATGGCGAAAAGTGAGGGAAAAACAAATGCATTATGAATATCAATTAAAAGATATTTAATAATTGTCATTCAAAAAAAAAAATACAATTAGATAATTTAATAAGTAGATAATTAGATAATTTATTTCGTTAATCTGTTAAACTACATACAATGAAAAAAAGTGAAAATTATTTACATATAATGAGGAAAATTTAATAAAAAATATTTCAATTAAAAAGACATTGTTTTAATTTGCCTGTCTTATTTTTCTTCTTAATTCCTTTAATTTGTCACGTAAACTGTTTCTAATGTTTATATCCGATGTCAATTTCCAATTATATGTTTGTGCATGTGAACGAACAAATTCTGGAAAAAAAATTGTATTTAGTTTAAATAAATTAATTTTTTATTTATTAATATAAATATAATATATTATATTTATTTATTCATATCATGAATACATACGAAGCATAACTTCCACAGCAATTGTTGGAAGACGTGGCCTCTTTTTATCTTCTGTATCTGATGCTTTTCCATCTAGTGATGATTTTCTTAGCGCTTCAGGTGTAAATAATTCACACATAATTCCTCTGGCTAATACATTTTGACTTTGAGCTCGTGAAAGAATTCGTTTTAAATTCAATTTATTAATAAACACTCCACTATTTTTAACTAATTCAATGATCTGTAAAATGTAAATCAAAGTGTTATTATTTTTATTCAAATTAAGTAAAAATATATATAATATTAAAATACCATTTTATTATCAAAATTTTCAGCCTTATTTTGCATCATCCATAAATCTTCGGGTAAAATTTTATCTTCTTTTAAAAAAACATCACTTGAAGGTGATCTACCACCTTCTACTTCACAAAAAGCGAAATAATTTATATAATCAAATTCATTTTGTGAAGAATTTGAAATATGTTGCATTTCATCTTCACTACTTTGATCTTCTAATAAAGCAGAATTTTCCATATTCTCATATTGATGGGATTGTTCTTTATAATTTGACTCTATCAGAAACTTAAATATATTAAAAATTAAAATAAATGATATTTAAATCTTTAAAAAAAACAATTTATTATTAAATAATTAAATACCTTTTTGATATCTAAAAGTTCCTCGTAGGCTTTTTTTGCAAATTTTAAAGCATTGTCGACTTTGGTCATTAAATTTTCTTTTTTTTGCTTTTTGTTTAAACAATCTTTTAACATCATAGCTTTTCTTTTTAGTTCCATATTTTGTAATTGTCTTTGTTCATATTCGTGTTTTTCCTTTTCATTTCTCTTTTTGCTAAACGTTGCACTCTCTTCTTCTTCTTCTTTTACTATTACTTCATTTTTTATTACTACGCTCATCTTAATAAATGAGTCTTCACAATCAAAAAAATTTACTAATTTTTCTATTCAGTAGATATAGAAATTTTCTTCTGTCAGACTTTTGACACACTTCTATATTTTGCAAGAATTTATCAAAAAATTAAATTATAATTCATTTTTTAAACACTTTAATTATAAAATTATTTAATTATTTATTTATAAAATAAACTTATTTCTGGACCGGTGTGATCATTAAACAGTCATGAAATAATAAATATTATGATTGTCATCTGACGAACTGTCATTGTAGTTTAATGTTTACTAACATAGATGGCTCTTATCCAACAAATCAACTGTTGATAACACTTTTCTAATAATTACTATATCAGGTTGTGATGCGGCGCTGGCATCGAAAATTGTCGGTTTCCCCCCTCAATCCCCCCGATCCATTGACTTTATTGTAGGTAGACGGTAACAACCGTGGTAATAACTTTAAGTGTAATTCAAGGAAATCTAGCCTCAGTTAAAATTTTAAACAAAAAATAAACAATTATGGATAACAGTTCCGAGGAAAGTCAAGGGATTCAAGGAGAAAATAAAACAGGTAAATAGAAACTAAATGACAATAGGTATACGTCTAATTTCATTATTCAATTTTTTAATACCCTAAAAGACAATTCAAGAACAAATTAAATTCATCCTGTATAAATAATGCTAATCGACTTTTATTCTTAGTCATCAATTCATAAAAATGTAAATTGAAAATGCAATCAATTTATTTATAATTTATCATAGATGGAGTGCAAACCAAGTTGCAAAACTTAGAGACAGAAAGCAAACATATGCAGGAACAGTTCAATATTCAAAGAGCAAAAATGAAAGAATTATTTCTTCAAAAAGAAGGTTTGTTTCCAAATGAATTTTAATTTATATTTCTTTAATTTAATTACACAATTAAATGTGAATACAAAGAACTAAACTTGTCACTGATCATTAATTTGCATTGTCATCAATAATTTATATTTTAATTTTTGGAGTAAAATTATTTTATATTTAAAGAATTTCATCATTTCTAAATATCAAATTAAGAAAGAAATATCAGTTTTTTTTTTGTTGTAATAAATGAATTTATTAATGAAAAAAAAAATAAATATTATTGCGTGAATAATTTTTCTGCAGAGGAATTGAAACAAAAACAAGAAGAATATCATACAATGCAAAAGGAGAATACAAAATTAAAAAATGAATTGGATGACGTTAAAAGTCAATTGATTGTTGTTGATTTAAAAACTCAAAATGACATTCTTTTTGAAAAACGTAAGGCACAGGAAGAAATAGCTTCATTACAGCAAGTAATTAATGAAACTGTTGAGGAATCATCATCATCTTGTAAGCAATTAGATAACGAAGTTCGTAAATTGAAATCAGCAATTTTAAGACTGGAAGAAGAAAATTCTTCATTACGAATGCAAATACCACGTGATCCACCAATCGATGGTCCGATATCATTGTCCACTGTAACGAAAACTTTAGCTAGAAAAGTCGTCTCACAATTGGGCGCTGATAATTTATCTTTAGGTTCTGATAATTTAGAGGAAAGCATGCGGAAGGTAAACAAATATGTACGTAAACATGTGAAATCGCAATTTTTATTTTTTACGTTGTATACTAACAATTTTCGTTGTTTTTTTTTTATCACGCTTTATATTCTAGGAAAATTGAATTTCTAAAAAATACTATTAGTACTTATCTAATCACTAATATATAAATACATTTATATATAATGTTTAGCTACTTAAATAAATATTTGTTTAGTTATTTTCAATTAAAGAATAAAATTACATATCAGGCTCAAGAAGACGCGGAAGTATTACGTTCTTTGGTGGGACCATTGGAAGAAGAAATTAAAGCGTTAAAAGAAAAATTACGAGCAACCGATGAGGAATTACAAAAATGTAAAGAAACACCAATTTTAAAACCAGCATTTGATTCTACAATGGGTTCATCTGAATCAGTTTGTAATATGTGTGTTAATTATGAAGCACAATTAGTGAGAATGCAAGAGGATGCTAAAAATTTTGATAAACAATTACAAGAGTCAAATCGTTTATTACAATCGCAAAAAGATGATTTATTCAAGGAAGTTGAATTTCGTAAGGGAATGGAGGAAAAATGGAATGAAAAAAAAGAGGAGCATAAAATCAAAATGGAAGAACTTACCTCGCGATTAAATATTTCTCAGCAAGCTTTAAATGAATTGAAGCAAGCCTATAATCAAACATTTGAAACAGTTAAAAAAGAATTGTCAAAACTTGTCGTTGGCAGAGAAGAAGTTCAAAAACATCTTGATGAGTAAGAAAATATTTTTTAATTTCTTTTTTAGATAATTTTTTTTTTTTAATGTATGAAAATAGTTTGCAGAAACGAAACGAGTATCTAACGGGAAAGCATAGCAAACATTCACAGGCGTTGCAAAATGAGAATATTAATATGCCAAACAGTGTTGAGGAATTACACGTAAGTTTATTGAGGATTCGTGAAGAATTAATTGTCGCAAAAGTTGCACAAGAAGTAGCGCATGAGAATGAAGAGACTTTAAGATGTGAAGTTAATTTATTACACGAACAAATGGACCAAGATAATCGTCTCAAAGAACAACAGGAAGCTGTACTTTTAAGTGAAAACATGGAACTTAAGTAAGTTTAAAATTTTTTTGTTTCTATATAGATAAAATTCTTTTGAATTTAATTATTATTTAATTATAAAAAAATGAAAATAATTTTTTTTAGAACTCAGCTTGAAACATGTAGTAGAGAATGTGAATCAAGCGCTGAGAAAGTACAAAGAGTAGATCAAGTAGAAAAACGATTGGATGAATTATTGAAAGAAAAAGAAAAAGTTGATTCCACTGTTAATGAACTTCGTCAAAGGTTGTCAAGTCTTCAACAAGATTTAGATACCAGCGAGGAAGTACAAAAGGATTTTGTTCGACTTTCTCAATCTCTTCAGGTAATATTTTTTTTGAAAAATAAATATTGTTTAAAAAAACATTCTTTTTAAAGGAATAAAATTTTTAAAAAAATGGTTTAATACTTACAGATTCAATTGGAAAAGATTAGAGAAGGAAACATTGAAGTTAGATGGCAACACGATGAAGATGTCGAAGAATGTCCAAGTTGTCATGTAGCTTTTTCGGGCACCAAGAAAAAGGTATTTTTTGTCTTCTTTAAATAAAATGTCTTTCCAGATTCTCAAATCACTCTATATATTCTGAAAAAGAAGAGAAAAAAAAATATTTAAAAAAAAAATCTAATTTACAGGTACATTGTAGACATTGCGGTCATATATTTTGTCAATCTTGTCTGAAACATCAAGTTCTCAGTGGACCAAAACGAAGACCATCTCGAGTTTGTATGGTGTGTCATACATTGTTAGTTCGTGACACGGCTCCATATTTTAGCAGAGAACCACCACATACACCAGATTAATTAAATATTTTCAAAAAGTAAATAAATAAATAAAAAAAAAAAAAAACTGAAGACAGTAATAGTGAGACGTGCAATATCAAAGTGATATATGATTGTGAGCCATACTAAATTCAGACTCTAGTTCAAAAATATAGTATGCAATGGCGCAATTAATTTTTCAATCGAACAAAGATCGTGATCGATTGAACAAACAAAAAAATATCCTTGCAGAGTGAAAAAAAAAATATATATTATATTTTAAAGCTTCACGCCCTGTTTTATTTCAATTCAAAATATCGAATAACTTCGATTTTTTGCTTGAAATCGCGTACCTTGTGAGACTTCTAGGAACTTCCCCTTGAAAAAAAAAGCTAGAAAAAATTTTCTGTAAATATGAAATTGTGTACAACTTAATATTTCCTGTAATTTAAAATAAATTAAAGCATCAATAAGATCCGAGTCTTGTATTATTCAATTAAAATCAAAATTAACATTCATAATTATAAAATTGAAACAAATATGTTCAATAATTGAAATTTAATACATAAATTAAAAATTTAATTCAATAAAATCGAAATTCTATTCTTTTTTCTAAAAAGTTTAAAACTGAACTCACAGTTTGGAAATCAAAAATTGTATATATAATAAAAAACAAAGTTATTTATTTTATTGGACGAAACAAGAGTAAAAAAATTCTAAGCACCTAGCAATAATCTCGTTTTGAGTCGAAAGACAATTCTAACGACGTGTCTAAAACAATTAAATCTCATTATTTAAAAATTAATTAATTAATAATTTTTTTTTTTTTAGAGTTTTGTCAAATATCATATATCAGCAGTAAATAATTATTACTGGGAAGAAACTTAAAAATAAACACGCTAACACTCACTTATAGTGATAATTAAGAGTACATAAGTGCATTAATCACTAGTCTGATGGCTTTGAAAGATCCTTTCGACATTGGGCTTCCAAGTTGCGTAACTTTTTAAGTCTATCCAATGGGTCGATAAGGTGTCTCGAGTCTGGAATAACATCGGCAACGTGTGCAGCTTCTAAAAAAGAAATATTTTTTTTAGTTTAATATAAATAATTCTTATTTAATAAATTTTAAAATAATTCGATTTCTTTATAGTTTAACTGAAAGGATCTTTTTATTTTTACCTGCTATATATTGTTTATTAATTTGAGAAACATGATTTTGACTTTTTCTAGCTTGATCAATATTTTTGAGTCCCTGCTCTATAAAATCTTGAAAGAATTGATGTGATTTTATTAGAAAAGGCTGTACATCTGCCTCAGGATGCTGTAGTTTAAAGTCGTATAACTGTGTTAAACCCTAAAATTAATCAGATAACTTAAGTTTATTTATTATTAATTGTATTATATGAGCTTTAATTAATTGAAATATTCTATAAAATGGTAACTTTTTTTTTTAAATATTAAAAACAAAATTAGAAAAAAAAATATTTACCTCTTGTGTTTGAGTTTTAGATCCAATCTTCTTAAAAATTTCAGAAAGCTGCTGGTGCGTGTATTTACAAAGGTGCTTTTGAGATTTTACTTGATTGCCTGGTTTAACATTATTTCGCGATGCTGCATTCATCTCATCCGGTTTGAGTGTCTGAGAAGATTATTAGTGTATTATAAGGATAGGATTCGGAACAAGGAGGGAGTCAGAAAACTAGATTTTACTTTTTTTTTCTCCCAATAATATCACAAATATGCAATAACTTCATCCCTTTTTTTAAAATTTAAAAACTACAAAATATAATTAATAAAACACAGAATGTTCGAAAAAAAAGTTCACTTTTTGAAAACTAATAACAATAATATAATATTTCAGAGTCGTTTTTAGACACACCCTGTATAATATTAATTATATGATAATTATTAATGTTTATTATTCAGTTATAATATTAATATAACTAATACTAAAACAATAATTATATAACTAATTTTATTATTAACTATTAACAACTAAAATTCTAACTATAAATTATCAATTTAAGTGTTAGATGAATTAGAAATGTTACTGATGAAAATAAATGTTTTATTGAAAATAAAATGGTACAAAAAAATAGTTTAAAAAAAAGTGTCGAAACTGATATTTCTTTTTTTTTTTTTAAATGATTTCTTATAGAAATTTCATTCATGCTTGTCTATCATGTAAAACGGCGTTCCATTATAATGGCTAAATAATCTAATTATTACTTTTTAGTTAAAGTTTTAGATGTACTAACCGTGATAAGTCTTAATAGATAGGAATGTAGTTCGGACTCTTTCGTATTATTAATTTGAGATAAATGATTTAAAATACTGTTTCCCTTAATCCTTGTCATACTATGTAGAATTGTTTTTATTGTTCTCAATGGCGTATCTGATTCTCTCTTCTTCCACCAAGTGGATGGATAATCCTAAAATTAAAATTAAAAAATAATTAAATACAAATACAGAAAAAAAATTTCGAGTCACAAAAAATAACTTACTTTAAAGAAATTATGGATTTCAAGAAGAATAGCGTCGTAATCTAATTCACTTGCCCAATTTGGAATTGTTTTCACAATTTTCCACAAACATTTCATAACTAATTCCTCATATTTTGGTAGAGAATCCGATTCCGTGCAATCATGTAATAATTTCACAAGTACACTGAAAAAATTAGAAAAAATTAAAAAACTCAAATTTTTTATTTAAATAATAGAAAATATTTTACGTACCATAAAATTGTAGTGTGATTAGAATTGTCAATTGTTTTAATAACAACATTATTTATCACACGATTATAAGCCTCAGCTTCATTTAATTGATCGAGTTTATTTTCTGCCAATAATGTGATCATTTGATGAACTAATTCTTTCAAATGATTTGTTGGTACATTTTTTCCAAGAAAGCCCGATTCATAAAACTAAAAATAGAAAACATTAAACATTACAAGTCAATAAAAAAAAAAATAAATAAAAATCTGAAAATAATGAAAGAAGGCAATTGAAATATGTACTTACAGCTAAAATGACCATAAAACAAGTTCTAAATGCTTTTGAAATATCAGTACTGCGATCTGTGTTTAACGAATATGTTTGCAAAAGTTTCAATTGTAAATTTACAGCACTCATAAATTTGTCCTCCTTTGTCTGCATGGCCATAAATTGATGTGACTTCAAGAACTGAAGATTTGAAAAAAAAAATTAATACAATTTTTATAAGTAAAATTAAAAAAAAAAAGAAATTATATAAAACTTACAGTTTCCATATTATTCATTGCCTGAATAGCAACAGGAGGATCAAGACTCGTCATTGCTTCAATTTTACGATCAAGATCATCGCCTTTTGGCCTCACCAAATTTTGAACATTTGCTGATTTTGGATCCAATAGTTTTGGAGGTGAAATAGGAATTATTCTAAAAAAAAAAGAAAAAATATGAAACGATTGACAAATTTATAAAATCTTTTGAAAAAAAAAATTATTATTTACTAATATTATACTAACTGATTTGGTTGTAATTTAATGTGAATAGTATCGTTCAAATCGTCGAGATTTGGTTCAAGGAGAACTGGATTTCGACATTTTACCGGAGCAGTCGATTCTATTCTTTCAAGAAGTTCCATATCCAATCCAAATGGACCCGAGGGCTTTGTTGGTATTTGTTGAGGACTGTTTCTAACAAACATTCTAAAATTTTCCAAAAATTGAAATTTTTATTTAAAAAGATTTACGCTAATAAAAAGAAAAATTCGCTATTAATAAAAAAAAAAATTACCTCTCGTTAGGGGCTTCATTTTCTTGTTCTTCCTCAATGTCATCCTCGTAATCATCCTCAATTGGTTCTACCACTGGAATCGGTGGTACTGGATCTCTTTCCCTTGGTGGGGCAATTTGCGTCGACGAACTTGATTTCAAAGGTCGATTTTTAGCAGCTCTTTTTATTCTTTCATCCAATAAGGATTGATCTTTCTCTGAAATGTGTCCAACGAATTTAAAAACTTTTTCACCCTCAAGAAAATACACTTGAACTATACAATTTAAAGCCGCATTTCGAACTGAATTATCTCGATCTGCTATTTGTTTTGCAACTTCCTTTAAAGCCATTGATGGCGAGGGTTGACACACTGAGATTCCATAGTTTTCTATTAAAGATCCTAATTGATCGAGGCACTCTAAAAAATAAAATTTTATGTCAATTTTTAAAAATATTCAAAATAAACTTTAAATTTGTTTTTTTTTTATTAGAAGAAAATTACCTGTCCTTTGTCTAGCATTTTTGGACTTTAGGCCCTCCATCGTATACATGAATAATTTGCTAACAGGATAAACTAACGCTATTTGTTTAAACAGTGCCCTAACACCATTACGAACAGCATCCTTTGGATCTCCTATCTGTGATAAATAAAACAAAATACAATAAAAACAATTCCTAAAATTTTTATTATTATAATATTTACCTTAATAATCAGGTAAGGAATAAATGAAGCAGCCTCATGCTCTTGCATATGATACTGATCATCTATCAAAATATTAAATACCGCTTGTAAATATTCCAATCCTTTTAATAATACTGAGGGATTTGTATCGAAAAATCTGAGCGTCAACCATTTGAGTATTAAATCCAAATTTGACACAAGCGCTTTATTATTTCCCGGAAGATCCTAAAATAGTAAAAATTTGTAAAATTACAGTTATTTCTAAACATTAATAATACTTTTCGCAAGAATAAAAAAGAAAAAAAAAATGGAGAAAAAAGTAATTAAATACCTCTGTTAATGATTCGATGGCCTTAAGATGATATCGAAAGTCCGCATGAAACATATTAGCGCACAATGTTTTATTAACATTAGCAGTAGCCATAAGTTCCTTTAATAATTCCACAAATTCTTCCCTTGGAGTTGTGAAATTCCATTTTAAAACTTTGAGTTTCTGCTCGTCAATCACGCGCTGATGCTTCAAATTATTGACAGCCAATAATGGACTAGAATCAACTTCTTCATCTTTTTTTCTTGCAGTACCTGGTTTTGAGCTGGCTCCTGCTTTTGTTTTAACAGCAACTTTCGATGCTTTCATTGCACCGCCGCTTTTCACTGTTTTTTGTGATGCATTATCATCGGATTGCTTTTTCGTTGGTAATGGTTTAATTGGTAAATTTGATCGTGCTTTGTCTAAAATTGTCAACACCACTGATTTTGAACCAGGTTTCAATTTCTCTGTATTCCTTGACATTGCCTCAAATGATAAATGCATCATAAATCCTAAAACAGATTCCTGTGCATTTTTTCTAACATCCGAATTGCGATCCTCTAAATTACTAAATAAAATTGGCAAACAAATTGTTAATTCTTCTTTTGGAATTTGTTTCATTGGAATAAGTGGCAATGCTTGCGATAACCAAATCCATAATTCTGAACGTAATGCAGGTGATCCGGCTTTTAATGCATCGCCAATCATTTCACCGTCAAAAAATTCTTTATATCCACATTGTTCGGTCCAAGTATTGATGCAAGAAATTGCAGCGGTTCTTATCCAATTTTTCGAATCTCCAAGACATTGAATAAATCCTGGAAAGAGTGTGCGAATATGTTGCTTTATTGGTGAACCCATTGCAGTTGCCAATTGTTCACAGACACCAAGTGTTGTTTGGGCAATTTTACTATTGCTATCAAGTAATCGCGGTGCAAGCATTTGTGGAAGATCGCCAATCGATGATTTTATGAATTTCACTTCATTTAAAATATTTGTTATCTTTTGTAAACCTTCGTTACGAACTTTCCAATTTTTATCAGATAATTCACTAAATAGACTCTCGGTAATATGGCCACTAATATCAATGCGCGATTGATGATCAACATCTTGATTTTCATTTGATTTCTCTTCAATTTCTTCTTCCATTGGCTCCGATTGAATTAATTTAATTTTCTTACTTTTTGCACCGCGTATTGGTGCCGGTGGTGATTCACCGCTATGTTTTTCACATTCTTGTTCAATTTGCTGTTTTAAAGCTGGTTTCTCACTGTCAAAATAATTTAAAAGATTTCTTCCCAAATAGAGATATAAATTGCCAACTAAATTAATTCCCGCACTACGCACAGTTGGATTAATAGCAGCAACGGCTTTCTTTACACTATCCAAAAGTGTACTCGTATTATTTGGACAACCAAATTCTGTTAATGCTTTCGATAACCAAATAAGACTCTCTTGTTGAACTTTTGGACTTTTTTGATTGAAAGCAAAAGTTATAACTTCATTGGCAACTTGATCGAAACTTGTTGCTTCTGCAATTGCCGTTAATGTTTCACTGGCAATTGAACTATTTTTCACATCACCCAATTTTTCAGTTATATCCATTAGGCAATATTCATTGACAGTTGTTGAGAATGGATAATTTTCAGCGAGAAGTTTCACAATCTCGATACGAAGTTTGATTACTTGAAAATTGGTATCTTTGAAACCAGGTTTTTTCGTCAATGTACGAACAATAACTTGAGCTGATAATTCCGAATCGTTTGCTTTTACAATTTCAGCAAGTTGTTCAACAGCAGCCAAACGTGTTTTCCAATTACTATCGACAAGTCCAGAAATTACATCATTCGATAAAACTTGAGTTGCTATTTCATCAACTTCCTCGGGTGTTAAATTTCTCTCAGCTTGTGATTTTGATTGTGTTTTCTTTGATGGAACAGCAGATGAATCGGATGGTTTTTTAATTCCCGTCTTTTTAACAGCCGCTGAAGCAATTTGTCGTTTTGGTTTAACTATTTCCTTTTCTGTCTCTTTATTTTTAACTGGAGATTGAACTTTCGATGATGCAGGACGTTGACTCTTTTTCACCGGTTGTGTTTTTACAATTATCACTGCTTTCTCGGCACATTCCTTAATTTTGGCCATTTTCAAATTATCGAGATCAGGTAAAAATGGCAAGAGGGCTTTTTCACCGACAAGTTTCATTGCCGTACCAAGTGCTTCCGCTGAATTATCACGTACCAAAAGATCAGATTCATTGAGTGTTTTTAAAAGTGCTGTTGTATAGGCCTTCAAAAGTTTTTTATTTAAACTCGCTGGTGGAGTTTTTGTAAAGCATCGTGCAAGAAATGATGCAGTCTCAGCCTTTACAGCAGGATTTTTATTATCTAAAGCACCAATTACATCCTCTAAAATTACATCTATGGTAATACTGAGAAATATTGCATCGGAACATTCGCGAAGTACTTGAACAACATTTTGTTTCTTTTCACGAAACTTTTCAAGAATTGTTGATAAACAAGACAGGGCATAGGGAGTAAATTGTTTTTTAAGGCCATTTGACAATCCAGTGAGACATTTTCCAGCAAGAGTCACTATTAACACGTTCGAATCTTTAGCTATAAGCTGTAAATTTTAAAAAATAAATTTTTTTACTACTGATATTTGTATTAATTATTAAAAATTTTAACTAAATTTACCTTTTTCAGAACTCGTACAATATCTCCATAGTCGCCATTTTCTAATTTTGGATTCTCTGCGAGCTTTTGCAAACTTTCGAGACCTTCTTTACGTTCTTGCCACTTTTTTGATTCAACTTTTTCAAAGAAATCTTTCGGAAGTTTTGAAATAATATCCACAGGATCCAACAGTTCGTAAGGATCAATTTGTTGTTCGCAATCACCTTCATCAATCTCTTTTTCATCTATAAGATTTAAATTTTTATTTTAAATTACAAATTTTAATGATTGTAATTTGTAATTTTTTTTTTTTTTTATAAATACCATCTACGTCATTAGTGCCGTCATCAACAATATTACGTGTTTCTTTCGGTTTCTGTGATCTTAAGTACCGATTTGGAATATACTTTTGGTTTCCCACATTTTGAAATTCGGACTCAAGTTCCGTTAATTGCACTGGTTTTAAAGTATTCAGTTGTTGTTTCAAAGGTGCACCAATCCACCTGAAAAATAATTATATACAGTTTTCAAATAAGAAAGCAAATTTTTGTAATTAATATAAATAATTTTTTTCTCACTTATATATTTCAACGGCAAGAATTTTCCCCTCATCACGAACAGTTTTATCACGGTCCTCTAAGAATGCGGGAAGTTTTTTAATTAAAGGTTTGACACTCACAACTTTAGGTCCAAATTCCCTATAAAAATAAATTATTAACCTTTTTTTTTATTCTGATTTTAAAAATAGAAAAATAAAAATATTAAAAGAAATAAAATAAAAAAATTATACCTTAGAGAAAGTGTTAAAGTTGAGAGACAAGCAGCAACAATTTTAGGATTCTTTGCTTCTGTTCCTTTAAGTAATTCCTCTTGAACGGCTTCTTGTTTTTCAATTTCAATATACATAAGTGTCAATTGTACAGCCAATTCTTTAGTTTTTGTTTTTGGAGCCGCAATACACTTGGAAACAATACCACTCATAACATCGCCGGCAGTCCTTGAAAAAAATGAATAGTTTACATTATAGCAGAAATAGATTTTACATATAATTTTTTTTTTTTATTTTTTTAATCCTCAATACTTACTTTCCAGCGACTGCAGCATTTTCCACGAAAGCAAGAACAGCTTCCAAACCTTTTTCCTGAGCAGCTGCATTACTGTCAATTATAAATTTTTTAACAAGACCCACAAATTTATTAAATTCCGGTGATTTTTCATCATCAATACAACGAAATGATTTCGCGCATTCTTCATAACCATGCAATCGAGCCTTCCATAACTAGAAAAAAAAATTCACAAATATTAATATATCTGTTAAGAAATAAAAGTATATATCAAAAAAAAATTTAATTACTTTATGAACAACACGATCTTCCACTGGCAATTTATTGTATTCAGTATCCTCTTCCATTTTTCAGATCCTACAAAAATAAATCATTACAATTTACATGACTATAGAAAAAAAAAATCGTAAATTATACGAAATTGCGACTAAAATTGTTTTTGAATTGACAAAGGTTACGGAAATATCCTATCAGAGGAAAAATACAATTTCTGATATATACATGTATGTATGTATGGATATATATATATATATATAGTTACTCTGAAAAGATGACATATAATTTAAGAAATGAAAACTGATTAAACATCTCTTTCTGTATAATTTTCAAAATTTAGAATCAGCCTTTAATTCCTTTCAAGTCTGAATCATGTTATTGCCGCAAAAATAAAGCTGATGATACCAAATATGTCAATGATATGTATGTCAATGATAACAGCAAATTTGGACAAAGAAAATCAATCTCACGAATCGTCACAATTAATAAACTCTAATGACGTACATATTGCGTATTAAATTTTATGTAAACATCAATCTATTGAAAATATGACTAATAAACATTAAATATCAAACTATATATAATAATTGTATTCACCGATTAGTTTTAAGCCATTAGAAAGAGATAAAAAAAATCAACGCTCCTATGAGATATTCACACTAATTTAGAATGAATTCGTTAAATTAAATAAAAAACAACTTACCTTTATTAAATAAACGATACTTGACACAGTAGCTTAAAAACTATCACTAACACTCAGATCTATTTGTTAATTAATTAAAATAAATCAAATGTTTTGCAATCCCTCATAACGATCTTTCAGGTCGCCATTAATTCTACATTTCAAATATATTCACCATATATGACGAAAATTCAATTGATTGTCGCAAGAGATACTTGTTCTGCAAACGGGTCAATGTGAATTCCACTTTTTTCCCACTAGAGTGCGCTACCTTTGATTTTTTTTCCCCGCTTAAAAATATCTAACCAATCAAAAATGTGAATTTCTAACATTTCCATTTAATAATAAAAACTGACCAATCAAATGTTTTGTACACAATATTTAAATTAAAAAAAAAAATTTTTTTGAAATTAATTACTAATTTGTATTTGTAAAAATTTATTCATTTAGATTTGTAATTATAAACTATTTTAATAATAAACTTTTTTTTTAACAATATCTTAATTTATATTATAATTGATTTTTTTTTTCTAAAAAAAAGAATTGTTTTTTTAAATCTATTTCGATGATGATCGCTCAGTTCTCGTGATAGTTGACATACCGTCAACAAATTTCGTTGTAAAAAGAACATTTGCATTATTAAACATACCATCTTTTAAGGAGACTAAAACAAATTGTGAATGTTTAAAATGTCTTTTAAGCATTGTTCCAATATTCTCAGTATGTGAAAGATCCAATGCTGCATCAACTTCATCCAAAATATATAAAGGTGCAGGTTTAAATAAAAGCATCGCTAAAATTAATGAAAGTGCCACTAACGATTTTTGACCACCAGAAAGTTCACCCAACGATTCTTTCCAAACACCTGAAAAAGCAATTTTTACCTCTAAACCATCCAAAACTGTTTTACTTTCCGGTGGTTGTAATTTTGCACTTGTTCCTGGTAACAATGTACTGAATATCGATCCAAAATCTTTGTTCACCTGTAATTAATTTTTGTTCAAAAGTATTTAAAAAAAAAAAATCCTTTTTACTTAACTAGTAACCTAATATCTTTGTTATTAACATTTTTCCTACCTGTTCCCATGCTTGAAGAATAGTCTCTTTTTTCTTTTCGTCCAAATGTTTAATTGTTTCTAAAATTTTTCTCTTATCGTTCTCAACGATTTTCTTTTTGTCCAACATCACTTTATATTGTTCCTCTTCTTTATTTAAAAGATTCATTGCTCTTGTGTTTACATTTCTACTCAATCGATCACGTTGCGATTCTAATTGATGCATTTTTTGTCCCATTTTCTCAGGATCGTTTACACTAAAGTCGTACATTCCTCCTGTAACATTATTAATAAAAAAAAAATAAAAATATTAAATAATTTATTATAAATAAAAAATGATTTCTTATTCATACCAGGTTCTCCAAAATAGGCTTTATCCTGCTCGATCCATTCGTATTTTCTCATTAGATCAGCAACTTTATTTTTACATTCATTGGCATTATTTTTAATTGCACTAATTTCATGATTAAGTTTCTTTATTTCTAATTCCGTGTCACTAGCTTGTTTTATAAGTTCCTCCTTTTTGTTTAACATTTTTTGTATTTCTTTACTCTTTTGATTTATGATATCTTTTTGTTTCTTCAATTCCTTTTGTACTTCAGCAACTTCTTCTTTTACTGTTTTTAATTCATCTTTTAATGTAGATTCCTTTTCTTTAAGCTCAACTAATTTTGCCTCTGCTTTTTCAAGTTGCTCTTTTCCACTATCAATTGTCTTCTTTAATTCAGACAATTCTAAATTTAACATTTCCGATTCCTGTTCACGTTTCTGCCATTCTTTTCTACTCTCCTCTGATTTTTTTCTCAAAATTTCCAACTTCTTCTCAGCCTCCTTCAATTGACGCTCACGTATATTTGCCGAGTCTTTTAATTGTACCTCAAGATCTTTCGCCTTTTTTGAACTAATTTTCTCGGTTTCTTTCGCCTCTGCCATTTTTTGTGTAAGTTCCTGAATTGATGCTTGTAAAGCTTCAACCTAGAAAATAATTTCAAAAAATGAATTATGGTTTTTAAGAAGATTAAAATTTTTTTTTTTTTACCTCTTCTTTAATTTGATGATGTGTGGTTTGTTGAATTCTCATGCGGACCATTTCTACTTCATGAAGTTTGAGATCATATGTTTGTTTCAACATTGTGTACTTTTGTGCATTCTGTCCAATATTTGCAATATTTAATTCAATTTCACGTAACTCGTCATTCTTTTGATTCAATTCGTTTTGAAAAACTTTTAATTCTTCTAATTTAAGAAGAATTGAACCGCCCTTTGCCCGAGCACCACCAGAAAGTGTACCGGACGGATCAAAAACATCGCCTTCGAGTGTCACACATTTTTTCATAATACTATCGTGAAATGCAATTTTTCTTGCAGTTTCCATATCTTTGCAAATGAAAATTTGACCAAAAATCCAATTCATCGCTGGTCTTGTCTCCTCTGGGAAATCAATGAGATTCAATGCCGGTTGAACATTTTCTCGTCCCACTAATTTTTGTGCTAAATCCACTATTCTTTTGTCCATTACACGTCCACTGATTTTATTTAGAGGAATAATTGTCACACGTTGTTGAAGTTGACCGCGTTGCAAAAGTTTTTTACTCGTATTTTCCGTATCGACAATGACATTGTAAAGCTGTAATGTTATCAAATTTGTATTAAATTAAAATTATTATTATAAAATTTCTACTAACCTTTCCACCAGCTGCAACGTCTAAAGCATAAGCACTTCTATGATCACGTAAACTGATAAGATGACAGACTAAACCTTTCACAGATTCTCTTCGAAAATTTGGCTCAGGATCTCGATAATTAAAACGAACTTGATGATGTCTCGATTCAAAATCATCAATTTTATCCTGTAAATTTCTTATATCTCTCTGCAACGCTTTTCTTCCTTCCTGATAACCCTCCAATGAACCCTCAGTATAATTTACATTTTTTAATTCATTTTCCAATTTTTGTAAATTTTGTTCAACATCTGCCAATTTTTTACTATCTTTTTTATAATCACTTTCAGTATTTCGCATGTCATTTTGTTTTTTAGTCAATTGTTGTTTACTATGAGAAAGTGTCATTTCACATTGTTTAACCTCAGTTTGTGCTTGTGTTGCTGTTTGTTTAGCATTAATTAATTGTTGTTCCAATGTTGCATTTTCACCTGTATCATTCTCCAATAAACCAGAACTTATTTTTTGATATGTTTCTTGAGCGGCAAGAAATGCATCAGAATCTCTTTGATCTTTTTCTTTTAATTGTTGAAAGAGTCCACCAACTTTTTCAAGTTGCTTTTCCTTTGTTGTTAACATATTTTCATCATCGGAAATATTCGATTTTAATTGTTCTAATGCTTTTGTTTCCGTTTTAATATTTTCTTTATTACCATTAACTTCGGCTGCTAATTTCAATTCTTTCTTTTCCACTTCTTTTAGATTCGATTCCAATGTTTCGAGATGAAGTCCCTTGTCCTGTAAAAAAAAAAAAACAAAAAAACAATTGTAAAAATGACAGATTTGAATTTATTAAACTTTATAATACTAACTTCATCTCTTTTTTTCTGCAAGACAACAACTTCAATCTCGATTCTTTTTACTTCTTCTTCACCATCCTTTATGCTCTTTTGTTTGTTTTCCAAATCTTTTTTGACTTTTAAAACATTTTCATTTGCATTTTCACTGTCTTGTAAAGCTTTTTGATATCTCCACGCAACATAAATTCTTCGACAATGTTCCAATTCTCTTTCAACACGTTGAAATTCGACAAATTGCATTCTTTCTTGTTTGAGCTTCTCTAATTTTGGACCAATCTCTTCTTTAAGAATCTGCACAGAAAAAAAAAAGAAATTTACAAAAATTGAATTAAAATAGTAAATTTCTAAATAAAATTACTTACATTTTCAATTTCAGATAATTTACTGTCCTTCTTTTCAATTGTTTTTAGAGCAATCTGTTTCTTTGTTTCGTACATTCGTGTTCCCGCAGCTTCTTCAATCATTGAGAGAATTTCCATTGGTTTCATATTTAAAACTTTGGTAATTCTACCTTGCATGATTAAAAAATGTGGATTATTCACATTTAATTGAACGGAACAAAATAAATCTTGTACACGTTTATTTGGTACATTAGAGCCATTAATCATGTATTTATTTTTTCCACCTATAATTACTTGACGTGTAATTGTAATTTCCTCATAATGCTCGTAACCCAATGGAGAAACATCACGATTACGATTGTCAAATGTTATTGTCACACTGGCCTTTTTTATACCGGCTTGACCAGATTTGTAAACAAGTTCTTGTAAAGAACTTGCACGAACCTAAAGAATAGAAACAATAAATAAATAAAATTAATAAAATATAATAAAAAGTTATAGTTTGTTCTTTTTTAAATAAAGGTTGAAGTCAATAAAAATCTTCTATGATAGGTTATGTAAATAAATAAACATACCTGTGACAAATTTGTTATTCCTAAAACAAAGCATATTCCATCCAAAATATTAGATTTACCACTACCATTTAAACCAGTAATTGCATTGAATTCTCTGTCAAAACCTGTGATTTCTATACGTTTTCCATAGGATTTAAAACCTTCCAATACCATTGATTTTATGTACATTATGACACTTTTTTATATTTTTTCACACCAAGTAATTCTATCACTGATTTTATATTATTATGAATGTTAATGTTTGTAAACTAATTGTAAATAGGTTGCAAAGACGCGGGAAAAGCATCACGCTGTTTTCTTAACAAGGGACATTTTCAAGTTTCCGTTAAATTTTTTAAGGTTAAAGGCGCTAACACATCTAAAGGTACATTCACAGCTCTGCATGTTGCCATGGTTACAGGACAAGTAATAATCGAGATTTTAAATTTTGCCGCACTCGAGTGTGGCGCTATCTACTTGTTTAAAAATTTCACTAGAGTGTAATTTCTAGGTTATGTCGTCATTGTTACAACTTTACCGCGATTCTCGTGAGTACAACGCCGAGAGTATAGAAATACAGAAATAAACAGAAGTATCAAAGTCTTGAAGTGTAAGCCTATTTTCAAAATGTCCTCGCCAAATAAAAAGGTAAAAAAAGTCGAGGATCCCGGGGACGGTACGGAGTATGATCTTGAAATACAAAAGGCTCTCGAAGAGATCGACGGCTGTCAGAATCAAATTGATGGACTCAACGAGAAAGCAAGCGACGAGATCCTCGAAGTTGAGAAGAAATATAATAAACTGCGCAAGCCTTACTTCCAAAAGCGTAACGACATCATCAAGAGGATACCCAATTTCTGGGTGACTGCTGTATCCTTTTTATAATTGTGACATTGTTTCGCCCTTTGTTCATTTAGCTTGATATTTTGACATTTTCCCGGCGATGCCGGCGTCCACCGGTGATAGCGGCCATCTTGCCAAGACCTATATCTATATCTTAAAATTCAACAGAATACCCTACTTTTTACGTATTAAATTATTTTTTCTAGATGGAAACAATGTCCATTTTTAATTAATATTTAACTTGATTCATTAATTAAATATAAGAATAAAAAAATTTGTTCAATACCATTTTTAACGACAATGCTATATGAACAACGAATTTCTGGCATCCAAGTTTTTTAATTGTTGAAAAAAATATAACCTTAATTATCAGAAATATAAAGTTTTTCAATTCTATTGTATTTTTAATGAAAAAAGTAAGATTTTAGTCGAGAGTACGTTATTGTCTTTGAAAAAAAGCATTGAACAAAGGGATAAATTTCAAATAATTCTACAATACTTTCCAATTCCAATCGTAATAATAATAATAAAAATAATGAGACAATAAAGTTATATTGTTTCAGTTTATAAACATTAGATAGATTTATAATTTGTATTTTCTCCTTAACTTTGTTTTATAGTTTGTTAATAATAAAAAAATAGCCGATATTCTCGAGGAGGAGGAGGAAGATGCTCTTCGATTCTTGAATAAATTGGAGGTTGAAGAATTCGAAGATATTAAATCTGGTTATAGAATTAATTTTCATTTTGGTAAAAATCCATTTTTTGAAAATGATGTTCTAACAAAGGAATTTCACCTGGGTTCATCGGGTGAGTGGAATTTTTGTATTTTGAATTTAATTTAAAAATTTTAAATATTCTAAAAAGTTTATAGTAAAATTAGTTTAGATGTAATTTAATTGTTGTAAATACAAAAAAAAAAAAAAAAAATTTTTTAATTTAATGCGACGTTAAGAATAAAAGAAACTCCTGCTTATTTGCAGGAGATCCAGCATCGCACAGCACGACAATTCGTTGGAAGGAAGGTACAGATTTAGTAGAAAGAGCAAAAGCTAATGCCGCTATAAAAGGTAGAAAAAGGCCACTAATTCATAGAACATTTTTCACTTGGTTCGCGGATCATGGTGATCCAAGTTCTGATGAAATTGCTGAACTTATTAAAGACGACTTGTGGCCTAATCCTTTACAGGTAGAATAATAAATTTCTTATAAATTTTTTTATTAAATTCACGCGAATTCAGAAGTATATTTTAATTTCTTCTTTTAGTATTATTTGGCTCCCGACATAGAGGGTGAAAATGGAATTGAAGGTGATGGCGAAGAAGGCGAATCTGAAGAAGAAGAAGAGGAAGAAGATGGAGTAGGAGAGGAAGGCGAAGAGGGTGTCGAGGTTGAGGAAGGTGAAGATAGTGTAGAAATAATGGAAGATGGACCCGAGGAAGAAGAAGAGGAAGAGGAAGAGGAGGAAGCCGTGATTGAAAATGAAGGTATAGAAAAATAAATTTCTTTTAAAATTTTCTATATATCTTTTTAAATTTTTAAATTTTATTTTCTTATTTTATACTTTCAGATGGAGAAGAGCCAGAATAGACACTAAGGTAACTCGTAAAGTTAAAAAAAAGAAAAAAAAATTCGAATGAACAATATGAGACGGTAACATTCTTGAAATCGAATGTTAGAATAAGAAAATTGTCGCGCGCAATTACGAACACCTGCCTGGAGTCTTTTATATATATATAATAATTATATTAAAACTAGAATTAGGTTTCATTAAGTTCAGACATCAAGCAGGAGCTCCATCGACAAATTGCTGTGCACAAAAATTAATTTTATAATTATAAAAAAAAAAAAAAAAAACCTTCCCTGAACGAGGTACAATCGGCAATTTCTATAGAGACGATAAAAAAAAAGAAAAAAATACTTTCGACTTCATTGCGCTGTGCGCAAAAATACAAAATAAGAACGAAATTTTCATTTTGTTTCTTTTTTTTTTTTTGTTCTATTAAGAAAAGATAAAAATAAAAGACAATCCGTAAGATTTTAAATCACATATGTAAAAATAAACAACACGTTACAATAAACAGACTTGTGATGTATTTGTAAAATTTTTTGAATTTAAATATTAGTCTATATTGTAATGTGTCAATGTCAATGTTTAATTCATACGGATTTCTTACGGGATAAAGAGAATAAGATATTTTAAAATCAAACTGACGGAATAATTTTTATTTATTGAGTAGAATTTTTTTTTTTTTTAAATATATTAATTGTAGATAATTACGTACAGTTAGTGATTTGCTTTTCCCGTAATCTATAATATGTACAAACTTTTTTTTTTCGTGATTTAGAAACGCGAATGTGATACTTTTTACTTATGAATCTCGGTGCGTTTTCTTATTATTTTCGTATAATGTTTTTAAATATTTTTTTTCAGAATTTGTAAATAGATTTATATAACGTCTCGCAGTAGTTTAATAAAGTATTTCAATTATAAAATAAAAGTTCTAAAAAAAAAAAAAAAATTTTTAATAATTCAATGCACATAAAATTGCCATGTACCTCGTTCATTTGCATCTTCCTACACTTGACATAATAAGAAACTCATCACTCGCGTAAAAATCAATTATTTGAAAACTGTTTTGCATCGACGAATTTAAAATATATATTATATATTAGTTTTATTTTCAATTAAAAATATTTTCGATTACTTCTTTCATAAAAATGAAAACAGTGATTATTAAAAAGAAAAGAATTTAGAAATATTGATCAGGGATTATAAAACAAAATAAAGCATCACAGTTTTTAACTTGTCAAATATTTGTGGCAAACAAGACAAATCGTAAAAATAAAAATTGTCAATTTCAAATAAATAAGAGACTTTTAATTTATTAGTAATTTAATTTTTGTTAATATGTTATTCGTCGTTTAATTTCAATTTATTTTACCCCTCAAAGTTAATTTTCTAAACACTTGAAAGAGTAAAATTGGAAAATAAACATTTTTTGTAAAATTTTCTGTCACATATATATTTTTTTATATATGTTTGTTTTTCTTCTTGAGTCCTTTGAGGTGACAAAAGTATTTTAATTTATTATGGAGTAACTGTGAGAAATTTAAAAGTCAAGTGTTTCATATTAAAAGAGGGTCTAACGTGCGAAGCTTAATTTTTTCACAATGATCAACACTGTTTGGCAGTGGTTTTAAAATATACGTGTCAGGGTCATAAGACGTCAGAAGATTCATAAAAAAAAAAAAAAAATAATAAATAAAAAAATTCAAGTGAACTTTAAACCATTTTCGATGACCTAATTTTTATATAGTTCCAAATTTAACAAGACCGCCTCCTAAATTAAAAATAATAAGATATGAAACTGATGACTTTACTCAAAATTTTATACATCATTTAAGATTTATAATTTTATATTTTATAAAGTTTTTATTTTTATTTATTTATTAAGAAAAAATTATTATTTTCCGATAATTATATATATTATTTTAATTTCATAAATTATAATAGAAGCAATAAAATTGAAATTAATTATTACTAAATTAATTAAAATATAAAAATTAAAATTTCCGAAAATAATAATTTGTAATCATTGTGGTTTTCTTTTTTTTTTTTTTCAAGCAGGAAATACAAAATATTCAATCGTCAATTATGGCCACGTTTTTTAAGAGTCTTACTTAATAGCTCGTCTCGTAATACTCATGCACGCATTTAGCGGTTTTTTTATCTCAATTTTTTTTTGGGACTGCTGAACGGAATGAAAAGGATAAACATGTGTTGAAGAAAAAGGGAACCAAACGACAATCTTAGAGTTGGCAAAACTTGTACTTTAGTGGTATTTTTTTTATCTTTTAATATTGTTCATTAATATTTTTCTTAATTTAAAATAATAAATTTATTTAGAAAATAAAAATGTTTCATAATATGTATTTGTAAAAATCGTAATATCAATATTTAAAAAAAAATATTATTTTTAATTATTATTTATTATTAATTTTAATATTTAGAAACATCAATTTATTCGATTAATTAATTAAGACATTTAGTTTTATTCTTAAATTTTATAAAAACTAAAAAAATTCGATATAAATATTATTTTGAGAAATAATAATGAAAAGAAAAGATCACGTATTGCATTTAACAAGATAAAGGCAAATAAATCGTAGTTTTGAATGGTTCTGTTAAAATTTGTTTTTTAGTTTAGAATAAAGGAACCATCCCCTTTCTATGAATCTTTCTCTTCTGGTCCATACCACTCAACGGTCTCTCCCCATCATTCGTTTTTTTTTCGTTTCTCTCTCGTTCCCCTTTATAGAAACGAAGATAGAGAAAGTGAACTGCGACTGATCTTTCAGCGAGCTTTTTAACTTTCTTCAGCTTTGAGGTTTTATTCCTCGACGTACTCTCGTACGAAGCGGTTCTGGATGCAAGTGGTGGACCGAGTGTGTAATTGACAATTTAAAACGTTTTTTCTAATACGTTTCTTTTTTTTTTTTTATATAGAAGAAAATTCAAAATTAAATTTTCACGTCAAAATAAAGACATTATTCCAATGGAACATCTATTGAAATATTTAAAATTGTGAATGAAAAAGAAGAGGATCCCGTGTAAAACGAAGAAAGAGGAAAAAAATTTCTTATTGAGAAAAGAAAAAAAAAAATTTCTTTTTTAATGAAAAATATAAAACCAGATTGAAGACGATTCATTGAAAATCTAAAGAATGGAACTACAAACGAAAGCTGTTGTTCTCTTTGGTCTGATGCTGTTACTATTAAAAGGCAATTATAATATTTTTAATTACTCTGCTATTAGTTTATATTGTCTAATTTTTCTTCTATTTAAAAAAAAAACAGTCAATTAAGACTCAACTTTTAATTTTTCAAATTATAATATAGATGAAAATGAATTATTTCAATTTTTTTAAATTAAAAAAATTTATTATTGCTGAGAATAATAATATTTTTATTACAGATAATTTATGTCTTTACAGGATTGAAGTTTAGAACTTCAACAAAGTAGCATTTCACCCATAAAATCAATCAATTAAATATCAACCGTGATGAGACCGTGACCGTAACAAAATCATAACTCTCAATTATTATACATTTGCATCCTGATTGATGAAGTCAGATAACTTTCAAATAAAGCTATTTAATTTTAATTATTTAACTTTAATGTGTATGAGTCACAAATCATGATTTTAATTCTTACAAAATTTTTTCTTCTAGCTTGATAATTAAATTAATCATTGGTATTGTTGGAAACACTATTTTTAAAATTAATTTAAAAAAAAATTTCCCAATTATATTTATTTATTCTTTAATTTTTAAATTCATTGAAATAAAAATATTTACATTATAATATAAGCGAATTATTCATATATTAAAAAATAAATAAATAAAATAAAAGAAAACTAGAATGCAAAATTTTGCATTTATAGTTAAATTTGATTAGAGTGCATATGAAAATTCCTCGTGTTTTCTTATCGTAACAAAAATTTCCCAGGGGAGGTTTAACTATGAAATGTGATATTGCATCCAATATTGTAAATAGAAGATAAATTTGTCATGGTAATATTTTACATCTAAATTCAGCCCATGAAATATGAATATAAATATTGTCCTTGGTCTCTTTTTCTAATCGATCATGATAGTGACACCCTTTTTTTTCGAGATCGATTCCTATTCCCTGCATATCATATAATTATAATTTAATAATAAATAAATTAAATTTTCATTTCTTTATAAAATTTATTATTTATTTTATAATTTATTCACACTGGATATTATAATTGTCAAGTTTAGAATTTATTTATTTTTGTTTGACGACATAAATCTATTTCTAGAATGTGATAAATAATTTTGGCCCCATTATAAGCACTTGGTAGCTTAATAAGAATTTTCACTTAATTTCAAAAGTTTAAATAAAAATTAATTCTAAAACTTTTTTTTTTTAATTATACAGAAATCAAGACAGAGCAGAGTAATCCGTTGGATAAATGTTGCGATCTTGGAAAAAATTGGGCACAAGAGGGTCTAAAGTGTGATAAATTTTCTGGTCCAGTTTCTGGTATTTCTGAAGACGAACAAGAATTTTGTCTACGTGGTGTTAATATTTGTTGTATAAGAGTTTATCGTGAGAAAGGTTGTCTTCAAGGAAAAGAAGATGCACGTTCAGGAAATGGATGCAGTTCATCTAATGAAAATAAAAGTCCAATTGGAATGGAAGACTATCGAAAAGATTGTTGCGAAGGATGTAAACTTGGTGAGTATTTTTCAAAAAAAATTAAAAAGTAGAAAATTCAAAGAATTAATTTAAAATAACTTTTTTTTGCATTTTAGGAATTCTAAGAGGATCACGAGGTCAAGGTTGTGCTTTGAAGTTCAGTTTCGGTAAGCCCTGGGACCCAGCATTTCTGGAATGTTGCCATGAAGCTTCTCCAACTACCATTAGTTCTGAGAGCAATGAAACATCCTCCTCCTCCACTTATGTTTCTACAAAAGCAACAGACACATCTATCTCCACAAATGAGAACGAGATCACTGGGAGTTTAACCACAAAGCCAATATCAAATCCTTCAACTTATTCTTCATCTCCACTAGCATCGCTTGGTATTGTCACTATTTTATTAATTCTTTCAAGCACAAATTTTTTATTTTTTTTACGAAAATAATACACATTAGAAATTTTTTGATCTATTTATTTAAAAAAATTTTTAAAAACAAAATGCTAGAATATTTTTATTTTCACATTAAATAGTTGGAATTTTAATATTTACGTTATAGAAACAATCGTTAGATGACTTTGTTTAGAAAATGAATTTTTATTGTCTTAATGTAGATGACATCTGTCAAGTAATGAGGGGAATGCTATGCACTGACATTTGCGTACCAACGCCAGGTTCTTACTATTGTGTTTGTAATGAAGGATCAACTCTTTTAGAAGATGGCAAAACTTGCAAACAAAATTCCACCAGCGATAGGTAACAATATATTAAATTATTTTTTTAAAACAATTACATTTATAAATAGTAATTAAATCAAGAATTTCTGAATTTAAATTTTCTTTTAAATGTAAATTCGATTGAGTGAATAATTAAAAAAAAATTCTTATTTCCAGATGCAACACTGATAGCAATCCTTGCGAACAAAATTGCACAGATACAGGACTTGCAGTGATTTGCAGTTGTGATTCGGGATATCAACTTGCAAACGATAATCATTCATGTACTCCAATTTCAACGGAAATAATGGGTAATTCAACGACTCGTTATGAAGAAAAGGAAACACCTCCACAATGTCCCACTGGATATCGCTACAATTCAAAAACTCAAGCCTGTGATGGTACGTATTGCATTTGATATAGGATATGCTGGATGCTGCTATTTTTGCAAAAAAAAAAAAAAAAAATCTTTCACCTGCTATTGCTTTCTGTGTACCATCTGCTTAATGTGCCTGTGATCATGTGACTTGGCTCGAAATCTCCCTATCGATCAGACATGGACGAATGCGAGGAAAATCCTTGTTCAGGAGAATGTCAAAATACAATAGGATCTTACTTGTGTGTCTTTGAGAAACAGGAAAATCCTAAAAATATCAATTCCACAGCTCAAGATAAAGATTGTCAACCTGGTTTTTATTGGGACAAGAATATTGAAAATTGCATTGGTAATAAAAAAAAAAAAAAAATTACTCTCCAATTTTTCTCAGAAATAAATCAATTATTTGAAATCATGGAAAATAAATTTTCTTTTTCTAGATATTGATGAATGCGAACAAATTCCGGGTGTTTGTTCTGAAGATGGTTATATTTGCGTTAATATGCAAGGAAGTTTTATTTGCCACAAATCGCAAAACGCTACCGATTGTCCTTCAGGATTTAAATTTTATCTCGAATCAAATAAATGCCTTGGTAAATGATACGATTTAAAAAAAAATTTTTAATTAAATTTATTAATTTATTAATTGAAACTTTTTTTTTAAATAGATATTGACGAATGTGCTGAAGGAATTTTTAATTGTATGCCAGAAATCGAAATATGTAAAAATAATGAGGGCAGTTATGATTGTGAAATTATATGTAAAAAAGGTTTCACATTCAATACAAATCTAAGTTCTTGTGTTGGTATGTTTATTTTTAAATTTTATCTTTATAAACAATTTTCTTACTTTTTCAAATAATGTAAACTTTAATACTAACAAAATTTGGATGAATAGGTATTTAAAATACTTCCAGCACCGTAATTCTTCTTCTTTATTAATTGACTGACTCGAAAGAAAAATCAGCATGCAATTTGAACTTTGAGACTTTTTGTAAGTAATTCAAAAAAAGTAAATTCTTTTCCTCTATTTGAAAAAAAAAATCAGATTCTTGAATTATTCTCAAAAAATAGTCTCTGATAAATTCTATACTTTCTTTGAAATTGCAGATATTGACGAATGTTTAGAAATCAAAAATTCCTGTCCAAATCCTGAATCACTTTGTCTAAATACTGTAGGTAGTTTTGATTGTATCAATTCTAGAGAAGTTAATCAGGAATTTGTAACGTTGAAAAATCAACAGGAAATAAATTCTCAAAATGAAATTATTTGTACACATGGATATAAGCCATCATCAATAATTGGTGATTCATGTATTGATATTGATGAATGTAGAGAAAATATTCATTCTTGTGAAACAAATGAAAAATGCATTAATGAACTTGGCACCTATAGATGTGAGAGTTTTTTGGAAATATCGACTGTAAAAATTAATACAGAATTAGAGAAACAAAATGAAATAATCAGTAAAAATGAAACAAAAGTATTAAAATCGAAAGATGATGATATTTGTCTACCAGGATTTTCTTTTAATAACGAAACAAAAAAATGTGAAGGTAAAATAAATAATATTTAATTAATTTGCAATAGTAGAAAATTGATACCTTTTTTTTTCATTCAGATATCGATGAATGTGTCAGTGAATGGACAGCTTGTGGTATTGGAGAGAGATGTCGAAATTTAATTGGTGGCTATGATTGTATTCAAACTTGTAATCGGGGTTTTATCTTTGAAAATGAAACCTGTCAAGATATAAATGAATGCACATTGGGTTTACATTCGTGTTTTGAGCGCACTCATCGTTGTATCAATACAAATGGTTCTTATGCTTGCGAGCCTAAAGAGAAGGTAATTGGTCAAAAATTTCGACCAAGATATTGCGAGAGAGGTTTTAAGCAAAATTCAGAGACTGGAAAGTGCGTTGATATTGATGAATGCCTCGAAGGACCTGGTTGTCGTGATCATGAAAGATGTTTTAATACTTTTGGTAGTTTCGATTGTTCACCATTGTGTACCACAGGATGGTATTTTGATCCATTGATCAAAGGATGCAGGGATGTTGACGAGTGTCTTTTGGGACGACATTATTGCAAACAAGTAGTAAAAATAATAATGACATTTTATTCAAATTATAGTAATTTAATTTAATTAATTCGATTTTTACAGGGAACGGAAATATGTGAGAATACAAATGGCTCATATATTTGTAATCCAGCACCACCTTGTGGACGTGGTTTTCGACGTATTTTTAATGGAAGTTGTTTGGATATTGACGAGTGCACTGAAAATCTTCACTCTTGTTCATTGGAACTACATCGTTATTGCGTTAATCGAGATGGTTCTTACGAATGTGTTACTCGTTTACCATCTTGTTCACAAGGTTACGAATATTCACTTTATACAAGACAATGTGAGGATATTGATGAATGTTTAATTGGCAAATATAAATGTAACAGTCGCCTATCTGAAAGATGTGTCAATCTACCAGGAAGCTACAAGTATATTATTTTAATTTTTATTCTATACAATTGATAAATTATTTATGAAAAAAAAAAAATATTTCAGATGTGAGAGACCTCCACCTCCACTTACATCTTTACAAAGAAGACCAGCCTGTCCACAAGGATATCGATATCATCCAATTTGGAGAAGATGCTCCGGTCAGTTAATTAAAAAAAATTTACAATTAATAGTAGAGCTTGAATATTAATTTAATAAGTTATTTAACTTTAAAAATTATTTTCTGAAAAAAAATTAGAATTCAAATATAAAAATTATATTATATTTTTAAGGGAGGCGAAGTTTTCAAGAAGATGAAATTTACGTCCCTGATCTTTAGAGTTCGTGCCATGTCACATTGCATGAAAAATCATTTTACAAATCCTAGCATGTTTTAAATACACTCACGAATATTTTATATCTTTAACAATTTTGATAAAGTGATTTTTCTTTTCTATAGACGTGGATGAATGTGCCGAAGGAACTCATTCATGTGGACGAGAAGTTTGTTATAATCAACCAGGAGGATATAGTTGTGCTAAACATCCTACACCTATTACAAGAAGAACAGCTCCACCATTTACTTTAAACGCCGCTGCGGCTTTTACAAAAGCTTGTGCTGATGGCATGAGGTATTAAAAAAAAAAATAAAAATTTGTTTTTTCTCATTTTTTTTTTATTTAAATGATTATTAATTGAAAATAAAAATTATTTTCAGATATGAAAAAAATCAGGGATGTGTGGATATAAACGAATGTAAAGAAATGGAGGACGCATGCAGCAGTAATGAGGATTGTACAAATAGCATTGGAAGTTTTGAATGTAAATGCAAGACTGGATATCGTCGTGATAATTTAACACAGGCTTGTGTTGATATTAATGAATGTCAATTGAAATTAGACAATTGTCTTCCAACACAAAGATGTGATAATACACTTGGAAGTTTTGCTTGTGTGAGATTTTTATCATGCGGAACGGGATATACTTTGAATGCGGCAACGGAAATTTGTGAAGATGATGATGAATGTTCACTTGGAACACATAATTGTGTTGATGGTTATTTTTGTCGAAACACATTGGGTTCATTTCGATGCTATAAAATTAGAGGTGATATGACAACAACTCAAAGATCAACTACAAGACGAACGCCAAATAGATATCCACAAAGATTTACAACATTGAAAATAACTTCGTCAATGATGCCAACGACGAGACCTATTACTCGAATAACGAATCAAATGGAAACAACAACATCGACGACGACGACAACAACAACAACTACTACTGAGAGAATAATTCCAAAAACTACTCAACCACTTCAGCCAAGCAAAAATTCTTCTGAAACAAGGTCAGTATGACTTTTCATCGTTGATGGAGAATAAAAATTATTAGCTAGAATCTATATTTTATAAAAAATTTTCTTTTTTTTTGTCTTAGACCTAAAATACAGTGTCCAAAAGGTTACGAGATTGGAAAAAGTGGACAGTGCATTGATGTGAATGAATGTAAATTAACGCCAAATCCTTGTAATAAACGATATATGCAAATGTGTATTAATACTATGGGATCGTTTCGTTGTGAGCCGAGAATAATGTGTGGACCGGGATATCAACCTGATCCAACATCCGGAAGAAATTGTATAGATGTGGACGAGTGCGCTGAAAATATTCACGAATGTAGCAAGGGTCAGACTTGTGAAAATAGACAAGGTGGTTACGCTTGTATATGCCCTCAAGGTAAAATCATAAAAAAAAAAAAATTTTTTTCTAAATACAATAATTGTTCATTAAATTTGTCATATAAAAATCAAATTTTTTTTTAGGACATTCCGTGGGATCAAATAGAGAATGTATTGATATTGATGAATGTAGTCTTTATGGAGACAAACTTTGTGGTCCGGGTGGTCGTTGTGATAATACAGTGGGTTCGTTTCGTTGTAAATGTGAATCAGGTTTTGAAAATTCTGCCCGTGCAGGTGGATCATGTCAAGATATTAATGAATGTGAAACAATGCAAGGAGTATGTCAACATAAATGTTCAAATACATGGGGTAGTTTTAGATGTGGATGTGAGCCTGGATATAGATTAAATTCAGACAATAAAACTTGTTCAGATATCGACGAATGCACGGAATTTAAAGAAAATAATCTCTGTATTGGAATGTGTGATAATACACCAGGAAGTTACAAATGCAGATGCCCAGATGGCTATAGACTTGGAGTTGATGGACGCACTTGCCAAGGTATTGAGCAAAAAAAAATTTAATTAATTTAATTTTGTTTAATTTCTATTACTTGTTTTTTTAAGATATTGATGAATGTTCCATGGGACAAACTTGTGTCAATTCTAATGAAATGTGCCAAAATACTCGAGGTGGTTTTCGATGCAATAAAATTGATTGCCCTTCGGGTTATTATTTAGATAATGAAAAGAAGAAGTGAGTATATAATCAATTCTTCAAATTGATGAGATACAGTTTTTTAAAATAATTTAATTAATTAATATAATTTTATTTTATAGCCGATGTGTAAAAGCTTCTCGTTACTGTCAAACAACTGATCAGGTGTGTTTACGACAACCTTCGCATTATTCGTATAATTTCATCACATTTGTGAGTAATTTACCAATGCCAAGAAGTGGACAACTTGAACTTTTTACAATGAGAGGAACTCATTTACCAGGATCGACATTACAATTTAGTATGTCATTTATTGAAGCTAGAGCACCACCGGGAGTAACACGAGCAACGGAATCATGTTTTGCAATGCGAAGACCAGCTTCTTCGCAAGTTGTTCTTGCTCTCGTTAAACCAATTCAAGGACCACAAGAAATAGAACTCGATCTTAGCATGGAAATTTATCACAATACAATGTTTGTTGGAAGCGCCGTTGCTAAAATATTCATATTCGTATCTCAATATGAATATTAAAGTCTTTATTTTCAAAATCATCTTTTATTTTCACAAGTTTTGCATTTTAAAGTTTAAGGTTTTTTTTTTTTTTTAAACCAATGATTCTAATTTTTGTTTGCAATGACAACATAAGTAATTGATTATAATTATTCGAAAAGTACTCTAATTTGCTTTTTAATTTTAAATTTAAAAATTTAAGTGAATAATTCTGAATTTTTCAAAAATCCAAAGAAAATATAAGATTTTCATATATAGTACTAGAGAATATAGTTTTAGAAACATGTCTATATATGAGAGAATAGAATTTTATTTTCTTACAAAAAATAAAATATATAATTATAAAGATTTTTATTTTATATCTTTTTCATGTAACCTTGTAAGGTTTAATTATAAGAAAGAACTGTTAATGGATAAAATGGGTGAATAAAGGAAAATATTATGTACAATACTGTTTATCATTAATGAATTAATATTATAAAGAAATTACCGCCACTTTTTTAATACTGCTCTAATCAAAAACAAGGTCAAGTTCATCAAAAATAAACGGCTATGATTGGTCGAAATTTGAAATTAATTCTCTGATTCGTGGACAATTTTACTCAATTTTTAGAACAAAATTTAATTCAAAAACGTATTAATATACACTTACACGTTATTTTACACGATTTTTATAATTAAATGGTGTTAAATGTTATTTTAGATAAAAGAAAATATTTTAAAAGAGGATTTTATTCTTTGAATTTGATTAAAAATGACTTTTTATTCATTTGTAAATTGTTCTTATGACTATAGTTATGTTAAGCACTAGTTTTACTTCCGGCTGCGCAAATGGAAACGAAATTAGTTCTGTGCTGACATTCTGTCTAGTTTTTTAAAATATATATCTTCTTTATAATATTTAGTAATTTAGCTATTTTTATCTATTACAATTAGAATAATTGTGATAAATAATTCGTGAACATTTGTGGAAATTCTGGAGCAATAATTTCTGTTTATAAATCTGTTACACATGTGTATAAGCAGATTGAAAGAAAGAAAGTCAAGGTACATAACCTTAAAACTTATTTTCTTCACTAATTTGCAGACAGTAAAATATATTTTAATTTATTAGAAAATGTCAAAGAATATTAAAATCAGAAAGCTATTTTAGAAGTGAAATTTGATATAAATGACAAAGGAGTAAACATTATTTATCATTCAGAAATGGAAATTAAGGAAAAAAGATCTAAATTGTTGACAACAATTTAAAGGTTCGTTAAATATGTAAATTTAATTGTATTTTTTTTTAAATAATTGTATCTTCTATTATATAATTATTTAGTAACATTTATGATTATTTTAACGTCTCTTTTGTAATAGGAATCATTTTTAAAAGGAAACTGTTATAATTTTCTTTAAAAGTCATATATGTAAATTTATTGTTGAAAATTATAACAATAAGAAAGTGGAAGGCAATTCGCAATAATTGAAAATATTCTATATACTTTCACATTTATAGCTTTTGGGATCTATTTTCGAAAAATAATTTTTAAAAGAGAAAAGAAATAAATCTTTGAACGGAAATAAAATCTTTGACAGATTTTTGAAAATGCGTGTAATTTTGAAAAGTTCGCGTTTACAGTATTGTGAAAACTGCTACAGCAACAGCTGCTGTATACTATATATATATATATTTTTCCGACCCAAGATAATTCATCTTTGAACCCAAAAGTTCAGCCTCTAAATATTTATGAGTCTACGAAAGGTCGCTATAGTTGTTGTTGAGGGGTTATAACTACCTGCGATTGGGTTTGTACTCTAGTAGATAAAAAAAAAAAAAATTTTCGAAGGATTAGATCCCCAGCAAAGAAATTTTAGGCAAAAAAGAAGAATAGATTACTATGTAGTACAACAAATTTAAAGACCTCCTCCTCTCATAAGATGCGACCAACGACCCTTTCTAAAAATCGGGTGTTTTAATCTTGAAGGACGATCTTTTTCAAATTTAAAGGGAAAAGTTTAACACTTGCACTCGCTCTTACAGCTTATCCAAAAATCAAAACAATGATCATTTAGAAACGCTCTGTTGTTAAATTTAATAATAACTTCTCTTGAATTTCGAATAATATGCTCGTGTAGCGTGAACAAAGATTTTTCATTATTTGCCATCGCTGACCACAAATCCTATTTAAACTTATTCATTTCTTAACTGGTAGAATGTCAATTTAATAAGCCAAAGAAAAAGGAACATTATGAAAATGCTTTTGTCAATCAGAAAAAGGTGTGACTAAAGGAATTTTGTGTGTATTTTAAATTTTACCTAGGGATTTAATTTTTTGTTTGAATGAAAATTATTTAAAATTGAAAATAAAACAATAAAATCAAAACAAAAAAACAAACATTTATAATTTTTCTTTCAAATTTATTATAAAAAAAAATATATATATAAAAATACATTTCGAAAGTGTGAAAGTAATTTTAAATGAAATACAAATTATAAAACGGTCTTGGAATATTTTCTTTTTTTTTCTCTCTATAACTTTATATATTTTTGTATAAAAATAAATTGCCTTGAAATGATTTTCGAAAGAATATAATAACTTTCGAAGGGACAAAGAAGTTTCTGGATGAGCGCAGGTGTTGTGCCTCTCTTTTCCACCCTCGGTTACTTAAAGATAGTAGGTAGAAGACACTTTTGCTTTTTCTAAAATATACAACTGTCTCTAAATTCTTTATAAGATTTTTGCCTCTAAATGGCATTTAAACTTTTAAATAACTTTCCAAGGGTCTTTAAACCTTAGACGTTATAAAATATCATTTTTAATAAATTTTATTATTTTATTATATTCAATTTTAAAATATTTTTTCTCAACTAAAGAAATTATATTTAAATAATTTCTTTTTAAATTGTAATTATTGAAAAATATTTAAATAATTTTTATTTATGTTAAAAATTATAATTAAATAACAAATATATATACGTCTTAATTTGACTTATTATTTATGCATTTATATATATCTGTACTAATTCCTTTCACCCTTCTGAAAAGTTACCCTAAATCTCTATCAAAACATCAGCTCCACAGGTTGCAGCTGCCAAAAAAAAAAAAAAAACTTGTAGAATTCATTCCTATACACATATAAGGGAAAACAATAAAAATTCAAAATTAACATGTATGTGAAATAAAAGATAAAATGTAAACAAACATTTAGGTTAGTTTTCCCCCATAAAAAATATAGTTATATATAATAAGAAAGAAAATCTTCATATGTGCATTAATTTATTTTTTAAATTTGAAAGGTCAAAAATATACCTGTGCGGTGCAGATGCAAAATAAAAGGAAATAAAATCAAGAGAGGTGGTGTGATGATGGAGACGACAGGGGAGAAGGAGACCTTGAAAATATGGGTTGCAGATGACGCTACCTTCGTTCATGGCGGCCATCATGAAAAATTGAAACAACCAATTGGAAGCCTCAGTTTTGGGCCTGCTGTTTAGATGAAAACTTGTATACGACATTTTTGATTGGCTATGTAAAATTTCCCATGAGCTATTGCTTGGCACCCGCCATAACGGACATAGCGTGTGGTGCAGCGCTTGCAAAGCAAATCGCCAACAGTATTCGAATGTAAACGTTTTAAAAAGTGAAAATTGGTAAATAATTTTTTCGTTAATTTCAAAATTTATTTCAAGGTGGGAATAAATTTTGTTTTTTTTTGGTGCGCGAGTGTTTAGTGTATATAAATAAACGTATGGTGACAACTTTTTAATGAAAATGGAATTTGCGCAGAGGTTGCATTTTGACGAATGCGACATTGAAGATGAAGAATTGAATATTAGTTGTCGTACAAATAGCTCGGGTTATGATAATGAAGATGTTTTTGATACATCAGCTGAAGATTTTGGAGTTACACCATTACAGCATGCTCCAAAAAAGCTTTCATTTCAAAATGAAATGGATTGTAATGATGATGAATCAAATTTATTACATCCTGTAAACAACAACAAGACTCCAGCCATTTTTGTGACAGGTTAGAAATTCTCTTTGTATATGATTTCCTAACCTTCTTATATAGACAAAGAATTGTCAATTTTTTTCATTTCTTTTCTTAAAAATTAAAAAAAAAATTTTCAGACAATTCGAGTTTTTTTTGGAAAATTTGGATCGAATTGCTGACAAATAAAAATTTTTAATACGTAAAATATATCAAACATTTTGGCTGAATTGACAAAAAAAAAATTTGTGTTGACACGTTTCGGCCAACTAAATTGAAATATTAATATTTTTATGACTAAAATTAATTTTTAAGGTGAATAATATCCATCGTAAAATTATTAAAAATTGGCTTTCGATGCGATATGTAATTTGTAGGAATTTATTATGATTTAGAGATAATAATTAGCTAGGGATAAGATTAGATTTCTATTTTCTTAAAATACATTTCTGTTATTAAATAATTGATATTGATATTATTGAGTCCAATTATTTCATACAGATTTGTTTTTAATAAGTGAAACGTCAAATAATGTTTAAAAATATTATATATAAAAAAAAGTGCTTTAATTCTTTATTAAAAAGTAAAAGATAAATTTAATAGAAATTTAGATAAAATAAGAATATTTACTTTGTTTAAAAAGAAGTTATTTTATTTAAAGAAAGTAATTTTCTTTTTTTTTATCTTAATTTTAAGATGAAAGAATATTTAGTTATTATTTCCATTTTCCCAGGAAGTTAAAAATATGATTACTTTTTTTTTTTTTATTATCAAAAGGTTCTGAAACTGACGATACCATTATTAAATATCGAAGATGTTTCTTTATGAATTCCTGTTGGCAGATGGCAACATCTTTGCTTTCATCTTGAAGATTCTAAATCAAAATTTATCTTATATAAAAAACGTGATTTTTGAAAGGTACGTTTAGATTTAGAAATAGTATTAAATGAATATTAGAAAGTTTACAAAAAATTCCTAGTTTTGATTATTAGATGCTAAAATTTTGTTTTTTATTTTATCTTTTATATAATTTAACATATAATATTTAATACTATATAATAAAATTAAAAACTAAATATAGGAATAAAATAATAAAATAAATTTTTATATTAAAATTATTGTTTGACTAATTATTTATAATTTTAATATAAATATATATATTATAATTAATAGAAATTGACAATTTTTTTTTTACATTGATATTATTCACCTTGGATAAAAATTATAAGGTCAAGGAACTGATATTAATAGGATAAAATTTTATGATATTTTCAAAATGTGTCTCCCTTATGAATTTCGACTTTTGGATGACGGCCCTTTCTTAACAAAGGGCTTTTTCCAAAGCAGGTCTAAAGATTGAAAGTACGATTTTCCCAGCGGAGTTACAGCACAATGAATTTTATAGATGTCTGTTAAACTTGAAGAAAACATATACTATTCTTGATATATCTAACAATGAATTTTCTATCTGTTTAGAAAGATTGAATTTTATGATAATTTTTATAGTTCTAGTTTCTCATAAAATTTACAATTATTTGTCATTTTTTTTTTTATTGCCTATATAAAAATAATTCCTTACAATAATTGTAAAAAAAAAATTTCTTTTTTATTTTCTTATAAAAATTGTAATTTTCTTGTTTGAAAAAAAATTGAATTTTACGTGCAAAGAAAAGATAAATGATGATTTTTTTTTTTAATTTAGCTGCTAATGATAGTAGTAATTCATCGAAAATGTCAATGGCGTGCAGTCCACCTTACAAAAGGGTACGAGCCCTCAGGCTTTTTGATTCACCGGCAACGCCTAAGACATTAATTGAGAAAAGTGGAATGCACACACCAGTGCCAAATAAATCATCACGACTTTATGTTATTGATAAGTCGAGATCAGTTGGAAATTACCAAAAAGCTGATAAACCAGCAGCAAATGTTAATCCATTCACACCAAATGGAATGTTATTGACAGCGAGAAAACGAACGAGATCAAAACGTAGTCTCAATGGGTAAAAAAAAAATCTTTTTCTTTTTAATTTATATTTTTATAATTATTTAAAAATTATTTAAAATTATTTTTTTTCTCTAGATCACCGGACATTGCACTACCAAAATTTCAACTCGATTCCGATTCAGAGAATGAAACTGAACAGCCATCAAAGCGTGCAGCACTTCAAGTACCAAATATTCCTCGTTATCAACAAGAATTTCTCGAAGTTGGTTTACTTGGTTCAGGTGAATTTGGTTCAGTTTATAAATGCATAAATCGATTAGACGGTTGTACGTATGCAATTAAAAAAAGTTTAAAACCCGTTGCACAAGCCGGTAAGGTGAATGAAAAAAATGCCCTCAATGAAGTTCATGCGCACGCTGTTCTTGGGAAACATCAACATGTTGTTAGATATTATTCAGCATGGGCTGAGGATAATCATATGATAATACAAAATGAATATTGTAATGGTGGTAGTTTAGCTGATGCGATAACAAATTTACAAATTGAAAAGAAAACATTTTCAGAACAAGAATTACGTGAATTATTGTTACAAGTGGCCGAGGGTCTTAGGTATATACATGGAATGCAACTCGTGCATATGGATATTAAACCGGGTAATATTTTTATAACAAAAGAAAAACGTTTATCGGCTGTGAATTATGATTCGGCGGATGATGGATTTGATGAGGAGGAAGCAACCGAGGAAGAAGAGGAGGTAACATATAAAATTGGTGATTTAGGACATGTGACGTCGATAAATAATCCACAAGTTGAAGAAGGTGATTGTCGATATTTACCAACGGAAATATTACACGAGGACTTTATGCATTTACCTAAGGCTGATATATTTGCACTTGGATTGACGGTTTATGAGGCGGGTGGCGGTGGACCATTGCCAAAAAATGGACCCGAATGGCACAAAATTCGAAATGGTGATCTCGACGAATTGTCGCAGTACAGTCGGGAACTTAACGATTTACTGAAGGTAATTTATATTCCCGTTTTTTTTTTTTTTTTTAAATTCATTTCTTAATTATGATTTATTACAATTGTTTTCTTTTTTCCTTTAGCTCATGGTCCATCCAGATCCAGAAAGGAGGCCATCGGCAGTTTGTCTAATTCAACACAGGGTATTGTGCCCATTTGCAAATAAAACCAAAGAACAATTATTCCGCGAATTAAATGCCGAAAGAATGAAGAGGGAAATTATTTTTAAACAATTGGAGGAGGCGAAAAAATGTTTAAAAACAATTGCACCAAATGTTGCTGCAATGAATGGAACGATGACTAATAATTCTGGTGGTTATCAATTACGACCAACGCCAACGAGAACATCATCGCGTGTTATAGGTAAAACGGCGAATCGCAGTCACAGCGCTACTAATTTTTAAAATGAAAAAAGTGTCATAAATCGAAGTTTAAACTAAGCGAAAGAAAAACTGTTATTTTTTTTTTGGAGGAGCGGTGTCCCATTGATACCTCTTAATATTGTGATATCGTTAATTCTAGATTATAAGTAAAAAAAAAAAAAAACAAAAAAAAACCTCGATTAGCATAATGTTTGGAAGCAGAGTAAAATTGCTCATTTTTTTTTTTTTTTTTTTTTTTTTGTTTTCTCTCACCCCCTAACGGACAAAAAGAATATTTTGACTTATATGAGAAGGGAAAACTTGACGTTTGAACTTGGTTCGTATAATTCCTTTCTTTTGTGTTTATGTTCCTTTAATTTACAAAATTTTTATTATCATTTATAGTCATGAAACATTTGATGAAGTAAATTTATTAAAACGATTTGTGAAAAAAAAAATGAAACATATTTGACTGAAGTAGAAAAAAAAGATTTATGATTTAAATTACTTGTATAATTATTAAATACTATCTTTTGTGTATTTATTCATTATTAACACTTTCAGAGAAACATCAAAATTGAGAATTTGCATCTTCTTGGAGAGATGTTATTCATGTGGGAAAAACAATTTTTTTTGTTCCTTTTTTTTAAAAAGGTTTTAACCTGTTCTTTATATTTGGGAAAGAATACATTTTACTTTATCTATTCAGACATGAATTCTGTTATTTATCTCTTTTTTTTAATCGTTTTATAATTAATAATTTGATTTGGTAACTGTAAATATTTTTTTTTTTGACTGAATTCTCCTATAGTTCAAATTGATATAATTTTGAAAAATGGAGTTTAATAATTTTTTTTGTTTGTTATTTTTTAAATATTGGAGTCTTAAAATTGATGAATTGTTAAAAATAAACGATAGCTCGACTTTTATAATTTGCCACCAAAAAAAAAAAAAATAAAAAAAATTTTTATACAATTTGCATGTAATGAGAAAAGATTTTTTTAGCAATTTAACTCTGCTACATTGCCTTAAATTTAAAATTCTTGATAAATAAATTGCGAAGAATATAATGCATTTTTAAAAAAAAAGTTAAATTATTTTGATGCATCCATTTTTTTTTAATTTTATTTTGGATGTTTTCACATTTGACTCACCCAACTGTGTCTTATTTTATTTAATCTAAGAGAATGTAATAAATTTTCATGTATTATAATTTCAAATCAAAAAAAAAAAAAGTCGTTTAGTAGAATAATAGTCTGCGTTACTAGCTCTTAAGGTAATCACATTGTCCTTCCTTTATTCGCATATAACTACAATAATTTCCGATTTTTGTAAATTATTAAAATAATCTTCGAGAAAAGAAAATGATATACAATTTTGTGAATTTAATGAAATTATTTTTTATTTTCAAAATAATTATTGGCGCACTAAAATGCGTTTTTTTTTTTTTGTTCTAATAGATGTTTTCTCGAATAATTTTACTTTTTTTTTTTTTAAATAAATTTTTTTATTTGGGTAAAATTTATTTTTACAATATTCTAAATATGTTTTCAAATTTTTTTTTTTAAAATTAACTTTCAAAAATTTCTCTACAATTGTTAATAATATTTTGCATGAAACTTGTTTTATTCTGTAAAAAAAAATAAATAATAATTGTCAATTTGTTAAAGATTTACAACTAAATTGGAGAAGTATGCCCCTCCCCTAAAAAGTATTTTGTAAATGTTGTGTGATTTTTTGCGTTTAGTAAAAATGTATAGAAAATGAAGACTTGTAAACAAAAAAAGAGAGTGAGAGAGAGAATGAGATAAAAAAGCAAATTTACGTTTAAATAGGCAAAAAAAAAAAAAAAAATCGAATGTAAAAATGAGGTTTTTCAACAAGGGTGGATCCCAAATTGTTGTAGAATAAAAAAGGAACTTAATTTTGATACACTGCGATAATTGTTTTTCATTTTATATAAAATAACAAAAGCGAAATAAATTAAACCTTAACAAATTTTAAAAATTCTTTGAATTTATTTTATTATTAATAATTTTTAATTGTAATAATAATTATTACAATAAATTGAAAATTGAGTTTGAATTTTGCAAGTAAAGGTTTTTAATAATTATTGAATTTATATTTATAAAAAAATTTATTTTTCATTTAATAAACTTTTTTTCAATAACAATCTCATTTAATTAATGAGAATAAAACATCGTTGAGATAAAAATTATTAAGAACTTTTTGTTAACAGTCTTTATGAAATATAACGAAAAATATATTAATATCTTTATATTAATATAAAAAATATCTTACAAACTGTTAAACTATGAATCAGTCTTTTTTTTCTTAAAAAAAAAAGTTATGTGCGAGATTTTTTAGAAGTACTCTCACCATTAGAGCATTGTTCAGAATTTAATTCTGGATAAATACTTCTCGTTGAAGGTCCACTTCGTTTTCTTCCATTTGGGGAAGCTTGTTTTAAATATTCAACGTCGTTAAAAATAACTTGAGCGCCTCCGCCACTTGTTGGAACAATATCGCCCTAGACAAATAAAATATTTTCAAAAAATTAAATTTTATTACTATATTTTTATTTTATTTTGAAATATTAATAATGTGTTGGAAAATTAATTTTCTATTTTTTCAAATTAATAATTTATTCTTAATTATAAATTTTTATTTACGTTATTATTGTTTATTTCTTCTTAAATATTTACCTTGTACAATTTTGTTTCCAAATCACCATCTGAATCTTGTTCCTGAGAAATGAGACAATATCGTGAAGCGCCGTCTGTAATTTTTTGAGGACTGAGTAATTCAGAGACACTTCGTTTTCGTCGCATTAAAGGTTGAAGAATAGTTTCAACAGGAACTAAAGGTCCCGGCCGATGATCTATCCATTTGTCAGCGCTTTGAGAACGACGATATCTTGAATTTGCAACTGCAATTTTATCCTTAAAAAAAAAGTGAAATATATTTATTAATATTTATTAAAAAAATAAGTTTTTTTTTAAATTACTTACCCTTCTTGATTGAATAATTGTACTTTCAGGAGATTTTACTGATAAATTATTATCGCCAGCTTCATAAGGTTGATAGGTAGGTAGTGAGATTGGTAGTGAAAATTTTGTATCACTTGAATTTGAATTTAAATCCATTTTTTCGTTTAATATTTGTCGAGCCGATTTTATCTTCTCATCCTTTTCCCTTAGTTGGCTCTGAAAATAAAATGATCTTATCAAATAGTTATCTTATCAAAAAAATTACCTTAAAATTTAAAAAATATATATTTAAAAAAAAAGAATTTATTTAGATTTATTTCCACCCACTTGAAGATGACTGTGTTCTATACGCATTCTCATTTCCGATTGGAGATTAATTTTTTCCGCCTCCTTTTGCAATTTGTTGCTATATTTTTGCTTCACTCTCTGAGTTTCAATCATTGTTTGATTAAGAGCAACATTTTTATCATTCAACTGGAAGAAATTGAAGTTTTCCGTTGTTTTAATTTAAAATTAAAAAAAAAAAAAAAAGAAAAATGTTTATTTAATTTGTAAATTTTGCTTTTTAAAACGAAATAAAAACTAATACTTACAGATTGTTGAAGATTTTTAATTGTATTATTTGCGTTATCTATTTTTCGAAGAAGACTATCAATTTGGCTTTCTGCTTTTTCTACATGACATTCTAGCGCTGAAACCTAAGAAATATTTAGTTTTTAATAATTTACAAAAATTTTTAAAAGAATCTAAATTTACCTTTTTTAATTGTTGATTATGATAAGCCTTTATAGAAGCATTTTCTACTTTTAAACTCGCATTTTCTTCTTCTACTTTTAGAAGAATGTTTCTAAATTCACTTACTGAAAAAAAACCACTCTCTTAATATTAATTTATTCTAAAATTTTAAAGTAGTTTTAATTAATATTGAAGTACTTACTTTTTTGTTCCAAATCAGCGCGTAGACAATTGCGTTTATTGATTCGTTGCTCGAGAAAGTATATTAAATTCATAATTAATCCCTCATTGTCAGGATTAGTAATCTCCAAATTTGGAAATGAACCTCCAAGACTGATACAATTTTAATTTTTAAATTACAATAATAATTATTAAAATTTCTGTATTTTTCATTCATTAACCGCTTATTCTAAATTAAAAAATTAGTTTTTTAACTCACCCGTAAATAGGACCAAGATCAATATCCGAATCGCTGACAGTCTCTTTATTTCTTTCTAATCCGTTTTGATGATTAATCTCTTTCAGTAACTGAATATTTTAAAAATTAAATTTAATTAATTATTCATTAGAAGTGTTTTAATTGTTTTTTTTTACCTGATTTGCATGACGTTTTCTTGGTGTGAAATCTGGATCCAACAATTTTACTGTAGATTTCGTGACTTTTACTTCTTGTGTCATTTCTGCAAATTTCATCACTTGCTGTAAATTTAAAAAAAGCATTAAATTTAAATTTACTTGAAAATAATTAAAAAAAACAATTTACAGTAAATAAAATAATTTAAGAGAAAAAAAATATTAACTCACAATAGTTTCATCAAAATCATCTTTTCGTGGATTAACGCAAACAATCATTCTAATTTGTCCTTCGCCTTCAAAGTAATTTTTAAATAGATGCGTCAGTTTTGAATCACGATACGGAACTATTTTATTTGTACCATTTAACTGATTTTCCCTCAATATCTCAATACAAGATCTTAAAGTCATAAGAGAATTGTTAATGCTCGCTAAAAAGAAGCAATTTTGAGTTAATTTTTATATATATATATATATATATAGTCTATTCGATAATAATTAATAAATTATGGTTAAAAAAAATTAATAAACCTGCTTCTCGTAATCTTTGTCCAGTATTTTTTGTACGGTTCATTCTTTCACTTCCAGCTAAATCGACCAATGACAATTGACTGATTCCTATCGCTTCTTTATCGGAAATTATCATTTCACCATTACAATCGAGAGGTGCCTTAAAAAAAAAACAGATATAATTTTAAATCTTTTTTTTCTTTTTAAAATAAAATTAAATATTATTTTAAAATATGTAAAATACTTGGACAAGTCTAATTGAAAAAACACTGTGTGATCTGCTGGATTCAGCATTAAGTGCCGTGTGAGCAACTCGTCGTCTACGTTGTCCTTTTTGAAAAATTTCAAAAGCTTCTTCTGTATTTTTCACTTCAATTTCAGTTACAGCATGAACGTACATATTTTTATTACCGTCCTCGCGAATAATTTTACTCTGTAGATTCCTGAAAAAAAAACAATTTTCTTTTCAAAAATTTGCATTTTTAGAATAAAATTTTCTTAATTATTTTTTTATTACTAAACAGAATTGAAGAAAACTTACACTCCACGAATATCATTTTCTTCTAATAAATCATAAACACTCTTGTTATAAATCTCAATGTAAGTAACAAAAACAGCGTAAGCATTGTCTGCATCAATTTGTAAAATATCAGACTCCTCGGAAGAACGAGGAATTGTTGGAGTAGTTTCGCTGTCGCTATCAATTTTACGCCTAAAAAATAAAAAAATCTAATTACAGACAATAAAATATTCAAAATTTTTTTTTTTAAATCAAACATTTTTTATAGAATACATTTTTATTTTTCCACTTCGAGGTGTTGGAATTGGATGACGTGTTTGATATTCATTTTTTCGATCTTGAAATGCCTCCTTCTCGCCTTGTACTTCAAAACCATTTAATTTATCAGGCTTAAAAATAAATTTCTTCGTCTGATAATTAGCGATACTATTAAAAATAACATCCAATGTTCTTGGCATAATTCCACCTTCTCGTTCATTTCCCATCATTGTAAATGTTTTTCCACTTCCAGTTATTCCATAGGTAAATAGTAAACTATTTTTGCCTTGAAATAAATTTTCAATCAATGGCAATGCAATAATATGAAAAATTTCACTTTGTGATGTTTCTGATGGAAAGACACGTGTAAATGTTGTTAAAATTTCTTTGCCCGTTGAACGTGAATTTGTTGACGATTCAGGTGGATAAATTGCTATTGTTTTATCAGAAATTACTTTCATGTATGATAATTCGTTGCGCAATTGAATTGGACGTAAACGACAAAATACTTGTACCGGATCACCAATTTGCAAATTGTATCGATGACGATGACCCGGTATTTTTCGAGCCGAACTTGATGGTTTTGAGCGTCTGGAAAATTAATTCCAATTTTTTCATTTTTATCCTAATAATTCATACTATCTCTAAAGAATAATAGTATTAATAATCAAACATTATCATTGAAATAAATTGTAAATAAACGAGAGATGTTTTTAGAAACAATTTTGTAGGTTAGGTTATTTATAATTAATTTTCCATACTTACGCGGATTTCATTTTCTTTTCTATTCACTCTTTCTATTAATAAACAATCAAACTATAGATAAAAGATGTGAAATTCATTAATCATGAATTAATTACAATATGATTTTAATATTCCACCATGTTTTTTTTTTCTGCAACAATTGACATGAGATATAACAAGTTCGAATTTTGAAAAATGTAACGGTTGTCCATCAAATGATAAAACAGAAAATTTCTGTTTTATCGATAAACACAAATTTAAACTAGAAATTTTATTTATATAATTTTTTTTAAAAAAATACAAAAAAGGTATACAATTTTTATTTCGTTAACATTTTTAATAATAATTTTAATTTTTATCATAGTCATTAAAATTATTCAAATTTGGCGCACTTTTGTTATATAAGATGGCCGAAAAATATTGCCCTTCATTTATTTTCGTTATTCATTTTATTTTAGTCAATTTTCGAAACAGAAAAACTTGTCCTATGTTTGTATAATTTTACATTTATTAAATATTTTAATGATCAATTAATTCTTTATTGAATTAAGGATAAAATTTGTGAAAAATGCCTCTCAGGAAGTGACACTTAAGTACGTCCCTGTATTTTAAAGGACAGATGTCGCTGTAATTGACTTTATATTTTTATAAAAAATTGTCAAAAAACATGTTTATTTTGAAAAAATAGTGCAATGAAAATTAATTATTAATTTTTTATTAATATTTGAATATAATTGGTGTCTTAATATTTGTTTATATAAATTTAACGAATTACAAGGAAGTTGATCGCCACTCGTTAGTTCGAAGGAACGCCATTGTGAGCCATAACGACTGTGTTGCATGGTAAGTTTTATCGTTCATTTTCACATACCTCGTAACTTCCCGGGAAATTTTGTCTCTACATTGTGTTATTTTCAGTTTTATAAGACATTCAACATTAATTTAGTGCATTTTCGGTGACTACTTTCACAAATATCAAGGATTAATTAAGGTATGCTAGATACGAGTTTCCTTACAATGAGAATATGGGCGCCGTTGAAGGTGAAAACTTGAGAATTTGTCGGCGTGGTCATTAAGTGCACCGTTAAAGTATTATGCGCGGGACCGGCGTTTAACGAATTTTCATTATTTTCAATTAATATTAATAAGTTATTTTTCAAAACGTTCAAAGGCAATTAATAAACTATAAAATTTATAGTGACTCTCAAGTGATCACGCACAAGGTTCGTGATTTCAATAGTTTGCCAAAAAAAAAAGTTCATTAAATTACCCGTATCTGGCTTTTCTCGTTAATATCTGAATCATGTTTTGTATTTTTTTTATTTGATTGTGATAAAAATCCATTTTTATCAGATGTTTTTTTTTTATGTTTCATCGAGTCAAAATGTCAATTTGAAGGTTGTGTGGTTATGCTCCATGAACGAATATGGACTTCGCGCCTCATTTTAGTTTCTGTGCCAACCTAACCGCGTGCTTTTGTCGTCTTCTATTTATTAAGAATCTAAATTCATATTTAAACTATTTGAAGAAATTAAAATATTTCATGCTTTTAAATTTGTCGTAAAGTTGGGGGACAAAAAAAAAATATATTTTTCCGTTAGAATGATTACGCAAATTTATGTTAATTACTTTTAAAGAAAAAATTTGAATCATTGTCTAATTCAATAGAATTTGGATTTTCATTGAAATAATTATAATTTTAGAATTTAGTTTTTAAATGATATTTATGTGAAATTTGAATTTGCAGATTATTTTGCCAGCAACTGAAAACAATAACTGAAAACAAAAAATGGCGCAAGAAGCTGATATGCCAACATTCAAATGTGTTCTGGTAGGTGACGGAGGTACTGGAAAAACAACTTTTGTAAAACGTCATCTTACGGGCGAATTTGAGAAGAAATATGTCGCTACACTTGGAGTTGAAGTTCATCCCTTGATATTCCATACGAATCGAGGTCCCATTAGATTTAACGTCTGGGATACCGCTGGTCAGGAAAAATTCGGTGGTCTCCGTGATGGTTACTACATTCAAGGGCAGTGTGCGGTTATCATGTTTGACGTTACGTCCAGGGTGACGTACAAAAATGTACCAAACTGGCATCGAGATTTGGTCCGAGTCTGCGAAAATATTCCCATTGTTCTTTGCGGTAATAAAGTTGACATTAAGGACAGAAAAGTCAAGGCCAAGAGCATTGTTTTCCATCGGAAGAAGAATCTCCAGGTAATTCCTTTTAATTTCTATTGTTTCATTGTGAAATTTTTTATTAATATGTCTTACAAATATGAAGACAAAAAAAAAAACTGAATTTTTAAATTTAATTAAATATAAAATTTGTTTACAGTATTATGACATCAGTGCAAAAAGTAATTACAATTTCGAGAAGCCTTTCTTGTGGTTGGCACGTAAATTGATTGGAGATCCAAATCTTGAATTCGTTGCGATGCCAGCACTTCTTCCTCCTGAAGTCACAATGGACCCACAATGGCAGCAACAAATTGAAAAGGATCTCAAAGAAGCCCAAGAGACGGCTCTACCAGAGGACGATGAAGATCTTTAGGTTTATTTTTTATCAAATAATACAAAATCCTCGGTACAAATGAGGGTCAACATTGAGTAATGATTGACAACATCTCTACTCACCTCGTTTTGTTCAAGATTCATTTTCTTACAAAGTTAATTGTTTTCTTTTTTTTTTTTTGTGTGTGTGTATGTAATTGAATTTAATTCCGGCTCTTGATTAATAAAAAATAAACAAAAGCCAGAAATATTTCTGTGATTCTAAAATAAATAAATTTTTGATGAAAAAAAAGAAAAAAAAAACCACAAGATTAGTTTTGTAAAGAAGAATCTTTGAAACGAAATGTGTTAACAGTTAACTGCAAGCAATAAATTTAAAAAAAATTGCTTTCTTTTGTAAAGAAAACAACAAAAATTTAAAAAAAAAAAAAAAAAGAAGAAAACAGTGAGTTAAAATACGTCAGTCAAGAAAAAAAAAACTCATCACTGTAAAACTTAAATTATTAAATTAAAAAATTGCACAATTCAGCAATATTACGGCAACATTAACGCCACTAGTTTTTTTTTCTCTCTCTAGGAAATTGTTTGAATATTTTATTGGCTCCGCTTCAAGTGAGGTAATTTGTTAATTCTTTTTTTTTTTCATAATTCAGAAATTTTTAACTGAAAGATGATACATTTTTCAGTTTTGTTATATTTAAATGTCTGTTTCAAGTTACCGAGGACTGTTTACTATTTTTATATAAGCAGAAGTGAATGTATGATTTTTTTTTTTTTTTTTTTTTGTCTCCAAAATATACATTTCCCCTTTTTTTCTACATAAAAACAACCAATTTGTGTCTTTTGGAAACCAAAGTAGCGAAAATGTTGCCTTTTGATCGACGTATTCATAAGAGCGAAATGTGTAAAGTCTGTAGTGTAATATTTACATTTTTTTTTTCCCCTGGTAAAATAATTTAGAATCAATGCGAATAGATCTGTGGATTTAATCTTATTTGATTTTATAAATATGAGAGTTTGATTGGACTACCTTGAGCGGATTGTATTTCTGATGTCTGAATTTAATAAAACGTGAATGATACATTTTGTTTTAAAAATTCTTTAGAACCTTAAATTACAAAAAAAAGGGAATTTCATAGAAAGTTGATTTATTTAATGAAATTACAAGAATTTTTTTTTCAACAAATTTAATTAAAATAAAAATGTCTATTCCTACATAAAAAGAACAACTCACAATAATCACGTGAAGTTAAATATTTAATATATATCGAGTGAAAAAAAAAGTAAATTATGATTGAAAATTGATTACTTTGTGAGTTATCATTTTTTTTTTTTAAACTCTATTCTTAAAGTTAATTTACAAAATAGTGTCTTATTAAATACAATTTACTTTCCATGGGCCTTTTTTCTTTCCTTTGCTTCAATTGCTTTTTTCCCTTCAATTACGAGTGATTTATCTTCCGGTGTTAAATTTGGAAGAACTTTCGTTATAACACCAGTTCCCAATGTTTTTGTACCATCTCTCAATGTAAATCTTTGACCCTTTTCCATAACCACATGCCTATATAACTTCAATTCAATCCTAAAAAAAAATTAAATCAATAAATTCAAAGTAAAACAATTATTATATTTTTATAAAAACATACCCTGCATCTTCTCCTGGCATAGCCATTGCTCTTCCTGGTATAATAACTTGCGCTGCACAATCCCAAGTTCTACTGAACATTTGTAATTGAATATAATTTGATATTGGTTTTGTTCGTCCACCCTCATTAGGACTGAGCATATACATTTGCGCTTCAACATGATCGCATGATTTTACTGTTCCCGGTTTACATAAAACCATACCACGTCTTATATCATCACGTTTTAAACCACGAATTAATGCACCCAATTGATCACCAGCTTGCGCTTCATCAAGAATTTTATGAAACATCTCAATTCCAGTAATTGTACTTTTAAATGCTTTATTATAGCCAACAAATTCACATTCATTGCCCTTTTTAATAATACCACGTTCAAGACGACCAGTAACAACTGTTCCACGTCCTGGAATTGAAAATACACCCTCAACTGGCATTAAAAATGGTTTATCCAATTCTCTCATTGGTGTTGGAATATAATTATCAACAGCTTCGAGTAATTTTAAAATTGATTCTTCACCAATTTCTTTATTTTTACCCTCCAATGCACAAAGTGCACTGCCCTTTATTATTTGACATTTTTCACCATCAAAACCCATTTCTGTCAATAATTCACGTACTTCCATTTCTACAAGTTCGACCATTTCCTCATCAGCAGCGTCCACCTAAAAAAAATTTACAAAAATTAATTTTTCCATTTAAATTATTTAAAATAGAATTTCTTTTACCTTATTGATAAAAACAACAATGTGCTCGATACCAATTTGTTTTGCTAATAATAAATGTTCACGTGTTTGTGGCATAACACCATCAGTTGCGGCAACAACTAATATAGAACCATCCATTTGCGCTGTTCCTGTTATCATATTTTTAATATAATCAGCATGACCAGGACAATCGGTATGTCCATAATGTCGATTATCAGTTTGATATTCAACATGTGCAATATTAATTGTAATTCCACGAGCTTTCTCTTCGGGTGCATTGTCAATTTCACCATAGGCTTTTGCTTTTGCTAATGCTTTCTCAGAAAGCACTGTATAAAAACAATTATATAATAATTAAATTAATTTAATTAAAATAAAATAATATATTAAAATTAATTTAATACAGAAATTTTTTTTTTTTGTTTCACCTTGTGTTATAGCCGCTGTAAGGGTAGTTTTGCCATGATCAACATGACCAATTGTACCCACATTACAATGTGGCTTATTTCTCGTATAAACCTCTTTTTCTGCATAAAATCTTTGAGCAACAATTGTTGGCAAAAAGAGTTTGGTTTTTAATTCATTTCGACGATCCTATAAACGAAAATTCAATTTATAAATTCAATGCAATTTTTTTGTAAGGTCGTCCCCCCCACCTTTGTTTTGTGTAAATATTTGAAAAACATTCGAACCTTATTTAAAAAAATAAAAAAAAAACTGAGCCATAAATAGTAATTTTTTTATTCTAATTAAAAACTGTTTATTAAAGTATATTTACAACACTAAATAAGACTATTTAAAAAAAACATTACTAACTAAAATAATGCAATACTTACAAAATTGGCGAATTGTCTATTAAAAGATGAAATACCAAGGGACTGACGAGTTACTAAAAAAAAGCAAAAGAATATCATTAATTAACATATTTATTTCATTTATTAATTACATGTGATTGAAAAAAAATTCTTAAGGTATAACATGCAAAGTCGGCATTGATTTTGTGAGAGAAATTTCATTTGCAAAACTATTGAAAAACAATGAATGAAATAATGAAAAATATGAAAAACATACTTGGGTTTAAAACTGTCCTTGCTGAAACTAAAGCCATAGTTTATTTCTCAAGGAAAAATCTATTTTTCCTTATTATTTTATTACAAAAAAAAACTAACCAACAAATTTTATCTTTATTACCAAGAAGCAGGCAGCAAGAACATATGGATATTTATTGCGCATGCGCGTGCGCATCCACAATGCATTTCGGCAGAAATTCCGCGAATTTTTCAAAAAAAAAAAAAAAAAAAAAAAATACAAAAAAGGGGACAATTTTAATTAATTTAAAAAACTTGTTTTAATTAATATTATTGTTATGTTTTTATCATTTAACTTTTTGAATATTAAACAAATGATAAGTGTAAACATAAGTCAAGTAAAGTAACGTAGACTCAATGTTCAATTAATTTATATTTAAAATATAAATTGAACATTATGAATTATTGATATTTTCATTTATATAAATTGATTTATTTAATAAGAATGACTAATTTTAATACCATTAACATATAGTATAAGAGAAATTACCTTTTAAATTAATTTACCATTTTGGTCATGTGTTACGTAACCTCTTCAGTTGCTTTGAAATACCTCTTGTATGATACTGTGATTCTGATAAGAAATTTTCTGAACTACATTTATTCTTCTCTTTAAATCAGTGAAAAAGCTTTCAGCGCCTCTGTTCGGAATTTATAGTTACTTATTTGAAGTACCTCCTTGAATATTCTGTATTTCTGATATAAAATTTTAGAAGTGAATTATTCGATAATTTTATTTTCAAAACTACATAACCTTATTTTATTGTTATTATTTTTTTTTTTTTAAGTGTTTAAGTGATAAAGTGATTGCAAATCTAATGATTTATAATATGTCTGGTGTGTTTATTTACTTTTAATTCTTATTATATAAAATAATATAGTCAATAGTGCATAACGTGCATTAATTATAAATTATAAACATTTTTATAGGTTATAAAATTTTATTAATTTTTTTGTTTTTTTTTACAGAAACGAATGGAAACAATTAATTAAAAAGGACTATCGGTTATAAAAAAAAGAAGTTATAGCAATAAAACAATGGAATTAACTCTTCAAAATATCACAAGGATCACAAGTAAGAAAAAAGAAATAATTTTTTTCATTTCCATTTTTCAAATTTATTTTTTGTTTATAATTATATTTATCATTATTATATTCTTATAACTATATTTTTAGACAATTTTTTTCTATTTTATGATAATAAATATATATATACAAAATGCAAATTGAAACAAAAATATAATATATTAGTTGGATAAATATCATTACATATAACGTTTGTCAACAAACGATTTGTAATAGATATAATACAATTTCTTTTATAATTAAATAATCATTACAATGTTGTCCGTATGCGAACAAAATATACATTTAAAAAATTACGATAAAATTAATACTCAGGTCCAGCCTGTAGCGATTAATAAACACGAAGGAATAAAAATATTTAAATATAAAATTAAAAGAGTTGATACTCTAATTTGGCAAAAAGGAAATCATTTTTCAATTTCGATATTATTTATGCTTTACTTTTTCGACCACGATTGCAAACTATTTTCGATGGTATTCGACTGCAAGCTCCATCATAACAATCAGAACTATCCGATGAAAATGAATCTAAAAAAAAAAAATTAAATATTTAAATTAATAATTATTTCTAGATTTTCTTTTTCAATTGGATTATCTTTAATTTTTTTATTCAATTATTTTCTTAATAAACTTTTATTAAGAAAGTTTTTTTTAAAAAAATGTTGAAATATATTTTCATTTAAATTGATTTTTAGGAATTATAATATACAAACATGTGCGACGAGTTGGTTCTTTCTTCTTGTGTGTAGCTTTAGTGTTCTTCTTTGTTTTTGGAGCTATTTTCTTTTTAGCTGGTGTTTTTCGCATATTTTTAGCCGCACATGGAGCGCAATCGCTAGTATAATAACTTGAACTGTCTGAGAAGCAGGAACAATCTGAATCAGTACAGGAACAAGATGAATCAGAATAGGAACTCGAATAAGAGCACGATGTATAAACTGAAGAATCAGATTCTGATGAACTTGTATCACAGCATTTGCTATTTGGTCTTCTATTACTTCCTTTCTTATTCTTATGTTGTTTCGTTGTTCCTTTTTTCTAAAAATTATTCCAAAACAATTATTTTTTTTTTTTAAATTAAAAAACAAAAAAAAGCTAAAATTAAAAATAAAACTCTTACATTCGATGGTAAAACACAGCAATTGATACTTGGTCTTCTTCCTTGCTTATTTTGTTGTTTTGCTGGTGCCATTTTCTATAAATTTCGAGAAAAATCATTTTTATTTTCAAAAAACAATTAATAAATTATTTAAATAATAATTCAAAGAATTATTTACATATTACATAGTTCAAATTCGATTTATTTTATTCCTTATTAAAAGTTAGATTTGATTTTAAATTTGATTAAATTACCGTTAAAGCTAATTCTCTTAGTTTTATTTTGATTTTATATATATACTTTCAATAGAATAAAAGCATTGAAAAATTAATTTTAAATTTACTTGAATTAATTAATAACAATACTTCCTTGATGAAAGAGGAAGCAAAAGGTGAAAAAAATATTTTTTCTCTTTATGAAATTAAATTATTTTAACAATTTCACGTGTAACAGATTTCTTTTTTAATTAACTTCAAATTTATTATTTGATAAGAATTAATAAATAAATTAATTAAATAAAAGTAAATTAAAAAACATACCTTCAGTTTTTAGTAATATTAAATGTCAGATTACTTTAAAATTAATTTTAAAGATGAAATAAAATTTGCGTTATTTAGATATGGTGAAAAATTAAATCAACCTTCACGTTCAAATGTAATTTGAATACTGAATACAATATTTCGAATTTTATGTCAATATTTATTTCAAATAAATTTGTAAACTCAAACGTAAGGAAATTTATTTCTCTTCAGATATTGTAAATATTTTTATTATATTTCACTTATGAAATTTGATTTTAAACTTAAATAATCAAAATGTTTATTAAATTTATTAATTTCAATTATTAATTTATTAAATTATGAAAATATTTAATTAAAAAATATCTATTTCAATAATTTTAAATATTTATTAGATTATTTAAATAATTTTTTTGATTAAAAAAAAATACATACTTGGGAAACAGTTGAAACTTCTTTTTTAATAAATAATCTCATTTTAACACAATGACTATATTTTTATTTAACATTACTTTAGGAGATACATTTATATACATAAAAAATGTATGACTATTACAATAACTGTACGTAATATATGTATAGACATTACTTCGTGCATGTTTCAATAACATAATTTTATGGGCTTGTGTCACTTATAATCTAATATTCATTGTAACTTAATTTAATTTTTTTTTCTCTCGTACTTTACATCTAATTTGTATCAATGTGTTTTTTTTATTTTTTTATTTTTTACGAATGATACCGGAATGTCACGAGTTTCTGTCGCTTCAAACAAGATTCACTTAAAGCTTTTGGTATTACACGTAATGCGCCATCGCGATACTAAAAAAAAAAAACAGAAAAAAAAATCAGGAAATTATAATATTAATAACTATATATTGTAAAAAAAATATAAATAACAAACAAACAAAAAAATCTCGGCCAAAATAAAATAATTTTTACAAATTTTCTAGGCCTTTAGAGTTTAAATATTCTTACATATAATTTTTTTTTTTAAATCTAGATTACGTTTCTTTTATCGCGACAGGCATCAGACGCATTTTCTCTCCAGCGTCGAGCCAACGCTCTTAAATAATAAATAGTTTGTTGTTTTTTTTTCTAATTCTTTTTTTTTAAATATAAATACAGCCTAACTTTCTAGAAAATAATAATCTGCTACAGCGATATGACAAAACAGTTTTACACCTAACACTGTTTTCTTAATGTTAGTCACATTACAACTTATAACCACGTACACACAACATAGGCTGGACATTTTTTATATATATATATATATTCTCGCACGAAAATGATTTGCCAGATAATTTCAATTTTTATTTTGTCAACATTTAACGACAGACACTTTGAGATTCGAACGTCTTTTTTGTCGTTATTACAATTAATACAATATACATGTATATTTAGTAATATATATTTTTTAATAAATTCATATATATATAAAGCATCTTTTGTAATTCGTTAATTAATAAATTTTTATTCTTTCTCTTTCACGCTCTTTTTTCATAAAATGCATGACACAAAAATAAATGCATGTTTCTCAATTGTATTCTCTTCTTTCGTACACACTCTCTCTCTCTCTCTCTTTCTCTTTCTCTATAACACTGTCATACTTTTTTTTCCATTCACTCACTGAATCATCGTATATAGCATAATAGACTTTTTACAAAATATCACAAAAATCGCACCAGCCTTTGTTCGCAGGAGAAAAACCAAGTAAACTAAGAATCACGTTTGAGCAACAACTCGTTGCTTGCCTTCTCTTTCGCGATCAACAGCAACCATTCATTTTACATCGATTTTTTTTTATATATATATATATATATTTTTTTTTTTACATTAAAACAGCGTAATTTCATTACCAAAAAAGAAACCCCATTCAAGCCTCGCTGAATTAGGAACAGCACGATTATAAGAATGTTTGAAAAAATTCAAGTTTCTTGATTAAAAAGAAAAAAAAGGAGGGAATTGAGAGCGCTAGTGACCAGCACAAAAGCGCAAGTGTCTCCGCATTAACGACAGAGAGTATAATATATATTTTATATATATATATATATATATATATATATTGAGAAATAATCTAACACTATTGTCTTTTTATTTCATCATTCGCCAATTGTATCGCAAATGCTGATCAGAGCTCAAAAAATTTCACATTGCATTTTTTTTTTCGAAATAAATCGAATTCACTGACAAAAGAAAAGGCCAAAAATTAATTTTCCATTAGTCATAGATAAATATATTTTTTTTCTTTAAAAAAAAAATCTACTTTTTAATTCATGTCAGTAAATTGAATATTTCGACAAATTTTCCAAAAAAAAAAAAAATAAATTCACATTCAATTACATTATTAATTTTATCAAGCAACATTATTTGAAATTAATTTTTTTTTTAAATAACAATGTTGCTTCTATTATTTATTAACAAATTTATCGTCTTTATATCAAAACGTACATACACAAAACATATAATAATGTTTTTTTTAATCCGAATCTTGAAATAATTTATATTTATATTTTTCTATTTTCATTTGGACAAAAATTAACTGAAAGAAAAAGAACTCTAATCGATAAATCGAGGTCCTTGTTTATATTATAATTATTCGTTGTTACTTTAAGACACAAATTCGAGTATATTCACTGAATTCGATCAATATAAATTATATTTATGAGCTTGAAAAAATTTAATTCAGTTTTTAAAAAACCTCTTTCTTTTTTGAAAAAACTATCTTTTCGTTTCATCAAGCTGAAAAATGCGCATTTAGCGAATAAAAAACGGACTTTTTAAATTTCTACGTATACAAAAAAGTTTTATATTTTGTTTCTAAAAAAACAAAAAAAAAAAACAACTTCAATTCTTGTACTAAAAAATGTACCTGACAATCGACCCGCGATCCAGCCAAAAACATTTTCCCTGAAAAATTACAATGTTTACAAATATTTTTCTTTTACTTCATCGTGAAGTTACAAAAACTTTTCGTCTTTATGCCTATCAACGTAGATGAGACATCGTAAGCCGAATTAATAAACTTCTTAGGAGAAAAATAAAAATTTACTATATTTACTTTGCAAAAATAATAACATGCCAAAGTGCACGTTTTTGTTTTTCTGAAACTGGGAATTTTGAAAAAAAAAAAAGTTCTTTTTAAGTATAAATAGCAAGCAGTGTGAAAACTTTTAAGAAAGTATTCTTTTTTTTTAAGTACTTGCTTTTTTTTCCTCTCTGGAGAAAATAACTCGTGCAAAAATTGGCCTTCGTTTGCCAAGAAAAAAAAAAAATCCTGCGACGATTTTCTCCAAAGGCGCGGAAATACACATTGACAAAAACAATACTCACTTGAGGGAGCGATTTTTTTTTGTTTGAAGTCTTCTTTTCAAGAAGCTTCTTCACGTCGACAACAAGTTACGGCGATTTCTTTCAATACGCCAAAAATTTACAAGAAAAAAATTATTCGCTATTTCATATTGCATTCTCATTTAGCTTCATCCTGCTCCATTGGCTCCTCGGAAACTTCGCGGGAATGTTCTGTTGTAGTTCTGTAAAATAAGAAAAAAATTTAATTTTTTTTTTTGCAATTCCACTAAATGAAAATTATAATGATTTTTCTAATTTATAAATATAAGAATTTCTTACGTAAGATTTGTGGGCTGTTGCATTGATAATGAAGCCATTGCGGAAACAGTTTCGGTTTCGTCGTGTTCTTTCTGACTTGCTTCAATTGCACTCATGCCCACAGTATGCGCAGCTAATTTAACGCATGGCCAATGTGACATCTAAATTAAAATTTAATTCAAAATTATTAATAAAAAAAATTTGTAATTAAATAACAATGATTGCAAAAATTTGTTAATTAAATTTTACCTGAATAGCGATAGTTTTTTGTAGTGTGTCAATTGCATTTTGACATGGAATCCTTGTGAGTTCATCGTCTCGAAGCGATGTAGGATCATCGCCAAGTAATGCTCTCACGCATTCTTGTGCCGAGTCACAAATCGCCGCCAAATCATAACCGCCCTCTAAACTAAGAACCACTTTGCCATCGGCGAGTGTAAGTAATTCCTGTGTCATACGTCCAAAACAAGCGGGACTAACATTATAACCGCCAAGTGGCGCTGGATGACCAATTGCCGCATCAAAACCCGCCGAAACAATCACAATATCAGGATCAAATTCCTTAGCAATTGGCATAACAATTGTTCGAAATGCCGCGAGATATTCGGCATCACCCATTGGTGGATTTAAACCACCCGACCATGCAACATTTACATTATAGCCTAAACCTTCACCAGCGCCACATTCCGTTGGACCACCTGTTCCTGGGAAAAAATTCCCCTCATCATGCCTATGAATTGACAAATACAAAACTCGTGGATCATCATAAAACATTTGTTGTGTTCCATTACCATGATGCACGTCCTATAATAAATTTACAAAAATTAATATTTTTCTTTAAAAATTCAACGAACAATTAACAATTTTTAAATTAAATTTACCCAATCGAGAATCATTATTCTTCTTGTGTCAAGTTTCTGTTGAAGTAATTTGGCAGCAATTGCAACGGAATTAAAGAAACAAAAACCCATTGCCTGATTTGTTTCGGCATGATGTCCTGGTGGTCGGACAACAGCGAAACCATTTTTAATATCGCCCATAGCGGCCTTAAAAGCAAGATCAACAACACATCCAACGGCCATTCTTGCCGCTGGTGCAGTATATAATTCATTCCACGTTGTATCCGAATCAACACCAACACCACCGCATGGTAATCGTACGAAACTTTTTATCGGCAAATGAGAGAGCTTTGACATGTCCAATTTTTGTCGATTTAATGGATTTGTACCTAAAATTTAAATTGTAAAGTAAGGATTTTCCCTTCCGGAATGTTTAATAAAAATTTGAAAAAAATTCAATCCTTGGAAGGAATAAAATAAAAAATGTATGTTATTAATATTGTTTATTGTCACAAAACAAGAAACAACGTTTCGATGACTTGGTTCGTCATTATCTTCAGGTTAAATCTAATGAAAATATTTATAATTTTATTTATACATTTTTTATGTTATTTTATTCCTTCCAAGGATCGAAGTTTTCTCAAATTTTTATTAAAATTTAAATTAATCATTTAACAAACAGAAAAAATAAAAAATAATAATCGAAAAATCTTACCGAATAAAAGAGTGTGCGCTTCACTGTGACATGTTTGAATTTCTTCGAGTGTTGCCTTTCGTGATCGAACTCGATCGCAACGTTGTAATAATCCCGTTTCCGATAATCGGGCCCAAACACTTTGCAATCGTCCACCATGTTCGGGATGACCCCTGACTGTTTCACCGCAAACACAGGCATGCTTCATCATTAGCTGATCAAAAGCTAGGCCAGTTGTTGGTCGATGTGGTGAGCCCCTGGCAAAAACGTCTCCTCCACCTCCTTGAGATCCTGAATTTATTATCGAAATTTCCATCAATTGCATTAAATTTCAAAAAAATATTTCCAAAAAGGAAATATTTTATAAATTCTTTTAATTACTCATTAATTCGATTAAATATACCTAAATGTACTAGAGGACTAGAGAGCGCCCTGGATAATGGCCTGGCAGTTTGTGTACTCCTACTGCCAGAGTAGGCCGTCGATTCGTTTTGAAGTGTATGTCGCATCATTAAATCCCTTTGTTGTTGAAGAAATTGTTCACGATCACGTTGTTGTTTTGAAATTTCACTCTCCTCTTGTAATTCTTTTTTGCCAGTTAGGTCTATAACTTCCGATTCTTCATTCTCGGACGCCTCGTCAAGTTGATTGGCCTGACCACCACCACCGCCGCCGCCACGTGATCCCACACGTGTCAAAACTGTTTGACGAATTTGTTGCTTCAAATAATTGTGAGCCTGCTGCTGTTGATCGTGTAATTGTTTCTCGGCAAGATATTCCTCATAGTGAGTTGGCGGCGCAATCATTCCACCCTGAAGCATTGGATGACCCAATGGTAATGGCGCCGATTGTGTTCTACCTGAAAAAGAAAAATAAAAAAAACATTAGTAATTAATCGAGAGAATGTGATTTTTTAAGATCTTCCGAATAATTTTTATTAAAAAATTGTAAATTTCCGAAAATCTTAAAAATACGTGATACGTCTCGGGATGTGTCCTCGGATGATTGAGATCCTAGACAATGTTTTTTTTTTTTGTTCTAATTGTTTTATTTGCCCGAGGACGAATTTCCAAGATCGTGACACGTAGTTGAAAAAGAACGAACAAAGAGAGAACATACTACCTAAAGGCCGGTGACCAGCCTTATGCAGTCTTGCGTGTGCTACTTGAGTATCCGTTATTGGATTTCCGTGGTACATTGGATGTTGCCTATTGCCTACCGATTGCTCCAGATTTTGCATTTGCTTATGAACATAAGTTGGCTCGCCTTCAATTACTGTTAATGATGGATAAAATGGCAATGTTCCCGGTAACATTTGTCCAGTTAATGGCATACCCAAACGTGCTGTGAATGCCGCCCTCACCTCGGCTTCAGACACTGGTGCTAATTTTGTACCGCTCTAAAAATAAAAAAAATAAAAAATAAAATATGTTTCCCAATTAATTTATTATATAATTTTCTTTTCTAAAAAAGAGAAAATGAGATTTAATAATAATTACCGTCGAACTAGATGGCACATGAGGTCGACCTAAGGAAATATTAGGCATGGACGGTGAGCTGAAAAGGGAAAGATCCGAGAGACTACCCTGTTGACTACTGCTTGTTAATGCGCCACCATACTGTGCATTTTCACTTTCCTGAAATTTACCAAGAAAACATTCATTTTTCTATTTAAAATATTAATTCGTTCTCAAAAAAAAAAAAATGAAATCATTTTGATTTAAAGTAATATTTAAAAATAATTTCAATTATTTTATGAAATAATTAAAGATATTCAACTATTTCAATTATTTGATTGAAGTAATTAATCTTTATTTATTCAATTAAAAAATTTTAATTATCCTCAAATATTGATTGAATTGAAAATAAATTCAATTATTAAATAAAACAATTTAAAATTGTGAATTCACAATTAATAGACCTCAATGGCAAGAAAAAATTACAATTTATCATGCATAATATTAATCTTATTAATTAATAATAATTAATTTTGCAATTTTTCTTACCTCCTGAATTGGTGTACTACTTCCGGCTGTTGGACTCGATTGAGAATTATTCATTGTTGGCGGTGAATTTGGTCCAGATTCAGGATTACTACCAGAGTCTATAAAGAAAAGAATTATCATTAAATTTTTCCCAAATTTAATCACTTTACAATTAAATCCTTTAAAAATTACACTGAAAAAATGACGTACCCAAATAATATCTAGATCAATTGGAGGAAAACGATAATTCCTATATATATATATTTTTTTATACTGTACAAATTATCTTCTTGATAATTAACTAATCAAAATAAATTAATTTATTATTTTAAGCACAGATGATAAGACACTTAATGGAGATTTCTCAATTATTTTATAAATAAAGTTGAAAAGTAACTGTACAAAAGAGTTATTGTAGATATTTTTTTTTTTTTTTTTTAAGAACAGCAAAAATTTTTATTAAGCAATTACATCGCTCACACAAAAAAAAAAAAAATACTTTTTCACATTAGCGAAGAACGTGTTTATATCGAAAAATAGCGGACTTTTTTTTTTTTAAAGAGAAACAAAAAATAGCGAACATTTATTTATGAGAATAAATATTTTTCGATGTTTTGTGAAATTTTTTCAGTGTAATGAATAAATTTTTTTTTTATATTATATAAATGCAGCAAATAGAGACGATGTAGAATTGGAAAGTTTTTATTTTCTTTTTTTAATTTTTGAAAAACGAAATTTAGATAAGACCAAAATAGATAGGGAGTATCTTTTATAATTCAAATGCCGTGTTAATAAATCTTTCCATGCTGTTACTGTACACTAGCAAAAAGTCAATTCAACATCAATTACTCAAAAAAAAAAAAAAAAAAAAAAAACGGGTGCAATAAATTCGTCAACAGGCCATCGTCAAACCATTAAAATTAAATCGCTGCCTTGTTTTATCTGCTTCTGAATTTTTTTAAAAATAATATAAAAACCGTTTAATGAAGGGAAAAATTGTTTAAAAATAATTTTAAAGGCTCATTTGGATTAAAAAAAAATTTTTTAATTTAATTTGAACTATGAAAATTATTTATAATTTAAATGTAAAATATTATTGTAATTAAATTAATTTTATTTTTTTTTTAGAAAATTGAAAAACATAAAAGCATTTTTAGATGCAATTGAGTATTTGAATTTTTTTTTTTTTGATTTTTTTTATTTTAGCATAAATTTATATATAAAAGGGAAATGAATGCATAATTATAGGACATACTTGCTAGGAGTGACTTCCGCTTGAGGTGCGACAGTAGTCGATCCTTCCTGCGTGCCATAAGGGGTGAATTTCTGGACGCGGCCATGTTCCTCTCCATCACACGCTGCTTTAGTCGCACCTTCAGCAGATTAGGCTCCGAGGCTGGCCGATTTAGCCAGTGTTAGTCATCGTACCAGATAAACAGGTACACGAGTCGAATAAATTTATTAATTATTCGACTTGTGTACCAGTCGAATCACAATCACACGCACAAGCAACACACTTTTCAATACAATAATAAAAAATAAATAAATATTAATAATGCCAAAACGAAATTTTTCCTTCACATTAAAATTTTCTTTATTTGTTGTTAAAAATTTTCCAATATTTATCGAAATTAATTTAAATTTCAAAATGAATTTAAAATAAAAATTTAATTTTTCAATTTAAAGAGAACTAAAATTTTCCATGAAATTAATATTATTGAAAATTTTTAATTATATTGATTTAAAATTTCATTTAAAGCAATTGAAACATTTTGCTGTTAAAAAGATTTTATATTTAAAAAGAAATTACAGTTAAATAACGGTAATAATTTTACGAAACAATTAAAATTTTGCAAAATGTATAGCAATTAAATAGTTTACTTTTTTTTTTGCTTCAAAACATGAAAATAAAAGTTTCGTTTGTATTCTCCTTATAATCAACAGGCACGTTAATTTAGCAGAGAAAATGAAACACAAGCTTTTTGAATCTCGCGAAAGCGATACTGCGTTAATTTATTTTTAAATTTCAAGTATTCATCATTAAAAAAAAAATCTTAATTAAAAATTTAATTTTTTTGCTATTGTTTTTTAAGGAAGCTTAATTTTTTTTTTAATTTTGTTAATTAAAAAGAAACAATTTTTTTCAATTATATTGTCAATATTTAAAAAATTGTTTAATAACAATTTTTAAACGGTTATATTTAAATAAAAATTAGTTTAAAGTGAAAAATAATATGAAAATATTTTATTACCGTTTAACAAACATTTGAAAAAAATATTTTTAAATAATTTTTTTCTAAAATAGTATTTTTCTAAGTTAAAAAGAAAAAGAAATTAAACATTGCCTCTGAAAATAACGAGTAGGAAAATTTTTTAAACATAAAATTATGTTAACAAATTATAGAAAAGAAATTTAAATTACTTTGATAAATAAATAAATATATATATATATATATACAAAATTAGTCGAGAACATAGTGGAAACAAATAATATACAAAAAACCGTCACCTCTCATCCAAAACCAAATATAATATACAAAATATACATATAATATAGAAAATTTTAAACAGAAAGCTAATAACAATGAACTTTAATTAAAAAAAAAATCTCTGCTGTTCGAAGAATTATATTCAAAGAAATTAAAAAAATCTCTATATTTGTGCAAAAAAAAATAAATATTATTTGACATTCTTTATTCTCTATTAAAAGAATAATATGTGCGACTGAATTAAACTATTTGAATGGCAATATTAAAATTTCTATTTTTGAAAATAAAAATGATGTTTCATTATAAGACAGGATTAAAAAAAAAAAGAAAATTATATACATATATATTAATTAAGGAGATTTGGCAATGCTGATTCATGCTTTAGTATAGGCATTCCACTCGAACTAAATCGCGATTTCACTCGAAATTTTTGTTTTTCATTTTATCTACCTGTTTTTCGAAGGGGGAAATCATCGCCGAATTTGTCCTGAAGAATTTGCGGCATTCTATAAGGATGGGAAGCATTCGGCGAGCTACCAGATTCCGATTGTGACTGTAACCTGAAAATTCAAGACAAACACAAAATTTAAAATATATAAAAAATTCTCCTAGAAATAATAATTTAATCAAAAATAAATTAATTAACGTTATTTACATAAATTATAAACAAAATTAAAATGAAATGAACAATGAATTAAAATAATAATTTTTTTAAAAATTAAATCCGATACAATTTGAAATAAAGAGGGGAAAATCGCGAAAAATTTTAAATCCCAATTCGTAAAAAAATCAAATCATTGTTAATCGAGAAAATATCAAAATTAAATGCCACAATGTGCATCGCCTTCGTTGTCGACAATTATTCCGACCCATGAGAACGCCTCATTAAATTTCGCGAATCACGTTTCGCTTCTTTGCTTCACTAATTGACATACTAAATGTCAATTTTATGAAAGGAATTTTCACGCTTAAGTACTTAAAATTCAAATTACTTAATGCAAACGAGTTTTAAATCATTTTCAAAAACAAAAGAAATAATTTTTTTAATTCTTTATAATTATAAATTATAACAAAAATTTATAATTATACAAATGAAAATCAAACACAATATATTAATAAATAAAAATCAATTTTAATTAATTAATAAAATTTCTTTTAGTAGTAAATTCTAAACGATCAAGAAAATGATTAAAAGATCAAATCCCTCGGTACTTTTTTTTTTTTTTACCAAAGGCAAAGACAGTTACTGGGACATCAGAAAGCCTCAGGGTTTTGTAAATAATAATTATTTGGCTCGTATCCAAACATAAATTCATCTCAAAGAGAAAATTTTCAATGTATATGCAAATCCGAAATGTTCTTCACACAGGAATACTATGAAAACCAGTTTTCAAAATTATTCGAATTTAGAAATCAATCTAAATCACAAATATTAGAATCCAATAATAATCAAAATTTCATAATTTTAACATAAATTTTCATCAAAATAAATATTAATTTGAAATTAAATAAAACAGTCTATTTAAATGAAACAAATTATAAACTAATAAAAAAAATATTGACATATCTTTAAAATTTGAAATAAAAAAAAATATATATTTTTTTTTTAATCAATTTTCCTCCCTCTGTACAAACAAAAATTGCATTTTGCAGAATGAGAGACAAATATGAAATGCAACTTGAAAGACATTCTCATCTTCCTGCCAATAAATCATGCGATTTGAATTTCAATTGAAATTTCAATGTAGTTTCCTGACTAAAAAAAAAAAAAAGCTTCAAAGAATTCTTTTCAATGTCAATTGCTAACGTGACGGAAGACACGTATGTGATTGTGAAAATTCTTCTCCACGTGCTTTAATTGAATTTCAATTGACTTTACATATGACTAAAAGAGAGATAAGGGAATTTATGGTACAACATACATTCAAGGTTATCAAAAATAATCTTAAAATAGAATCAAAAAAAAATTTGACGTAATAAAAAGTTATATTGAATGATAATTCAGTGAAATAAAAAATTTTACATACAGTAAAAATTCGATTAAAATATTTAATTAATTATCCAAACATATTGAAAATTCGAACTCACGATTTTTTTTTTTTTTTTTTTTTTTTTTGAGGAAAAAAAGAAGGAAAATTTTGAAAACATACCAATTTCTATATCCGGGTGAACCAGGTACGGCGCCATTGGCTGCGGCTGCAGCTTCTCTTTGTTTTTTATTGACAATGAAACTCTGAAATAAAATAGATTTTATAAACAATGATGATGATGATGATGATGATTCAACCATTAAAGAAATAATCATTAAAAAGAATTATTTTACGACACTTTATGGCAAGCATTTGAGTTATAAAATCAAGTCCCTAAAGCAACACTTTTTATATTTTATGATTTTATGAAGGTCTTTTTAAGAGCCAAGCTCTTTTATTTCCCTGGACCGTAAAGCATTTTCATTGTCTTTACTTTATATGTCTATTTCAAAAGAGTTTCTCAAATTGAAAAATTTAATTAACGAATTTAATTAATTTTAATTGGACATTTATTATTATTATAAAAAAAATTTCAAACTGTGAATTAATTTTAAATTAAAATAAAATAATTAAATTAGAAAATAAATTATATCTTTATAAATTCATTTGATTAATTTATTATTATTTATTAAATAATTTATTTAAATAAAAAAGAAATAATGAAACACATTACCTGAAGCCGTTGTTTAACTTCTGTAGATGCAACGGCACTATGATCATGTTTGTCTTTTTTCCTAAGAGCCTCTAGTCTCTCTTTTTCCCTCCTCTGTTCTTCTAATTGTTTTTGCTGCTCCCAGAGCTAAAAAGAGAGAAAAAAAAAATGTTAGTTATCAATTTTCCAATGAAAATTTAAAACTTTTCACTTTAATCGCAAGTTGTTGTTTACATTAATTCCAGAAAAAAAAATTCTTAACTTTGAAATGATTTATAAATAAATTTTGTTAATTTGAATATATAAGTGTAAATTTGAATTTGTTTATAAAATGCGATAAGATTCTAGGGGGAAAGACCTCTCTTTTGAAATAAGAATTTTGTTTTTCAGTGAAATTTATTTTTAACCAGCAACAGAATAACTTATCACAGAGGAAAGTCAATTATTAAATTGAATTTAGCCTCTCTTATCATTTTCTTTTTATACACACACAAACAAATAACAGTGTTGTGGTTCAATTATTTTTTTTTAATATTTAAAAAAAATCGACTTTCTATAAATAAATTTTTTATTCTCATATATTAAAAAAAGATCATTTAAATATTACATTCTAATTTTTTCACAAAGAAAACTTGACAAATCAAATTCATATATAAAAATGCAATTTTCTTTAAATCAAAAAACTATAAAAACTAAATTTTGAAAATTTTTACATTTCTTAACGCACTTATTTAAAAATTGTTTTTTTTACTAAATTTTTTATTTTTTTCCTTTTTTATTTATTTTTAACTTTTCCTTATCTTCTCTGTATTCCAAAAAAAAAAATCTCAAGCACTAGTGACGTTACTGAATAAAATGATATCACCGGGAGAAAATAAAATTAATGATCAAGATAATTTTTAATGGATTTTAGGATTAACGTTTTTTTTTCTTCTTTTTTTTTTTACTTTATAAAAATCCAAAAATAGAATTTAAAGCAGGTAAATAACGAGTCGTAAAAAATTTTTTGCAGACATATTGTAACTGGTTTCCTTGTCTTTTCTATATATATATATAATAAATATTAGGAAAAATTTCATCGCCTTTCTAGAAATATCCATCAGAAATTTAAAAAAGTATTTTATTAAATAAATATTTTTTATAAATTATAATTAATTGAAATGAAAATTTTTATTTTATTTTGAAATAAAATATAAATACAACGAATATTGTATTGTACATTTTTAATTGAATCGCAGTGCTGATGAAATTTTTTATTTACAGGTTTCTAAATCCACATTGAACAGGTCATTTCTACAGGGAATGAGTCATTTGCCAAGCCAAAACGATTTACACGTGTACGAGATTGAGTGCAAAACACGACACCTGTGCGTGAATCATCTGTGTTCATTTTACCTGAGAAATGGACCAATGAACTCGTAAAACAAAAAGAATAAAAAAAAAAAAAAAAAGGTATTTCTAAATAAAAATACAACAAAAAAATTCTCTCTAATGACATTAAATATGTCTCATTTTTCAAATAACTTGTTTATTCTCTTTATTATATATAACATTTCATTTCAATGAATATTTAAAACAAGAATAAAAAAAATTTCAAAATAAATAAAAATACAATAGGTGTAAAAAATTCATATAATTTACTTTAATATCGATTTTTTAGTTTTAAAAAAATACCATAAAAGATAAATATAAAATTTAAATATAGAAAATAAAATAATAAATAAAAAAAAAATTCTATTTTTTAGCATTTAAACAAAAAATTAGTTAACATCAATATAATAAATAATCTATTAATTCTTTTTTTTCGTCCCCTTTCTTTTTTGGATTCGCGACGCTCTTTCGTCATGATTAGTAAAAAAAAAATTATTAATATTTTTATATGCAAATCGAGAATGATTTCTGTAAATTATAATGTTTGCGGATTCTTACATAAAGATTCGTGAAATTTTTGTATGAAAATAAACACAAAAAAGAAAAACCAACTAAACTAAATTTCTCAAGAAACGCAAATTTAGAGTCTTAGATTTTCGTATCCAAGTCGAGACGACATTTTCTATAAATATCTAAAAGGCTGACCGCAATCCGTCGCGACTTCCGGCTTGGCTGGACTCATCCGGAATCGCAAACAGGAGACATTTTCAGTTCGACGAACTATGACGTTTATTTACTATCTCTTTCGTCTTTTTTTTTTTTTTTTTTTTTTTTTTTAATCTCTTTATATAAATAATATTTTTTTATAACAACACGAGGAAATTTAAACATTTATATATTTTATTACATTAACCTTGATAGACACATGTTTTTCGAGTTCACGCAAGTAAAAAATAAATTATTATATTTAAAAAAATAACATTTACTCTTCTACATATTTATATGTTTACTAAAAAAATATATATATATATATATTTTCTTTTTTCACGAAATTTTATGATAACAATTAAATATTTATTTATATATTTTTTATTTTATCCTTATAATAATTAATTTTAATTTATTTTGTAAATTTTCCTTTTCCTGAATTAATTAGGGCAAAAAAAATGCATCATTTTTTTTTTTTTTTGAAGTTTTTCCAGGGAATATTCCAAGTGAACTTTAATCATTGAATATAAATGTGAATGGACAAAGTGATTCTCGGACGTAGATTGTGCTATTCTTAGCTGCGCGCGGTAAATAAAAAAATTATAATAGGGACCTCGTCGTTGATTCATTGGGGGTATAATAAATGCCTTTGGAAAATTTACAATATATTATAAATATACATATGTTATATGTGTGTATATCAAAGGGGTAAATGATTCTTTTGTCCTCTAAACGAAGTTTCTTTTGTGACCTCTGACACACGTGTTAACATACCAGTTCACATGGTTATAATCGTTTTGTCTCTTTCTCTCTCTCACAAAAAAGCCTGTAACTAATTTCAGTTATTCCACAAGTCTTAATTTTAGAATCACTTTTCAGACTAATTATACATTTTTAAAAATAAACTCATCGCCATCTGTGCTTTGAAGCTGCCAAATGTCTTGATTAAAAAAAAAAATTTAATTTCATCACGCATTTTTTTTTTTCGTCAATACACCCAATTATTAATGCTTTTTAAAATAAATTACATATTTTAATCCTATTGCAATTATTTTTACTATAAAATTTAATTAATTTTTTAAATTAAAAAATTTTTTTCAAAATGTTTTCTATTAAAATTTTTAAAAAAAGGATTTTTTGAGAGAAAAAATAAAAATAAAAATTTTTTTGATAAATAATTAAATACCTTGAGCTGTTGCATTTGTTGTTCATGAAGTTCGGCAAGTTGTCGTTCCTGGGCCTGATATTGTTGTCTAAGAAATTGCTGCTGAAGTTGATGCTGCTGCTGTAGCTGGAACCAAACCCAGATACCTCAAGGGTAATGTTCCCAATTCGATCATCGTTTTTAAATTAGTCTTTCATTTGACAATATAATAACGATTGATTACAGTATAGCAAATAATTTATATTTTTATTTATATATATATATATATATAATTTATATAAATTCATTTATATTATATATATATATTTTTTTAAATTATCTAATTACTACAAAAAATTCTTTCATAATAATGAAACAATTTATAATAAATAATAATAATAATAATAATAATAATAATAATAATAAAGAAGAAAATAATTTTAAATAATTTTGATTCACTTGAGAAATTGTATAGGGAGATAAATTTATATCATTTCATATTTATAATGTGTCGTTTAAAGTTCATGATAAGAGTTTTTGTAAAAAAAATTCAATGACGAAAAAAATACGTAACTGCTATTATATATCGCGATTAATGTTGTATATATATATATATGAATTTGCAAAAAATAATTACAAATACTATAAAAAGTCATATGTAAACATTTTCTTTTTTTTTTTGGAGTCATCATTGACATTGAATGTATAGCACAATTTACATAGCAGTAAAATAAAATCACTCATACTCCAAATATCAAAATGAGTAATTTTCATTCAAAGTCTAATTTTCCCTTTTTTATTTAAGACATGAGAAAAAAATTCTCGAACAAAAAAAAATAAAAACAAAAAAAAAATATTTCTTTTCTTTACAAATTCTTATTTTTTAAAAATTATTATTAATTTTCTTTTATTAACTAATATATGATAAAAAAAAATGTTTTAAAATGAAAAATTCACAAGTGAATATTAATTAAAAAAGAAAAAAAAAAAATTAATGAATATTTAAAAAAATAAAATAAACGTTTGATATTATAGCGAAATGAATAATTATATATAAAAATGAAAATTGGTGTTTATAAAATGAACATGAAAATTAGCATTTATTAATCAGTCAAGTGAATATAAAGCCACACCAGAGAGGAATTCCTTCTTCGTGTCACGAGGGAATATATAACTTTTATAAATAAATATATATATATATACATATCGTTGCACCTGCAACTTTAATAAATTCGCCATGCTTGCAATACATTATAGCATGGTCCACATATCGTGACCAAGTCGACTATTCCAAGCATGTTTCTACCACCCTCTCGTGTCCATTTATCCATTTATAATAATAATAATAAAAAAAAATTCCTTTCGAATAGGCCAAGTCACGTGACCCCTTTATTTTTTTTTTAAATTATATTTTTAAATATTTTTTATACTTTTAATTTCCCAAATTATACTATTTTTATATTATTATTATATTATTTAATATTAAATAAAGAAATAATAATAATAATTATTACTTTTCCGTTTGATTAAAAAAAAAAAAAATCATTAAAAATTAAATTAAAAAATGGAAGAAACAAATGAAAATCAAAATTTAATTTAATGAATGAAGTGATCTAATTTTGTAAAAATGTCCAGCAGTCACTCTGTCAAGAATTCGTAATTAATCATTTCAAGTGGCTAAAATAAATTTACATATTTTCAAAAGCTAATAATAACTGTTTTTGTTTTATTTATTTTTTTTTAAACTGCTATCCAAAAATTTAGCAATCAATTTATTTCAATTATTGATAAAGGGGGAAAAAAGTATATTCTATCGAGTAATTCGGAAAATATATGTGAGTGTTATAATATTTATATACAAAAAAAATATATATATATATATATATATATATAAATGGTTTTTGTAAAATAAAAAACAGCAATAATTAAAAAATAATAATAATAATAATAATAATAATAATAATTGCAGATATAGTTCAAAACAATCAATGAATCTGTCTGATTATTCTGGTGGAAATACTCTAATTATGATGTTGTCTCAAGGCGAAATTCCATTAGTTTGGAAGGGATACGTAACAAAAATGTCAATTATGGCATTTGCATTGGGCACATATTTTCTATTTTTTCGTAATCGTGAATTTAATTCATTACAAAATATATTTCGAAAATCAAAAAAAATTCAAACTAAAAAAAATGAATGTTTACAAGAAAAAAAAACAAGGTACTCTTTTTAAATTACTTTCATTAATTACTTAATGTTATTATTATTATTATAGTTTTTTTTTTTTTTTTTTATTTATTTTTATTTAATTTATTTAAATCACACTTTATGTTTATTATATTTATAATTACTATTATATAATTAAAAAATTAATCATTACTATTATATATATACAATTAATAAATTAATATAATAATAAAATTACTGTTTATTTATTTATAAATAATTAATTTAAAAAAAAATTTCAGCAAAAAATCAATGATCTATAATGGGGAATTGTGTCCAATATGTTTGAATGGTCCACAATGTGGTGTGAGGGCATATTGTGGTCATTTATTGTGCGCTACGTGTTTGGAAAGTTATTGTGAGGCCAGGGAGGTTTCAACCCCACCACCATGTCCTCTTTGTAGGGCACCCTTGGACTCAGTGACCTTGGCTTGCGAACAGGTTAGTCTTATCATTGTATTGATTCCAAATTGTATATATGTAATCCAACTTCAAAAAAAAAAAAAAAAAAAATTTTGAGAAAAAAATAACAAATTTTCCCATTAAATTATTTTTATTCCAAAAAAAAAACAATTTATTATTAATTTATTTTATTATTATTATTTACATATATAAATAATTAATATATAATAATATTAATAAATTTATAATAAATATTTAAATTTAATTTTTAATTTATATATTTTAATAGTTCAAATTTTCAAAATTTTCCATAGAAAAAAAAAAATGTGTAAAAGCCGTTTTCTTGTAAACTAATTTTAGTTTTTTTTTTTATTCTTCTCTTTCTTTTTTTTTTTTTAGCAAGAATCAACACTTTCATTATCAAATTATACAAAAGCTGAGATAAATCCCACAGAAAAGACACTTGCTTGGATTCGTGAATATAATCGTCATCGGGGACAAATTATTCAAAAAAATTACAAATATTCCAAATCTTATGTGAAACGCATTATTCTTTGTATTGTTTTTTTAATTGTTTTCACAATTATAACTATCATCGAAAGCAAAATATAGGTTTGTATATTTAATTTTTTTTATTTAAAATTATTTTTTCTATGATAAATTACTCTGAATTTAATTATAATTAAATCAGTGATTAACCTTTTCCACAATTAATTTTCAATTATCTGATTAATAATAATTAATATCAATAATAATAAAAAATTAATAATAATTGATATTTTATGGATAGATATAACCAATTGATAACCAAACTAATAATTGACAATTTGAGTGATAATTAACTGATAATGATAATTTTTGTAATTTACATAAAAAAAGGGTCCATCACTGACTCAAATTAAAATTAAAAAGTAATTGTCAATATCAATTATTTTATACTATTAATTATATTTTTTTACTTCGATTATATTTATTTTTTAATTATTATAATAATAAAATAATTATAACTATTATTATTAATTATTATTTTTATTATTATTTAGGAATTATCATGACTGCAATAACATTCGTAACATATATATTTTATTTCAATAATATTGTAACACTTGGGGATTTAGAATAAAAAAAAAAAAAAAAAAAAAAACTTGAAAATGAAAATTTTTTAATTAAAAAAAAGGAAACATAAAAATATCGACAAAAAATAATTGTAAAAACAGCAAATGTATCATTTTGTAATTAAAAAAAAAAAACTGTCAATAAAGTGAATAATTTTTATTAATTTGTTAATTTTCAAAATTTAATCCTATTTATCTTTTGGAAATTAATTTACCGTTAATTTTTTTAAAAAAATTTTCTATCACAAATAAAAAAAGTTATGTTCTGGTTTAAAATTAAAAATACAAATATAGGCCTTAAATTATTGTTACACGTGCGATATTTTTAATATGAAAAATATATTCTAATGATATCTAAGATATTGATTTTAATTTAAATCTATATTACGCAATAATTAAAAAGATAAATATATCTTTTCTTTTTTTTTCATTTTTCAGAATAAATAAATTTTTATAATGTATATGATTAATAGCATGATCTAATGAATTTTTACGACTTAATTTTGTAGATTTTAAATGCTTATCATTTTATTTTTACTATTTTTTCAGTACACGTGAAAAAAAAAAGAAACGTAAATTGAAAAAAAAGATTTCATTTACGCAAAATATATTAAATTATTTTTATTTACTTTAAGAAAATATAGTATATGTCTATGTAAATTTTTCTTTTTTTTTGCGCCAAAAAAACATAATATATGATGAAATTAATTTTCAATTGAAAATCAATTGAAAAATTAATAATTGATATAAAGGGAGACCATATCATGATTAACGATAGAAATGAAATGCGTGACATATAGAGTAGGAATATATCTATATAAATAGATGACCTAGATATACTGTCATGCTTATCAGTAGAATAGCAATATATATACTTTAGGTGCATGTCATGACGGTCACCGATTGAAAGCAATTACGTGCATGCCACTATGACAATGAACTAAAAAATAATTTCAAGAATTCACATTCATTGAACTCGGTTAAAAATTTTTAATTTATTTTTACCAAAAAATTTTTTTTGAAAAAATAATTTTATAAAAATCAAATTAGAATTTTCATTTAATAAAATTTCATTAAATATAATTTTCATTGAATCGAATTTTATTGGTTCAAATTAATTAGTTTACAGAATTTTAAACCGATTTTCAATTGTATTACAGAATTTTTATAATAACCAAAAAATCACGTAATTTTTATTTGTTCCAATTTTCATTTGTCAGAATTTTTATTGGCTCCAATTTTAATTTAATATAATAGATATTTAGATAAATTTTTATTATGTAGAATATATATTTTTTTGCATAGAATTTTGCTAAATAAATAAATTTTAGACGAATTTTTATTTTTTCGCATTATTATTTAATAGAATTTACAAATGTTACCGATTTTTTGTACTACAGAAATTTTGTTTAACCGAAAAAAAAAATTAATTAGAATTTTCATTTGCAATTTCGGACAAATGGAAATTCTATCAGAATTTTTTTTTTTGTTTTAAATTAGAAATTCTGTTCAATTATTTATATAAATATTCTGTATTATGAAAAACCGATTATGGAGATTCTATCAAATATAATAATTCGAAAAATATGAAAATTCGTATAAAAAAAATCTATATAATGAAATTCCAATAAAAATTCTTTAAAATTACTATTGTATTAAATGAAGATTATGACAAATAAATATTCGAATAAATAAAAATTCTGTGCACTAAATTTTCGGTTATATAAAAATTCTAGTAATATACTGAAAAAAAAAAAAAAATTTATTTAATTCAAATACTCAATTACTTGACTATTATCAAATAAATATTTATTTGTTATATATATTATTATATAAATTATTAGTTCATGTACAATTTATTTAATACGAATAAAAAATTATTATTTGGTTCAATGTAAATATTTATTTGATAATAGTCAAGTAATCAAGTACTTGAATCAAAGAAATTTTTTTCTTTTTAGTGTAGAAAATCGGTTAAAATTCTGCAAAATAATAATTCGACAAAATTAAAATTTCGTTCATATTGTACCAAATGAAATTCTATAAAATTAATATTCTAACATTATTAGCATTTATTTATGCGTCCCTTTAAAAATTAATTCACTAATTTTTAAATTAATTACTCATTATTAATATTATTATTATTATTATTCCCGTGTGGAAAAAGCCACGATCTTGCCCTCAAGAGTTCGGGGCCCCCGGCGGGGGCCCATGAGGGCTGATCCATATGGCGAATCCATGAGGGGCACCGTAGGGGCCCCGCATGGATCGCCCTCATGATCGATTAGCAAAATTTTCTAAGTCCAAAAATCAAATATTTTTTTATCACCAAAAAATTAATGTTTATAATGATTCACAACAATGAAAAACGCGTTTTTAATTAAAATATATTTTCACTTTTTTTGAAAATAACACTCACACTTATGGCGAATCCATGAGGGGCACCGTAGGGGCCCCGCATGGATCGCCCTCATGATCGATTAGCAAAATTTTCTAAGTCCAAAAATCAAATATTTTTTTATCAACAAAAAATGAATGTTTCCAATGATTCAAAACCACGAAAAACGCGTTTTTAATAAAAATATATTTACACTTTTTTGAAAATAACACTCACACTTATGGCAAAATAGATGAGGGCCACCGTAGGGGCCCGCATGGATCGCCCTCATGATCGATTAGCAAAATTTTCTAAGTCCAAAAATCAAATATTTTTTTATCAACAAAAAATGAATGTTTCCAATGATTCAAAACAACGAATAACGCGTTTTTAATAAAAATATATTTACACTTTTTTGAAAATTCGCCTGAGATGATTCATGATAATAATCATAAAGCATATAATTAATTATATTTTATAAATTGCATTTGATTGGAAAATATAATTTAATATCTTAACTTTAACTAAATGATGTTAAGCACTTTTCTTTGTTAGGTATTTTTCAAGTTTACATAGCATCAAGAAGTTAGCATTCGTTTTGAAGTAGCGTGCGTAGCGTAGTTGGTAAAGCGTTAGACTCATAGTCCGTAGGTCGTAGGTTCGATTCCCCCCATGCGTTAGATTTATTTATTTCTCAGGTTTGCGTTTAATCATTAATTCTATGTATGAATTAATTGAAAAATGAAAATATTCGTTAATAGTATGCATAAATTACATATTTTTTAATTTTTTAATTAATTAATTTATTATTACTTTTAATTATATCCGACAGTTAATTAATTAGAACGTTAATTAATAAATTCAATTTGAGTAAGAATTTAATTTAAAATTGAATAATTATTAAATAAATATGTTATTTATTAATAACTTAAGCTTATTTATTATTAATTAACTTTTATTATTAATATTATTGATTAAAAAACATTATGGCAAACTTGAGGGCAAGATGAGGGCAAACGTGAGGGCCCATAAGGGCGCCCGTAGGGGCACCCTCATGGATCGCCCATGCGGGCGCCCTCATCGATGAGCATGTCGTTTCCATGAGGGGCCCTTATGGATCATCCATATGCGGCCCTCATGGCATGAGGGCGATCCATAAGGGCCCCCGCTGGGGGCCCACATCACTTTTCCACACGGGTTATTATTATTATTATTATTATTATTACTATATTTTTTAATTTATTTAAAAAGTGGATATAATTTTGCCTAAGGAAACTTTTATTATTTATGTATAAATAAATAATTTTTTATATATAAATAAATTGTTTTTTTATGTATAAATAAACAATTATTTATGTATGAATAAATAATTTTTTATGTTTAAATAAACAATTATTATTATTATTATTATTAATTATATATTATTATAAACAATTATATTATTAATAATATTTTAAAAAACAAAAATTTGTTTTTTTTTTGTAAAATTAGTAATGGTATGTATATAAATTTTTACATTACCTCAAGAATTTTGTGTTGTAATGCCCGTTCATGTAAAGTGGCTTCGGAGCTCGATGTGTGATACGTGCTTGAAGTGAGGGTGGCAGTTGCACCACCTGTTCCCAAGTCACGTGGCCGGGAAATTGGTGAACCTGGTGTATCACGGGCCATGTCTAAAAACATGTAAAAAGTTTCTGATAAACTTATATGTCCCTTTAAAGAACGTCCAAAAGATTGTCTTGACTTTGTTTGATCGTAAGGTCTAAATGCACTTTTATGATTGGAAATCTTCATTTTTATTTTTCTTCAATTTTTTTTTTTTTTTTTTTTTTCAAAGAAAAAGCAATTAAAATTTGTTTCTTTAAAATTCACTTCTTTTTGAAAATTGTCTTCAAATTGTTTGTTTTTTTCAAATAAAAAATAAATCACTTTTTCAATTTTAAATTTGTTTCCTTGACGAATTTTTTTTTTGTGTATTATAAGACACAAAATGATTTTTTGTTTTTTGTCTCAACGATCGGTAATAATTTTATTATCACAATTAATGTTATTTTTCCGATATAATCGATTGAAATAAAGAATCATTTTTGTGAAATGAATTAATTTCTTTTTTTTTTTTATTTGTTAAGTCATATTATGGCATCTGTTGAGCAAACATGTTGAGAAATTGAAAAATCTCGTCCCACGGTTCTTTGAAAAAGTTGAAAAAAAAGGATGTTGCCCAGTTGTCACGACTAAATATAGATCACACACTGGTTTCAATTTAAAAGCGGAATGACGCGTGAAAAACTGGTCTAACAAGGGAGGAATATATCTACTTGTGACTATAAAGCGAATCAGTATATATATATATATGTGTGTATAGGGTAAAAAATTCTGTTGAGATAAGACGAGCGTTAACAGCACGAGCGTAAAGTCGCAACTGATCGGAGGAAGCAATTGATTATTCTTTGTAAATAAATTCTTGGAAGGAGTGATGGAGTTCTTTGATAAGTGGGGACGAATCAACGTAATTGGGCGGAGAGAAGAAGTTTTCTCTCCTTATTTCATTGTAATTAAAAGATTTCAATTTTTTGTGCAATATTTATCAAAAAAAAATACAAAAAAAAAAATTTTTCTTATAATTATCTAATAGATAAAATTAATTAAAAAAAAAATTTTACAATTTTTTTTCTATTTTTATTTTTAATTTTAAATATTAAAAATTATTTGTTAAATATTAAGCATATTATACGACGTTTTTTTTATAGTATGAAAAATAGAACATTATATATATAAATTGATAAAAAGTAAAAATAGAAATGATTAAATTTGATTAAGTTTTATTTACTGGACTTTTGATAAAAAATATAATATCAAATTTGTGTTAAATAAATCAAGAAAATTCATATATGTCCTCAATATGTTATCAAAACAATTGTTTGATGTAACGTTTAAAAAATTTTATACATAAATATAAAAAAAATAATGTCACTAATAATTGAATACAGAATAATAGAATAATTATACAAAAAAAAAAATTATTTTCCAGTGAATTATGAAAATGTATTTTGGAATTAATTAAAAAAAATATATAAACAATTTATTAAATTTAGAAATTAAAATTTTTTTTCTAATAATAAATTTAGTAATAAATTTTCCATTTTATTAATAAAAAAAAAAATTTTTTTTTTGAAATTACGTTGTAATAAAATTTCGTAATGAGAAAACAATGATTATTTTGATATAATTTTACGCAAAGAAAATCAATTTCGAATGTATAATAAGATTACGAATCTCTGTGTCTTTATAATAGATTATATAATTTTGCGTTAAAATAATATATAAATGCTTTCTTTGATGCCAAATCAATTTCATCGATTAAAATAATAATATATAATTAAATTAACACTGGAAAATGATGATATAATTTTCATATAAACCTGATGACGAAAATATGATGTAAATATATCAATTGTATATATACGCATATATAAGCCACAATCAATTTATTAGATAATACAAAACAAAGTCGTAATTTCTCCATTTAGACATTTTCTGCGCGATGCATATATATAAGACAATATAACAAAAAAAAAAAATAGTTTATCTTTATAAATTGATTACGAATTTTCAATTATCTATATTTATTTGTAAATTAAATAAATGTTTTCCTTGAATAAATTATTATTAATTAATTCATATTATTTTTTTTTGCTTTTTTTATATATAAATATCAAAAAAAGACTTCTCATCAATTTTTTTTATAATAATAATAATATAATAATAATAATTAATTTTATTAAAATAGGCCAACAAAAATGGGAAAAATAATTTATTGTTTATAATAATAATTTATTATTTTTTATTTATTTAATTGATATAATTTATTTTTAATTTTTTTTTTACAAGGAGACGAATAAAGAAAATTAAAAAAAATAATGCCAAGTATATTTTTGTCAATGTACTATTTTTTGAAATTATGTCACTCTAACTATAAATGGACACTTATTCTTGGAGTTTTATAAAATTACTACCAAATAATTTATCTCATTGGTTTAAATAAAGAAAGTACCGAGTATTCTTTGTTTTTTAGTTTTTTATTTATAAAAAAAGACCTAGATTCCAAAATTATTTCGAAAGAATATATTTTTTATAGCGATTAAAAATATCCAATAAAAAATCGAGAAAATAATTCTAAAATAACTTTTCTTATTCGAAAAAACTTTTATTCACAAAAAAAAATTTTTTTTTTCATTTCATGTGTATAGTTAACTATTATTATTATTTTTTATTTATATGTGTGTTTAATTTTTTTTTTCAAATATAATATTTATTTCCATATATTTTTCAAATATAATAATGTTTTTAATTAAAAAATTTTAATTAATCATTCAATAAAATTCGATTTTTCCAATTGAAAATATTTTCCTTTCTCTCTATTGAATTGTATAATATTATTTATACGAGAATAGCAAATATTTTTTCTTCATTTCATAAATAATAAAAATCCATTCATTTGAAATAAAATTTAAAAAATTATAAAAAAAAAAAAAAAAAAAAAGAGAGAGAAGAAATTGAAAATATCGCGCACTGATTTTCTAAATGAAGAATCAGCTATCATTCACGTGAATTTAATAAATATTAAAATTTCCATAAGCAGGAGTAAAAAAAAAAAAAAAAAAAAAAAAAAAATTCACACACATCGCGAAAGGTAAAAAAAAAATTCATATACTCAATGAACATTGAGAGGCAAATATTGAAAATGGAAAAATTTGATTTTCTACGGAATATGATATTAAAGAAAAAAAAAAAAAAAAAAAAAATGAAAAAATATTATCAAAGAATTAACAAAAGGTAGATTTTCGTTTAGATGAAATAATATAAATCACGGTCAACACGTGTGAGGAGCATGTAATATGTCAGTGTCATGAACATCCTACGTACTTGTGCAAGTGCTCGTTTGTATGCCTGTTGAATTTACGTAAATTTGCACATATATGCACATTTCCTTGTCTTTCTATTTTTAGCGCAAAAAAGATATCGCTCGTGCGCCTTATCGAATCCTTACATTTTCACGATCGTTTGCCAGATTAAATCATGATTTTCAAGGTCAATATCAAATAACCTCATTATTTATATACATAATTGTATATTTTCAATAAAAAAAAAAAAAATAGAGTATATACAATAATTTTTGATTTTTGACTACAATTTCAAAAAAAAGAAAAATTTCAAATACAAATAAAAATTGATTAAAAAAGAATTAAAAAAAATTAATAAATAATATTAATAATAATAAATTAATTAAATAAGTAAGAATTTCGCTTACGAACATATTGAAAGTGGATAAAATTGAAACCGCGAAAAGTCTTTTTTATTTTATTAGCAATTTAGTTAAGATTAGGGCTTTCTGTTTATGTGAATAGTTTTTTAAGGACATAACCCTCATGTAAAGGAGGCAATGCGCCTTTAATTACATTATGTAAAATAAATAAATAAAATTAAATAAGTAAAAAAAAACTTTTTTTTAATATAATAATAATAATAAAAATAATAATAATAAATTAAATAAGTAAAAAAAACTTTTTTTCAATATATATATATATAGAGAGAGAGAGAGAGAGAAAGAACACAATCTACGAAAATCTTTGTTAATAAAAAATTATTTTCTAAAAAAAGAAATTTTATTATTTTTTGAAAAAATATTTTCTAACAAAATCATTTTGCTGTCCAATCAAAAAGTATTTAACTAATATAAATCAATATTATTCAATTAAAAGAAATTTATAATTTATTATAATTGTGTTTATACAATTATTTATCATTGAAAAAATATTTTAAAAAAAAGTAGATTTCGTTAAGTATTGTTAATGTTTATTATTACTATAATAATAATTATTATTACTATATTGTTATTATTATTATTAGAAATTTTGGTTATCATTATTTTAAGTATTTTATCAAATAATTAACTTTAATCGATAAAATTGTGCGCATCTTAGGAAAAAAGACAAAAAAAAAAATTAGATAAAAAGAATGAGAATTGAGTACGTGATAAAAATTATCATACAAAAGTTTCGACATTAAAATGACAAGTTTAATAAATATATTATTATTTTATACACAGATATATACTCTATATATTTTTTCGTTAATATTGTTTTTAGAAAAAAAAAAAAAAAAAAATTAAACGCAATAAACTTGTTATTTAAAAAACAAATAGAATCATATATACAATTGTGTATACAGTTATTAATATATAAAACGTGTTTTTGATATATTATATTTAATAAATAATATGTGAATAACATATTTAATGATGTCTTTTGTATAAAATCTTCTGTAAATATATATATTATAAAAAAAAAAAATCGAATGTAACTATGTCACACGTGCTGTTCAAAATAGATAATTTCGAAATTATTAATAATTTTATTGAATATTAATTAAGCTTTCAACTGTAGTTGAAATCTATTATTAAAAAAAGTAAATTTTTTTTTTATATCACCAATCTTTTATTAATTAATTATTTGTTGATTAATTTAATTATTAATAAAATTAATTATTAGTAATAAATAAATAAATAATTAAATGAATTAATAATTATTTAATTGAATAGTTAAAAAAATTAATAATTATTTAAATGAATAGTTAAATTAGTTAACTAACAATAGAATTGTTAATTAATTAAGAACCAAAAGTTTTGAATGAACAAAATTTTTTTTGTAATTTCTTGAAGTACAAATTTTATTACAAAATATTGTTTTAAATATCTAAAAAGAAGTTATTAATTCAATATTTGTTTAATTTATTGTTTTATTTTACATTGACATTATAATTTCTAATAATTTATACATTGAAAAAAATATTTTATTCATTTGAACGTTCAAAACTTTTGACTCTTAATTAATTAAATGAATTGCTCAATTATTAATTAATTAATTAATTTTTTATTTCATTAATTAATTTAATAATAATTTAATAAAATTTGTGCATAAAAATTTTACTCACCTTTTTGGGGCAGGTGCGTAAAGGCGGATGTTATCTCGACACTTCTGTAGCCCACGTCTTCTGAAACAGACGATTATGGTTTTACAATTTTTAACATAAATATAATAAAAAAAATTATTATTCTCCTTTATTTCAAAAAATCTAAACTTGATAGATTTGGCGTAAATAAAAATTTAAAAATTTTTATTTAGGTAATTCAAATAAAATTTATTTGTAACAAATAAAAAAATTTATTTATAACTTTTCTCTGAGTGGTATTTTTAATGTGTGATAAGAAATAAAAGATTAAAAAATAATATATTATATATTAACATATTGTTACTTTTTTTTTTTTTATTACCTATAAGATAAAAATGAATATTTATTGAGCGATTATAGAAAATATTTTCTTGTATTTATATTATATATAGTTAATATTGCAAAATTACAACATTGTAAATTTTTTTTCCCAGAGACAAAGGTGTACCCTTTCCCTGAAAGATTCCAATGTTTATATGCCTTGGAGCTAAACTAGGTGCAGCATGATTATCATTCTCAACGATTCCTCACAGGTGAGATTCTAGGCCTCAAACGCATCCTCTCTCTAATATTCGTAAACATATTTTATTCTACATTGTATATATATATTAAATTGAATAACTTTTACTTGACAATTACAAATTACATTGACATTTACATTTTACTTCACTCCAGATAATATTTCATTTATCACAATTTTAATTATCTAATCAATAGACCTCTTTTTGTAAAAAAAAAAATTTATATATATAATATTCATATAAATTAAGTTTCTTTTTGGAGACTTTTTTTTTGACATAAAAAGTATATTAAAGATGCTGTCCTTGATGGAAGATTATTAGTCGTATTTTTAAAACTGTATTATAATTTAACAGATAAACTCTGTTTTAAGCATTCAATACTTTTATAAATCTGAAAAAAAAAATTTTCAATATATTACATGTTAAAAATTTTTTTTTTTACAGATTTATATTAAAAAAAAAAAAAAAAAGAAAATACCTAGAAATAAGAGAGGGATAAAGAAATAGAAAGAGAAATGACGATGATTGACGATATTTATTGGCTCATTGGCTTGATAAAGTAATCGCGCCTATAAATAAACCACCAACAAAAGTATAATATAATAATTTCAATATATGCGTCAAATATCACGTTTTTCATATAATAAACAGGATTTATGTACCCCAGACGATGTAGTAAAAAAAATTTTTTTTTACAATAAAAAAAAAATAATATAATAACTTTTATTAAATTAAAATTAATTATAATTACTCGAAAAATATGAATTACAACACTGAAAAAAGGGTTTGGTATTGACAACCAAACGTTTGGTTGGTATTTAAGAAATCAAAATTTTTTTGGTTAAATCAACAATATTTTAATTGTCTCAACCAAAATTTGTTTGATACAACCAAAATTAGAAAAAAACGATTTTTGTTGTCCTACATTGAGAAAAATATTTTAGTCCAGAGCAACAAAAATTTGGTTGGGACAATAAAAAAAATTTTCTTTCTATTTAAGCAACCAAACTATTTATTTGAGTCAACCAAAAAATTTGGTTGAGTTTTTTTTGTTGGCATAACAAAAATGTTTGGTTAGCACAACCAAATTGTCGCAACGAAATTTTGGTTAGGACAACAAACGATCATTTGGTTTTTTAGACCAAAACTATTTTGTTGTGTTAACCAAATTATTTTGTTGTAACCAAATTATTTTGTTGTAACCAAATTATTTTGTTGTAACCAAATTTTGATTGGAATTTAAAAATTTTCAACCAAATAATTTTGTCGGCCTAATCAAATGTTTAGTTGAGATAACTTTATGACTTTGTTTCAGCCAACCAAAATTTGGTTACAAGAACCAAAATTGCCTAATCAAACAATTTTGTTGAAAACACTAAATTTTTTTTCTCAGTATAACTAAAGTTTAATTGGGACAACCAAAATTTTGTTGATTCAACAAAAAAAAGTTTGGTTGCTAAAATACCAACCAAACGTTTGGTTGTCAATACCAAAACCCTTTTTTCAGTGAACTTTTTCGAAATTATTATCTTCATTTAATAATTTTTTTTTTTACTAATGAATCTAAAATAACAATGGAAATATTACAAATAATAATAATAATAATAATAATAATAATAATAATAATAATAATAATAATAATAATAATAATAATAATAATAATAAAAGTAAAAAATACTTTGAGTAAAAAAAAATTACATTCATCTTTTCAAATATCTATATATAGAATATAAGTATAAACGTAAAACTAAGTGAGTAAACATTTTTTCATCAATAAAATACTAAAGTTAATTTTACAACACATATTAGATAAGCATTGTGTAATTTTTATATACATCTATTGAGTAACACTAATTGTAAAAGAAAAAAAAAATAATACATAAACCATTAATAAATATATATTTATAAGAATGACTAGCAAATTTTTTTTTTTTTTTTTACGAAGAAAATATGCGATATTATTATACCCGGCTTGTAAATACCGGAACTGTATTAAAAAGATAAAATTACAAATATGTATATAGTGAAGAGGCTACTGATAAATTAATGATTTAAGATAATAATTTAAAAAAAGGACATTCATCATATATAAATCTTCTTTGCGACAATCTATATAATGTTCTTTTTTTTCTTAATTTTTATTTCAAATTTGTTTCTATTTAACAGTTAATTTCTATATATATAATTGGTTAAATTTTAAATTTACCAAAACTTCAATTTCATCAAATTTATTCCCATTGCGTCCGAAATTACAAATGATCGAACAATATTGTCAAAAAATAGAATTCGGCGCGATTTTTAAAATTGACCAATTCGAAATTATCAAAAAAAAAAAAAAAATCGTGATTGGTAAATTTTGAAAATCGCGCCAAATTCTGTCGATTGTTCGTTCAGACATTTGTAATTTCGGTCAAATAAAAATTCGGACAAATTTAAAAATCATGCGCCCCTAATTATAATAAAAGAAAAAAAAAATTCTGAAAAATATTCAAAATTTTACGACGAAAAAAAAATTAAATATTTAAATTACTAAATTAATTGCAGTCTGTGTAGTTATACATATATATATATATATATGATTAGGTCAATAAAAATGGTGTTGATTAAAAAAAATCTTCTCGCAATGTACATGAGAAAGATAGAGAGGCTTGTTTAAAATTTTGGTTGATGGGTCTGAAAAAGTGTAATGGACGACGCCTCAGGTGATACGAAAAGGATTGAGTGTGCTGAGGTCACTGTACGCAGCATTCCTTTGAGTCAAGTCCAAGGCTACGTTGAGAAAGGAGAGAGAGAGAGAGAGAGAAGCAGTTCCATGTTTCTCACTCTCTTTCTCTCTCTATAACTATACGTATTTCAAAAAATGTTCGAAAATAAAACATTTTTTTTCGTTTTTATTATTTATTAAAAAAATTTTATTTTCAAAGAGGCCGTTTTCATCGTGCGTGAGTTAAAATTTAATCCTCCATTAGGTATATTCTGCGTTTGCGCAGAATGTTTACTTCTGCGCAGACTCCTCTTGGAGGATTAAATTTTAACCCACACGATGAAAACGGCCTCTTTGAAAATCAAATTTTTTAATAAATAATAAAAACGAAAAAAATGGTTTATTTTCGGCCTCTATGAGTTTTTTGATTTAGTTATAAATTTTACTAATTCAATTATAAAATTTTTTTTTCACTATTAGTTAATTTTTTATATTTGCGGAGAGAGAGAGAGAACAGTAGTGCAAGTGTTATTACTCGGGGTGAAGATTTTCTTGGAAGCCTTGGGATGATTGATATTACGACATTCCAATAACGAGTCGCTGGTTTTGCTCGATTATATAGAGCTAAACGAGAATGTATATATATATATATATATATATATATATATATATATATATATATATATATATAAACTAACAAGGATCATATCGTCGATATTTGTCCGATGACGTTTAATAATAATATAATTACCACTCAAATAAGCGTCAATGAACTTTACTCAAATGATCGAACTTTCATTATTATATATATAGATATACTGCAAACACATAATTTCGAGATGAAAATGAATTTTTTTTTCCCCAATTAGTTTCAAACTATAGAAAGCAGTTATGTACAATATTCATCAAAATAGTTTTTAAAAGCAATTTTTGAGGTTATGTCAATTGAACCTCCCTAAGACGTCGAAATTCCAATTTGTCCGAAATTACAAAATTTTCGAACGAACATACGACAGAATTTTTTTAAATATATATATATATTAATTTTAATATATATTGAAAGAAACCAGTTATCTACAATATTCATCAAAACAAATAGTTTTTAAAATCAATTTTTGAGGTTATGTCAATGAAACCTCACTAAGTCGGCGAAAGATCAATAAAAATTTGTTCCCTCGTAATTGTCGAGTATAAAATTGTATTCCTTTTCCGATTGTCAATTATTAAAAATTAACAAGGCGATAAATTAATGAAAATTCCAAAAAAAAGAGGAAAAAAAAGAAGAATTTATTCGCATCTCTCTGAAAATTCCTTTCATTGTATAAACACGATACATATACATACATATATATATATATATGTATGTATATGTTCAAACGATACCGAGGAATGTCTCTCAACACACATATCTTGATTTCTATGTATATGCAAGTGCACCTGCAAAGGGCAATTAAAAATAATTTCAGTATCCAATTGAAAATGAACGCGTGTTTCTCGACGCTTAAAGTTCGCGACTAGATTATATAGAAGAGATAGATGCGCGATAATATAATGGCAAAGGCACTAGCATGGTGTATAATGAAGGGACATATTCTCCCACAAAACAAGATGTAACTTTGCAAAAGAGAGAAAGAGAGAGAGAGACTATTCGCTAAACTGTTACAGTCTTGTTCTTTTACATTAATTAGGACACGACTTTGATATAAACGGAATTTTAATTGCGCATTATTTTCATTACATACAGTTTCAAAAAAAAAAAAAAAAAAAATCACTCTCTTATTTCTTTTCAATCCTCATGATCATTAACCATTTTATTT